ACAATGCGGTGCGGTACGGTGCGATGTGGTACGGTGCGCCGACAAACTATTCTGTCCAATGGTATTCTCAATTCATAAAATCCCGAAGTCCCTGCGCATGCGTACATTCACAAACTATGACTGATCTCAATACAAAGATGAACAAATGGATATCCCGCAAAACGATGATGAGAAAAATTAGACCATAATTTATCTAGAAAATCTGTTTGCAGTAAACTAATTTTGGGTGCATTTCTTAACAAAGAGGGAAAAAACAAAAACACAAAGAAACAGGGACAGTACCAAGTAAAAAATCTGTTGATAATAGTTTCTCTATCACTTAATATGAAGGTATGTTGCTGGGTTGCAGGGCAATCATTCGTAGTTTTATAGACCAAACTTCCATAAAGTAGATTTTTGGTACAGAAACGTGCAGAAGGTTTGGATTAGCGCAGGATTAATATTCAGCCTGAGGTAATATTCTGCAAAATAGGTAGAGCAAAATAAAAAAAATTCGTCACGTCTTCAATACCTTAATGCAAATTTTGTTAATGTTTTGTTAATATATTATTTTTGTAAAATCAGTACTTTTTGCCGACGAATTGTCCAATCATTAAAGAATGATTATAATTTAGACTGCTCGATGAAAAGCATGTCGTTAAAGTAAACATTTCAATGATATGGACTGACAACTAAGAGACAAATAGGAGCCCTTCGTCCTGGATTCAAAGAGCACACACACCGAACAAATTCTTTATTAGGCATGCTCCTTGACTCCAGGATGGAGGGCTTTCTCACACATTTAAAGATTTTTGCTCGTTCGTCTCCCCAACAAAATTCTCGTTAAAATTTGTCAAGAATAAGTAAGTTACTTTCTTGTGCAAAAGCATATGTTTAGTATAAATTACGACTGCTTCACACCTGCCTCTCGTCTCACTGATCAACATTAAATAATATTTTCTTTAATTATTTCTTTCTCTTCTTTAATTTACGTTGGTGATTATTTTTATTAACAATAACTAATAAGATTATTAAAACCAACTACTTAGACAGCAACGTTACTTCCCTGGTGTCGAGTAGAAGCTTTAACCATTCTATGAAGTTCTTCGATCTAAATACTTAATCTAGATATAATCTAAGAATTTTCCTCGCTCTTAGGATTAGTAAACGCCAATGACGCTTTCTGCTTTACGAGGAACAGTAAGCATGTACTTATATTCTAGCTTTTAACTCTCTCCTCTACAAACGGTACAGACAAAAGTTTATGTTGTAGGAGGTTCATGTTGCTTTCAACCTCTTAAAGTTGATTGTTGGCCCAAGTCCCTACACATCCTTCCCTTGGCCAACCCTTTCAATTCCAAATAGGATACAGTCTTGCAAAATATCAAGGGGATCTCGCATTTTATTTATGAGTTTTGCTAAAGGTAGCCTACAGGAAGGGAAACATATAAGATTTGGCCGATACTTCTGAATGGATCTCTTTTCTCACTGTTTCTATCAAAAAGAGAGATTAAAGATTTAGCTTAAATGTTAGTTCACAAGAGATAGATAAGTCTAACAAGTTAAAAAAAATATCATTTTGAGTAAGCTTTGAAAACTAGCTTTAAACCATTGAACTGATAAAGCACTCCTTGAGAAAGAAAAAGGATGAGGTATATATCATTTCTCCAGCTTTCTTTCTTTGACACTAAAGTTCACCTGTCCCTGCTAATGTCAGACAAGCCAATATCAACGCGCTTCCTTGTCTGACTCGATTTTAATTGTCGTGAAGCCAGTTCTGTACAACTTTTCGCATATCCACTCTCAACACAGCTACTGCTGTATGTTTGCTTTACGATAGACACCGTCAAAGACCAACCTCTCTGGTGTTGACAAACACTAAATATTGCAAACGCTATGTTCATCAATTTTATTCCAGACTGTTTACTGAGCCTTGTCACCAAATGTACTTTTAACCTGACGATTTTCAGCATTTTTACTTCTCTCCTTAATTGAGATAAAACTGCTTTTCACAATTATGGCAGTTTCTCTCGTAATATGCCACTTCGGGATAAGCAGTAAATTGCAATTCATGATAATTCAAACAGTTAACTTTCAAACTACTTCTTTGCTTATTTTTCGAAATTATATTGCTGTGCTTGAAAAACATAGTTTAAGGCAGATAAAACTTTATGCAAACAACAAAGGGCAAAAGACAGGGAGAAATGCATTTCCAATGAATCCCACTTGAAAAAGCCAAAAATCAGGAACAAAGTAAAGTTGACTACGTGAGTAAAAGTAAAAAATATTGTGAGGTCATCAGAGTAAAATCATAACTTCACATGTTGATAACTGTTGTGACATTTTGGGTTTAGAACTCCGTTGAAAACTGTGCAAAATTGCAAAAACAATCAAAAACCAAAGATGAAAACTGACCCTGACGACTATGATCTATTATAAATAAAGAACAATTTTGTAAAGGATAAACATTTGAAAAAAAGTTCCTTTGCATGTATACATTATTTGCATATTCATTTATAAAGTAGTATACATGCTGATTAGAACAGCAAAGAGAAAGACAAAAACGACATCAATGGGACTAATCTTGGTCCATGTGCCTAATGCGAGTTTAATGTACTTCAAAACCGCGCAATATGTCAACTGGCAACCCGACAATGAAGTTTGGCAAATGTTATAGGGTTAACATCCGACGTATCCCGTATTATTGAATCCGCTTACATTCTTCTTCAAGAATTCTTTCAGCTGACGAAAAGTCATAAAAATAAAGTCGAATAAACATAGCTCTAGCTATAAACATGTAAATGACAACAGGATGGTGCACATAACACTGAAAGGTTGAGAAGGAAAGAGCTTTGATTGAAAAATAAATGAGGATCGCTTTATAAAGGGAGAGAGTAATAGGTTGATAGTATAATTGTTTCTAAAAGTTTCTTAAAGTATACTTTGATTTGAAAGTTTAATGGAGACAAATTTAATGGAGACAATTAAATTTGAAAGTTTAATGGAGACAAATAAAAATATCTCAATGAAGAAACATCATTGTTCATAACTGAAAGCAAAATTTTCGTATGTACTTGACAGTCTTTCTTGACAGTAATTCATTTGCAGCCAGTGAAATTTGTTTGTAAAAACTAGTAATAAAAATCGGCTAGCCTAGGACATTTATAGCAGCTGTTTCTGCTTGGATAACTAAACATTCTTTTTTAAGTTGTTGTTTTCAAATATTTTCTATCAAATGATATTAAGAAGGCATCGAAAACTGGTCATTTCCTGTCTTGTCCTAATGTCACATGAGTTGCTATAGATTTTAATGAGCCTTTGCAAGCTCAAATAAGCTATGCAAGAAAAGATTTTTAGAAACACTTCTACAAGGCTTCGAGTGAATTTCATCAAACAACTAAGGATTCTAACATGAAAACAACAAAGTACGCCTGCATTCCTAGTTTGAGCATATTGATGAAATTTCTCGTTATCACTGAGCATGTTTACGCTCAGAGGGTAGACTAGATATATGAAGAGCAGAGCATAAACTAAAAACAGCTTAATAGTAGCAATAAACTGAAACAGGCCCAAATGAACACTTGAACTTAAATAAATACTTATAAACACATCGTGAAAGAAGTGCAGAAGTGCAACATTAGAGGAACTAAACATCAAACGTATGATATTCGGTTATTCATAATTTGTCATCACACTATAGAAACATATTTTTTCAAAGATAAAATCTCTGACAAGACCATGAACGACAAAAGATTGAGCGCCAAAGATAATAATTATGAAAGGCAAAAGTAGAGTGAGTTCCAACTCACACCCCAAACAACCGACTGCAGTGAATAAAATATAGAATATTTGCAGCAATGGATGATAAAGCATTTTGTAGCTGTCTGACAAAGTTGCTAGAATGTAGCTAACTTGCACAAGGTCTAAAAACACTTAAATGGCTAGTTTGTTCATGCTTTATTAACAGGCATCGTTGGAGGTAAATCGCATACCACTCGGTGAACGGTATGCAAACAAAACTAGAGAGGGCTATTCATTAAACACCACTTAAGGCTGAAATAATTAACGATCAATCCTAAACGTACATAAAGAGAGACATATTGAAGGCACTCATTTCAAGGCTATGACATATTGAAGCAATGCCATTCAGACATCAGAAGCAGCAATAAACGAGACCATTTTACTGTGCCACATGCAAGCAAATGGTTAGGCTCATTTTCCTTGGCAGTTTATCCAATCTACCTCCGAACCTTAACTGACAACATGCTAGAACTATGACAAACAATTTTTGTACCATAAGAGGCCAATAACAACGTTAGTTCATTCCCAACACCTTTTCAAAGACATCGCGCTAAATTTATGATCTAGGCCGAATTCATGACAAGGTGACGAAGCAAGTAAAAAAATTCGTCAATTTCTAATGAGATTCTTTAAAATAGAGTTTAAATGTGGAGGTTAGAAGCACAACAGATCTATCTTGTTAGCGAACATAAGTAAAAAGCAATGGTTACTGTTTTACCAAAAGAAATGCAAAAAGATATATGGGACAAAATCTGCAATGCGAAGATGTATGGTTGGCGTCAAGATTGCGTGTTTCTTACCTTGCAGTCGACAAAAGCAGAATGGCGTTGTTTCATCTGTGCAACAACAAATGTAAGCATTGCCATCAACCAAGATATATTTTACACTTTCCATTATGTCCTTTTGCTTACGCTGTCATAAATAGAGTTCTCTGATATTTGCGACAATCTTTGTCAAATGCGGGAATGGACTCAGGCGACCCTTGAACAATGGCCTTCGCAGTTTGCAGTCTAACCACATTCATAGCTAATAAATTAACCATAATATTGATGTTATCTAAGCTAATAAATGACAAAATCAGGCTGGCAACTCCAGTCCTGGAATTACTCCATTCATACTTTTGATAACGCGTGTATGAGTAAAAATCAACCAACAATCTTTGCTAGCTACTGGAAACAAAAGCTTAAACACTGGAGGGAACATACAAAAATTTTGCTCACCTTGCGTCAGGTCGTGTATCCATTCGAATTGACTTCTGGCGTGATTTACGTAGTGTTGGTAATGAACTCTGGGGGCAGAGAACATGCAAGAAGGGGACGCATTTTCAGAATAACCCCTGGCTGCTTCGCAATGAGAGAAGCCATGGCGAGGGTAGCTTGGCGAGCCCCAGTTTGTGACAGCCATTGATCTCTGTGCGTTTTCCCTGCTTAAATTGTAAATCGAAGGTGTTTTCATCTGTGAAGTCTCATTTTCATCTAGCTCAGCGGCAGGGTAGCATTCCGCCACTGGCGATTGGATCTTAGGCTTGTCACACATGTCTCCTCGTTGCGAGCCGTCCAAATAATTCCATACATATGTCTGTCTTTGGTAGTCATACGCACTCATGTTGTTGCAGTCTGCTCTTTGACTAATATCCATTTTGCTAAAGAGCAATCACGGTTACACCGTACGTTGTTGGAAGCGCCACTTGACTTGATCGCTGCACGAGTGAGGGGCCGCCGACCACCTCAGAAGCCAGACCCGACCGACCAATACAAATCACCGCAATCGCAAGATTGACAACCATTATATTTGCATGATGACAGTACTTAAAATGACATGTAAATTAGCCTGGCACTTAGCGTATGAAGCAAGTTGGAAGCTTATAACGTTTTTATGTAGGTAAATATGACAGAAGTCCATGGTCGAAGGCTGGCAGACCCGCCAAGCAAACAGAAGGAAAAATTTCGTTAAAAGCTGATGTCTGGATCATTTTAAGATCAACAGAAGTAAGGCCATTCATCATCTGTGAGCTAATAGAGTTTTCCCCAGGTTTACCGTTTCGCTAATTGATTTTGTAAGCTTCGTCACTTCATTATATCTTTTGTACATTAACAAGGTTTCGCCTTTGATACGTTCTTCGCCAGTTGTTAATATCAACGATCACTATATGTATATGAAAACCGTAGTTTGTTTATCGTTTAATCTTTACATGTAATATCTTAAGGGAGGGATACTTGCGTTTTCTTTATATGAATCGGTTAACATCAACTTTCAAATCGGAAATAAGAAAGCAAGAAAAATCACAGGATTCCTTGTAAGAAGCTAAAATGACATGAATTTAGTATAGATTATTCGTGTGAATGATGTGTTATTTGGCCTTGATACTTGGTAATTGATTTAATGAAAAGATTTTCTTCTTTCGCATCACCAAAACGATTCTTGATGTAAGTGATTATCAATTGGCCAACATAATGCCTAACTTCTTTGTTTGGAACAAGGCCCCAAAAGGGCTAATTGCAGTGGCAGTGACAAATAACTGGAGGGGCCCGGGTGGGTGTGGTCTGAAAATCAGGGCGTGGTCAAGTGAGCATAACATATATAGCACTAATAGCAAAGTTGAACTGTTGATTACAAATGGGCGCTGAGTACACTAATTGAAATTTAACATTAAATAATAAAAATTCTGTCTGATTTGGATTTCAGTAATTTTGCACAAGAGACTCTCGAAGAAACAACGTTAAAAGTTATAAGAAAACTAACCTCAGATGCATAAAGGGTAGTAAGTTTAAATTACAGAACATCTGAGGTGTTAGGAAGCCTTATCTTTACTGAAACTTAAAGTAAAGATGGCAGACCTAAAAATAGCAAACTAGAAAGGAAGGTACACTGATTCGCTTTGTAGAAGTTGTGGCTTACATGCGGAATACATTGAACGTCTATTGGATTGTACAAACTTCTATCAAAAATTCAAAATGGAAAAACTTGCTTAGCGACAAATAAAGCCAAAGCGAATCATTTCTATATACGAAAATTTGATATCTTAATCATGATATTACAGCTAAATCATAGCAAGAAGGTTTCCTTTAATTTTTGTGTAATCATCCGCTAAATTGGTTTGCTGTCTGTATTTTAGACTTAATACGTGCTTACTAACTATATTTTTCACAAAACTTTTAGGTTTATCATTTCGAAGACCATTTCAATCAAATGCTACCAGAAGTTGCATTTCTTTAATTTGCATTCCAAGAAACCAGTGGTCAGTCCTGTCCCCTTTTTGCATCAACTTTGCCTTCCTTTCTGAGAACCACTTGCCACTCGAAGTTTATTCGTCCATTATGTGCAATTTGGCTAATTCTTGCCATTGTATTGACATCTTTTTATGTCATTATTTCATTCCATGAGGTAATATCTTACCCGTTTGTAAACGAAATCTTTAAGACGATGCAGCAACCTATCGCATTATCTTCTGCTATGGATTGAGAAAAAGAGAAAGTTAACGCCGAGTTTGTTACTGAATCACTCCTTACTTTTTTTGCTAACTGGCAAAAATTTAAGTGAACTCTACAATTAATGCCGGGCAGATTAACTGAACCTTGGTCTATGAAAAATCAAAAATTTCAGAAAATTCCATCATATTAAAAATTCCAATTCTCTATTAACCTTTCATAACCTAAAAATGTCATTCTTTTGTTAGCTTCGACCCAATCCATTTTATAACCACATGCTATGACGTTTATTCAACCTCAGTTTTGATGTAATCCATGATATTTATTATTCGTAATGGGACATCTTAAGGCCCCACATTCCTAAAATGGGGCTCTTTTTCTGCAAAGATGGAGCCCTTTTTGCCAGATTTTAAAGGGGGCCCACCGGCCACGGGCCAGTCCACCACTGGCTAATTGTTCCAGTCTTTATCGACAAATTTATCAAATACCTCTAAGAATACATACAACTTCACCTGAATAACAACAAATCAAACACACAGGAAAGTTTTAAACTGAATAATTTAAAAAGGAAAAATTAGAATACAAGAAAGGGTTTTCGGATACATTTCTATAAGAAATGGCCCTTTAATAAGTGAATTAATCGAGAGAGAGCTATCACCCTACCACCTAACAAAATAAAATTAAAATTATACTTTCTGTCAAAGAAAGAAAACAAAACAAAATAAAGAAAAAGTTCAAAAAGCCTGTTACCCTGCCTTAAGCAAGGTGAAATGGTTGAAAAAAAATGAAGAATAATTATCTATTAAAGATAAATCCTCTGTGCAGTTTGTGATTAAAGGTCATATCCAGTAAAGAGAATTATTTCAGTTATGATTTAGGACACAGGTCCATGATTTAGTATCAAAATACGTTATTGATCTTATACCAAATTAAAATTTATTTTATTTCCATCTCGTAGAATTTCGAGCATGGTGATAGAAATCAAACTGGCAGCCCGTGTGCACGTATACGGTCTTCGGTGCCATCTTAGACATTAAAAGAACTGATATCGAGAGGAACTATGGTACTTGAATACAGGTTCAGTTTTTACAAATGGAAACGAGTTTATAAAATCATTTCAACAAGCACAAGGGTATAGGTTGATGGCACATTTTGTCAGTTAACGACTTTAATTCTTTACGTGAAAACTTTCGTTATTGTTTTTAAGTACGTTCTTAAATTATTCTTAATGACATATGAAAATATAAGGCTGCATAGGTTACATGAATTTGAAATTTCGCCCAAAATTCAAATGAAGTGAAGAAATTGCTAATGAAAATGAGAACTTTTTTCAATTTAGCAATTTAAAAGCAACCAGTAGATGTAGATGTAGAAGCAACCACCTAAGTTGATGTACTATAGATTAATATTCTTTTACATAACATGTTTATAAAAACTTAAAAACTTGTTTACTGAAACTTGTTTATACCTATCATAAAGTGAAAAAAAATTGTTGGTTAATCAAAATCTCAAAGGATGTGTTACACATTACCAACAGGAATAGACTGAGTCCAATTCAAGCATTGGCGATTTTTTATAAAAGAACACCTGATCAAAAGCACGAGGTATCCAACGATGCAGTCATTTTGCCATAGGCAAACTCAAAGATTTTTTAGGAGGAGCTTAATATTTGGCGCCATATCAAATGAATAACATTGAAATTGGACTGTAAAAAGAGGCCCCTGGGGAAAAGACGTTAGTCAGGAATAACGCGAAACAACGAGGGACAATCCAATCTAAATAAAATCTTAGAAGAAACAAACGCTGATAAAAAATTGAGCTAATACTTCACATAGCGCCCAGATAAAATGGTATTCCTCTGGACGATTCACTCAGTCTTTGCAAACCTTCATCAGGAGAGAAAGAGAAAGGGAGGGGTCTGAAAAGGGGGTTCTGGACGTGGTACTAAACGTATTTTGTTTCATTGGCGCTTTAAGGGCGGACATATGGTCATCAGTATGCAGTGTGTTCCACGTGGCAGAAACATTTGCAATAAACAAATTTCTTGCCATTTGGAATGATATAGAGGCAAAAGAATTAAGTCAATTTTAAATATGAAAACATTCCCGATAAAAACGTTTGGAGGATGGGTAAGAATGCTTACAAAAAACTGCAAGTCAAAAGCACAGTGAATGCTTGTCAAGTACTGATGTATCGACAAAAACAGTCTTAGACAATGTTTCTGAGTATTCATTGTCTTAAATTAAACATAAATCTGAGTAGAGTTAAAAAAAATACATAAATTCCATTTGAGTTGAAAGAAAACATAAATTCAAAAATAAATTTCTAGCTATTCCCGTATTATAGTCCTTTTTCGTAAATTAAACTCATCTTTAGGATCATTGCACTACTTACATTCTGCAGACATCAGAAGCTCGTTTTAAGCCTATATTTCATGCGAAATTCGAAAACTCATTCTATTATCACTGCTTCAAATATTACTGTTGACAATATTTCCAATTTTTATGAAAGACGAATAAATGTAGAGAAACACTAGAAAAACACGCTTTTCTTGTGAAATGATCTTTACAATCAAACTTGCATCAGCAAACTGGACGTTTTCATGTAATCTTCATGTAATATCTTTATAACAACAAGTTGCCTGTTTTCTTATGCTTGAACCAAGATAATTTTTTGGAATTTAAATAAAGGCAACTGTATTGTCCACAGAAGCAAATGTTTCTTTGCCATCCTGCTTGAAATTTTCATGAAACTCGTTGGCAAAAGAGATACGAGACAAATACAATTTGAAACTTCGGCGGGTCTTGAGAAAGCATTTAAACACGTAAACCATTTCTATAAAAACATCATTTTCGTTTTAGCCACATTTAGGGACATAAAATGTGAGACAAGACAAATTCAAAGAAAAATGACCTTAATATGAGAAAAAATTTCATAAACAAAAGAGAATTCAGAAGAACGTCAACCATATGTTATTTACAAGTCAGGTAGGTAGCTGAATACTCACATCTTCAAGAAATCTTCAAGAAAAGAAGTAATAAAATTGTTTATCTACATAACAGTTAGCTTCTGGAAAGATAAAATTCAACTGTGTGTTACAAATCATTGAAACTACAGCCCTTCCTAAGGTTTGATCTGGGAATCATGGCAATAGGGACCTCATACTTATGGGGTTTAGTTCGTTCGTATGGGATGTCACTATCCAACCTGTGAAAAATTACTAATTACACATTGAATATCATTGTTGCTTATTTTGGCCTGCAGCTGAGCAGAGTATCATCACTACAAGGGCGTTTAAACAGCGAGGATATTTAAAAACAGAATTGCATGTACGAGCTTCTCAAATGGGAGCATCACAGTACAATTAATATGTTGATATCACCACGATAGCCTGACGAAAGTATAAACAGAAGACGGAAATACGAGCATCTGCGTCGTTCTCCAATCGATCCAGCCGATTTCAATACCGCCTTCCTCAATCTTTTGCCTTTTATTCCACAACGAACCCATCAACTAAATGTTTTATATAGTAAATTTTGTTCTGCAGAATTGGTGTAGGTTATCAAAACTTAAAAAAAGACTGCAGTAGCATTTTTCTGCTCTAAGCAGGGGATAGCCTCAGGGCCGTCACGAGGCAAGCCTTGGTGGGGGAGGGGGGGTGTACTACACATATACCTGATTAAAAAAAATTTGCCTGAAATTCTTTAGTTGTTGTCAATCTAACTCTGTATATAATTTGCAACTTTCATTTTTATATGATAAGAACAGATGTTCCTAATAGTTTTGTCAAATCTCTATATCGGAACGGGTAAAGGATACAATTGCTACTCGAGGCGGCACTGGTTGCCGTCGAAGGGATAGGAAATTTTCGAATTTTGATGCTTCTAGTTCCCTGGACAATGCACTCATTTAAGCAAATTTCACTAAAGCAATCCTCCTAATCCTTTTGAAAATTATTTTTTTTGCAAAAAAATTGGACAACAGATTAAAACAACTGGTACAACTTCGCTGTGGTCTTGAAAAATACCATGTTGTCAGTTACTTCTAAAGCTAGGTGACAAGCAGCACTGGTTGTTAATTTGGATCCCTCTTTTCATCTAAGCATGCCTTTTGAATGTTAAAAACATCTGGAGCTCATAGTGAATTGCAACTTTAGGGGAAATGGACGCAAGACACAATTTTACCTAAAGAAGGCCTGGATTTTTAGATATAGTGTCAACGAAAAATCTTCAAATCTTTAAATCACTAGTTTGTTTACCTTTATTCATATCAAGGAATATCATATTTAACTAACGGAGCAACTGCCTTTACTTGATCCTTTATTGATTTTATGACATGAAGGTCTCTGAAATACCTAAAGCGCTTCTTCCAACGAGTTGATTTTACCTGAAATTTGCTATTGAGATACTATTGGGGTGTGACACCCCCACCACACCCATAACCCCCAGTCACGACGCCCCTGGATAGCCTTCTGGAAGCATCATGTTGTTGCTTGTGTCGATGGTCAATTACTGGTGACAAATTATAAACAATTATTATCTCCACGAATTAGTAAATTTCTACAAAACATAATAAATTTAAAACATTAAGAGCAACCAAAATAATTTCAATACATATTAATTTATTTAGATTTTAGCAACACAAAACAGGTATAAACACAAATTCTTTCACTAATTTCTAAATACTTGAAATATAATTTCACTTAGTCTGGCTTGTAAATAACTTGCTTTGGACGATACTCGATTAACAAAACCTGGAAAAGAACAGTATCATTGAATCACCATGTTGAAAATGAAATTTAAACTTTCATGTAAATATGACATCTGTATTTTCAAGTATTAATGCATTATATCTTCTCAGAAAACGCACACAGTGAGAAAACTTTTATTTTCCTAATAAACAACAGAAAATAACAATCTAAGAGCAGAGGAAAACAATTGTTATGTAGAACCATATTAAACACTTACATATTCCATCATGTTACTAGAATGTACAAGCTGTTTACTTAATTTCCAATGTAAACCAAGCTACAAAATAAACAATGTCATAGAAGATGCAGATTGTAGCTTAAGAGCACAGAAAAACAAATGAAGCAATAAATAGTGCTTTAATTTTTCCAGCAAAACAAAAATGCAGAAGTGTGGTTCCTAAGTAGAGTAAATTTCAAACAACTTAACAAAATTAAAATGTGATATAAAAATGACAATTCTCACCACTTTGCATATAAAATATTCTGGTAAGGGGCATAAAGAGCAAACAATTCATCAAATAATAGTGATAAAAAATTTCAATGAATACCTTGTGAAAAAGATTATAATTTTCAGCATCTAGAAGTTTTTCAATTGACACTCGTGACTGAAAATGAAATTAATCATCAATAATCATCACAAACTTTTTTCTCTTACAAACAATGGTAGGTTTAAAAACATAAAGTGGATATTTTTTAGATTAAAACGAATACATCTTTTAAGGTACATTAAATCTTATATCATTTACTGTCTCATTGATCAAGAAAATTTTCGTCACAGATTAAGGTAAAATGTTCTTAGTCTCATGTGACTATGCATGAATCTTACCCAATAATTTATGCCAAAGAAATTCCCCTTACTTGTGATGCTTGACGAGGGGAGGAAGGAGGATGCTAGGTTGTTAGAGAAATATTTACAGCCAATCATTTGGTAAGGTATTTTAAGATCCGACAGCAGTTCATCTGCCCATAAGAGGTTGTCATCAACAATATTCATTGAAAGCGTCCTTTCAGGGAACAGTTGTCCCAGTCCCTTATAAATGTATGGATCCCAGATATTATATTCTAATATCTTATCAAGCATTTCCTTGCATTCTCCAAGATACACAATAGTTATAAAAGGCATCACAGAATTTTTCAACTAAAGTTACAAGGGCAACATGTCTAAAAACCCAAATAATTTATGTATCTGAATTCAAATAGCACTTGTTTATGTGAAAAAAACGAATTTACACAAGATTGTAAGAGAATATGTAAGTAAGACTGGAGCCCACAGCCAGCAACATTGTTAACTACTGTCATTTGTTCTACCAACAAAACTACCAGCTTATGCTTTCAAATCCAAACCCAGAGCTGTCACTCACAAACACCATCCCTCCATTTGTTATCAAGCATGCAGGGAAGTCATCACAGCATCCACCTTGATACCAATGGGAGCTGCAATAAAAGGGAGCCTCCATACCATGAGACCATCACAGCCACCACAACTGGATAGGGTTGAGAAGAACTAGTGAAAGGATGACTCAAATGGGTAAAGATGGTGTGTATGAGTGGCACAGCTGTGGGCTTGGACTGGAAAACATTACTTGGTAGGTAAATTGTTTGAGCAAATGAGGTACAATTGGCTGGTTGCAGGTTGAGTCCTGTCCTGGTTGTATCAGTTGATCACATTCAATTGCAGTACATTTTCCCAAATCTTGTTCTACTGTCACAAGATTTAAAGATTTCCCCCATTTTTAGACACATATTCATGTGTTTTTATGGTCATGAAAATTTACAACAGACATAAAAAAGGATACCACAGAGAGCATGAAAGTGCATTATAACCCTGTGGCCATTGCGGCTGACTACAATTCTCTTGAAGTTAGTCCCAAAATAGATGTAGTATGATGCAGGTTGTGGCTAGGAGTAAGATGTTGGGGTCTGCAGGCAGAGCTCTCAGTTGTGTTATGCTTTACCTGCTTTAATTTTGGCACATACTTAAGTCACAGAGAGAACATAAGGACATCAAAATTACACAGAACTTAAAACTAATTCATGAAAGGGGTAGGACAAAAGCAGGTTTCGAAAAACAGTGCGATATCATGTGTTCAGCAAAGATGAATTAAAGACGAACCCTTTTGTTGAGGTAGACAACTGGCCACATTGATAGCCCCAAAGTACAGCAGCAACAAATGCAACCACACAGCAACCACCGTATGTTAAGCGGCAATGTTCGACCAAGGATTTTGTTTATTTTCTTCATTATAGACTCAAACTCTTCAGGGGCAAGCTAAAAAACAAAATGCCACAGATAAGAATGAGCTTAACTACTATGCTTTACAATCTTATAAATTAAATAAAAAAATAAAAGAATACAGAAGTAGATTTACGTACCTTTCCTGAAAGACTTGATGGGAATTCTGCATCGAATTTGTTTGTCAATCCAAATCTATGAAAATAGTGTAAAACATTATGCATGGAAATTTATTTCAACCATTCAATACATCAGGTTTTTTTATTGCTCTTCACTGCAAACTATCACCCCACTTCTGTACAACAACAAAATCATAATTAAACACAAAGTTATATTGATAGCAACAGTCAATTACTGTGGAGCAACCAATGCACTTTAAGAGGTTAAAATTAAAATTCATGCGCTCTGCTTTTGTAGTAATACTAAGGTCTTTCATGTGACTAATCAACACAGGACTAATCTTCTAGTGATGCATATTATAGTCATTGAAGTATGCAGAAATTTGTTACTCTTCTGTAGGATGGCCTTTATTTGGGTTTGATTTCTGAATTTAGATTATATAACCCTTTTTGAAAAGTATGTGCATAATTTCATGTTTTCTTCACAAGGAACAATCATGCTTAGCAAGAAATCAGCGGGGCTAGATTAAAAATTTATTTCAAATCACTACGCTCAGATGTAACAGGTCTTTATTTACAAATTTGTCAAAACAAAATAGTTGATTTTGTTAAGTCGATTGAGTTAATAAAAATTACAATATATTTTACAAAATTAAATAAATAATGCATAGATAACATATTTCTGGAAAAGATTGAAAATTGCTGCACCAAAAGACAATTGACTTTGTTCATCAGATCAAAAATTATGTTCAATGGGTAGGAGAAATAGTTAATTCTGACCCTGAACTGATGTTGACAATTTAGGAAAAGTTGTCCTGGTGGGAGATAGGCAAATGATTAATGACAGAAGAAGAAGAGACACAAGCTGTGGGAGACGGAAAAACCAAATAACTGATTGCAAGAACTGGTGACTGGGAAGCTGTGAGACTTGTTAATTACTTGTTTATGATATATTGTGAGTAACTAAAAATCCAGAAATTTATAAAGATAATGAAACAATCTGAAAATTGGTAGACTTTGCCCAACTTGCCTTATTTCTCACACCAACGCTGCCTGTAAATGGAGAAAACTGAACACTTGTGTCAACCTGAATCATTTTAAGGTTCTTATTATCCAGAAAATACCATTGGTATGAATAACTCTAATATTCATATTATCCAGAAATGACATTGAATGTTTCTGAATTCTGAATAGGTTTGAAATAATGTCAACAATATCAGTCAGACAGCAGTTGCATGCCCTGATGGCTTACTCACATCTGAAAAATCTTGTGCAAATGTGGCACTTTATCTTCACCAAAATTTGATTCAACCATCTCATTAATTTTGATCTCATTTCAGGCATGGGGAAAATGAATGCAAAACTTTTAGGGGGTGTAGGATTGAAAAATTAACACTTTGATTCATTGAGACAGAGATACAACAGGAGTGACTGCAAGAGGAGTGACTATAAGAGGATTGACTTTAAGCAGAGTGACTGTAACAGAATAACTATAAGAGGATTGATTATAAGAGGAGTGACTGTAAGAGGCCTGCATAACTTAAAACTGAACCAACAGACGAAAGGAGTTGGTAGGCAGTTTTCAGAAAAACAGCTCTGGGAAACAGATTGATAAATGAGAAAAGAAAAAAAAATTCGAAATTGACAAGTTTCAAAATAGGTTCTATTGGAATCTTGAAAGTTGGAGGGCAGAAGGAAAGAGAGGCTGCTAATATTCTGCCCCAAAAAGGAAATTTGGATGTTAAATGATGCAACAGTTTATCAGAGCAACAGTATGAATAAGAATATGGTCAATTACAACAATTATGAAGATTTTTGTACACTTAGATTTAGTTTAAGTGATAGAACATAACAGTGTGTGATACAACTTGTGACCTTCCTTCTACACTCATATTATCATTATTTTTATCATTTTAGCAATGGGTTCTTTTGGTACTTTCAGCAATTCCTGTCACTCATTCGGCAAATGTGCGAAACTTTTTCTCAATCACTAAAACATGAACAGTACCTTATCTCTAAAATTTCCAACACGGCTATTTAATTTGCTGCAGAAATGAAACATGAATCTAGAACTACTATTATATACCCATTTTGATATTCTATTTTTTCTTACTTCTTCTGTTAGTATATGATTGTTTTAGTCTTATTCAGTATTGGAGAGGTTTATATAACTGAATTTAAATGGAATTGACAATAATAAGTTTTCATTCTAAGATCTTACAAAATTATGCCACTTGATTCACACTGACTATCTTTAGGGATTCTTACCAATTGAACCACTAAAAAAAATTTTTTAACCGGCTTGAATAAAAATAATACCTACTATAATATTAATGGTAATCACCCCTTCAGTAGTTTATCTTTCTGTTTCGGGTATTCTTTCATCTTACCGATTTGGTATATATACAGTATTAGTTTCATCAACAAATTAAATGCAGGCACATCAATGTCTAATAGACCGAAAACTTGATAGTTACAACTTTCATTGGCACTTACATTTTAGTGCTCCAAAGTGTTCTCATTTCCCTCAGAAATTTGTATGAAAAAGGTGATTCTAACATGGGAGATGTGCGATAAAAATAAACAAGACGTTTTGATATTATTATCCGCTGACCTTCTGCGTCATGCAATACCAAGTCGATTGGTAGTAACATATGTTGTAAATATGACGTTTCATCTAGAATAAGCTTGCCCAGAAACGAGAATCGGCCTTTTAAAAACAAATATTTTGGCCATTTAAGTCAAGACCATCGCATTAAGTGGTTACTTAGTCGGGTAATTATTGGCCTAACATTAAATGACAAGCTAAGCTTTATCGTGTTGTCAGGACGGTAACTTACAGCGTTAGGTGGCCGACACCACGAATTACCACAGGATCTGGCACGCAGACGTGGCTTTCATCTTCACTCTGCCTTCTCGTAAGAGAGTCGTGTGCGTTTGCATCCTCTATTATATCAAAGTCGGCCATCAGGCATTCAATAAACTCCCCTCACCATAACATGCATCCCCGAAGCATTTCAAGCTCCTTTATCTGCTATCTCGGCGGCTTTCTCCTCCACAAGGACAACTTGGCAAATTTCCTCGCGAATACTCCCCCCCCCCCCCCAAATAAAGGGCCTTCATTTGGTTCATGTCCTGTACAATGTACAATACCAACGATTTTTTTTGATATTCTTTCTCATAACAGTGGTTTCTGGTTATTTTGGTCCTTTAATACGTTTATTGGAAAGGTAAGCGTTGCTGGAAATAAATTGTCTGTGTGAGGGCAAAACACATTATAGTTAGACTGTTCTCTTAAATTAATCTTTTCAGCGATGGATTTATAGATATTTCGCCAATAATAGTCTCAAGGAAAAGCAAACAAAAAACACAAGGGTAAGGAATACTTCGGATACATTAATAAAGTAATGAAGAAGATCATTGGTACAAACAGGAAATAATTGTTTACAAATAAAAACGTCAATTTTGTTCAATGATTGACATGTTTACAAAAAATAGCAATAATAACTAGGGTTGTGTAAACAACGATTTTAAGTGTCTCAGGCTTGCCATATGCTTCTGTTGCGTTTCGAACGATGCTTGTCTCCACCTGCAAAAAACCACCGTGAAAGAAAAATAATGGAAAGCTTTTCATCCTAGTTTTTTACTGAAAACGAACAAAGAGAATAGAAAGTCATCGATGAATCAAGTCAGAACTTCTTATATTACCCTTCTCTAACTTTCCGCCACCTGTTGACATTGTCTCTCTGCAATATTGTGACGTCACGAACAGCATCCATCACCTATAACGACACAGCATTATTGATCGTATTCAATATAACGCAAATGATAGAAATGATGGGAATTTGCTGTTGGTTCACGTGAATTGAATTGTTTACCTTGTCAAGGTGCTCCGCAGGGTGTGTAGGTTTGGTGAACAGCGAGCTCTGTTTTTCTCCATAAATTTTGGTTTTGTGTTTAGGCGTAGAATAGAGGTTCTGAAATTCATTTAACTAGAAAATAAAATAGTCTCTTCATGAACTCATGAATTATTAAAAATGCATGCAAAGAAATAATTGAATCACACAAAGAATCTTTTTACAAGACAAGTAAGACATCTAAATCTGTTTGATAACACTATAACATGGATTTTTAGTTAGGAGAGGGGAAATTACATATCAGAGAACGCAATATGACTCTGTTTTGGTCAAATTACATTGCATAGATAATATCGCCAAGTTCCCTACCAGCTACTTTACAACGGAGTCAAAATTACTGCTGAGTCAACTTTACAACGGAGTCAAATATATTTGATTTATATATCGTGAGCTGAAATCCAAGTTAAATTTTTACAAAAAGATATGACGAAAATTTTCACTCTTTGCAGCTTTTTTGATAAAAAAGTTAAGATCCAGTAATCTCGATTGACGTCCTTTATTTAAAAAATGTCTCTATACTTTGTCTATTTTTACCGAAATAGTTTGGAGGTTTCTGTTTAGAAACATGTTTAACAAAATTAGAAAGAAAATTTTTCGTTATCTTTCATTTTTGACGACAAGATGATTTCAACAGGAAGAACACCAACCAGAAAAACTAAAAACTTTACTTGCAAAACCGTTACCTCTGTCTCTTTCTTTCCAGAAGTGCCAAGTTCGTAGGTAGCTGAAGGTTTGTTTAGGGCCCATGACCTACACATGACATACATTGATGTGTCTCTTTTGAACTGTGCCATGTCAACACTTCTGTCAAATAGCTTCAATATGTACCTAAAACGATTTTAATTAGTTACCTTTTCGCAAAAATCTCTATGCTAAGAAATTCATCTATTGAAATGTCGACTGATCACAGGAAAACACCAGAGCCAAAATGTCGCCAGGTAAATCAATATTTGAATTTCTGATCTCTTAACCAACACCTCACTATCCCGAGAGATTAAAACGGTTTAAAGATTGAATTGAAACAATTACAATGTATGTGAAATGGGCATTGACAATGTTTTTATCATAAGTAACCTAATAGCATATCATGATTGAGTTAATTTCATTTTAAAAGGGGAAAGCTCTTGGAAAATCATTGCTGATTACTCCGTCTGTCCTGCTTGAAAATCAGTCAAAAAGCGCTTCAAACTCTTAAGAAATATCACAGGAAATGAGGATGAAGTCATAAAAGTACGGTGCCCAGTCACTAGTTGCTTGTAGGCGAATCAACAGTGTCTTATGACAAGCTTTAGATAAAGGATGATTCAGGATTAATTAAACTAAGATAAGAACACTTACGATGCTGGATTTTATGGAGCAGTGACATAGAAAAGAGAAGAGCAATTTGTTAGAAAGAATAAGAAAACATTAAAACATATACTTTTATCTCTTCTATCACAACTGGAGATCAACTACGCCCTGACATACGTCTCCAAAACAAGGAAAATTGTCTGTAAATTTTATAGCTAGTTTTATAAGCTTTGACAAAAATCTCAACTGCAATGCTAACAGAAAGTTTCGAAAATATGCCCGGGGGGGGGGGATACACATATGTATATTTAAGATAGGGATGCTCAGGTTACTTTTTTGGGTTTAAAATTTGAGCAAAAGCTATTTTTTGAGTCAGCCAATTATACAATTACTTTCTTAGGTTCATGAAATGCTGAATTATTTTTTTGGGTCTTGAATGTGAGAAAATTTAAAATATGGTAGACATATATGATTTCTCACATATGGTATGTGAGAAAAATACGGTTTACACACTAAACATGATTCATTTTTCATTGATTGCAAATGAAAACAAGTGAAATGAAAACATAATCATAAGAGTATTCTGAATAATAGAAGGAACTCCCAAAAAGTTTACAACTGGCTGAGTCAAAAAGAGTTCCGTGTATTTGATTTCTATGTGTCCATATTTGTAGCTGTAGGAATACTTTGAAAATTCGTACCCTTTTCTGTATTATTTTTTTGGGTGAACAAGACAAATCTAATTTTTTTTGGGTCAATTTCTATGATACAAATTATTTTTTTGGGCTGATTCGTACCCCAGCCTGTGCATCCCTGTCCTAAATATATAATATTACCCCCCTGAGGAAATATGCCATGCCATATTCATATCAGATTTCAAGTCAGTTAAAGCTAACTTCGTTTTGAAGTCTTTCCTTCAAGCATTACGCTGTAGTAATAAAACTAGGACTAACACAGAGTTAATTCTTTTTTAACTTTTAATTCTTCTTTTTAGTTTTTACGTTTTTTCAGCCTTTTTTTCTTCGAATGAAAAGTTTATTTTGTGAAAACAGGCTATCCAGTTACAAATAACGTACTAATTATAGAGATTTGTTTTAGACGTTAAACTGGAATTGAAATGAAAAGTTGCCATTATTATAATTATTGATATTGAAACGAAATTATTGAGACTTGCGCCTGTTTGCCTCTGCGAAATCTAAAACCAAAAAAGTTTCCATTATTATAATTATTAATATTGAAACGAAATTATTGAGACTTGCGCCTGTTTGCCTCTGCGAAATCTAAAACCAAAAAAGTTTCCATTATTATAATTATTAATATTGAAACGAAATTATTGAGACTTGCGCCTGTTTGCCTCTGCGAAATCTAAAACCAAAAAAGTTTCCATTATTATAATTATTAATATTGAAACGAAATTATTGAGACTTGCGCCTGTTTGCCTCTGCGAAATCTAAAACCAAAAAAGTTTCCATTATTATAATTATTAATATTGAAACGAAATTATTGAGACTTGCGCCTGTTTGCCTCTGCGAAATCTAAAACCAAAAAAGTTTCCATTATTATAATTATTAATATTGAAACGAAATTATTGAGACTTGCGCCTGTTTGCCTCTGCGAAATCTAAAACCAAAAAAGTTTCCATTATTATAATTATTAATATTGAAACGAAATTATTGAGACTTGCGCCTGTTTGCCTCTGCGAAATCTAAAACCAAAAAAGTTTCCATTGTTATAATTATTAATATTGAAACGAAATTATTGAGACTTACGCCTGTTTGCCTCTGCGAAATCTAAAACCAAAGAGAGGGTTTGCTCAGGGATTTAAAATAAACATTGATAATGAATGTAGGAAATTACAGCATATGCAAAGATTTTAAAACAAGAAAAGGTAACTAATTCCTAAAAACTACAATATACACTTTTTTTGATAGAAATGAAAACAGAAAAAGACAAACGGCAAGCGACTCTAACATCGATCACAGCGAATCAGAAAATCAGAAAAGAATAAGAGAAACATTTACTTTTAATCGACACTCGACTCAAAAAGTGAATACAAAACTTTTTATAACACATAAAAATAACTTTTTACCATCATGGATCATTTCTTTTTTCCTTCTTTTTCTGGGCGCTCGACCTGTGAAGATTGAAGATATTAGCAATTAAGACCAATGCTAAAAAGTGACTTGCAATTATCGATACTGCGTGTGAATCGCTCTCACAAAGCATTTTACACGAAGAGAAAAAATTGCCAATTTGACTTGGATATTTTGATTAAAGAAAAGTTAAAATGGTCAAAATCACAGAGCAAAGTAAAAGAATTTCACACACCTGACCGTTTTGACGGTGTTGCCGGGGGTGGCATTGCATCGCTGGAAATGAATTTATGGAAAAGGAAATAAGATGTTTGAAAATTGATGATTAAATAGGCTCTTAACAAAATAAATTGAGTTTGATTTAGTACCTCTGCGACAGCCGTGCAAGCCAGGGCAAAATATTAGCATTAAATGGTCAATCTAGTGGTGCGTTTGGCGCAGTGGTTTGTTGCTTGGCTGCAGCCCATTCAAAGCTATGGCTGCAGCCCACCAAAGAGTCCTGGAACCACTGAAGCTTGCACGAACATTAAAACCATTCTGCCCCATACAGAATGCACTTTTTCAGATAGTTGTCCAGCAAAACAGGAGGCCTTTAAGTCCGGGGTTTCCTCTTGTTATAGAGAGTTATGTATTTTAACATTCACTAATTAACACTGCCAAACAAACACAGATGTGCAATTAATATGGGTTATAGCTCATTTCAGTAATGTAAAATAAACTGTAAATAATAGAATAGAGTGTTGCGCACTTATCACTTGGGGAGCCCTTTAAGCCTTCATCTTCCTCGGTGGAATGCAAGCTACAAAATGATAAAACATAATCAGAAAATAATAAGAACATAATCAGAACAGACAAAAGATCTGAATATATTTATCATTCTTTCACACAGAATAAGTTAGTTTTTCCAGTCACCTTTCCTCTGCTTTAATTGCCAAGTCTTGCAAGATCTGCTCAAGTTTCAGTCTGGCCGAGTTCTTGTGACATTCCATGATAAAAGAACCTTCTGTTAAAAGAGAATTTAGAACATTAATTCATAACTTGAGTCAGTGGAAGAATACCGTTTAAGTTTGACTCTGTGATATGCAAATGAAAAACTTTTGCTTTTAGGCGTTTCAATAAGGTGAAAAACACAAGTATACTTCCAAACTTGGCTTGGAATTTGAGGGCAACCAATGGTATAGAGTGGTTAAAATTTGGAAATACATCACTTTTTTAACTATCCATCTTTTTTCCTATTTGACTTTTGCTTCTTTTCTGATTATTTTTCTTTTTTTATTGTTTTTGTAAAACACAACAGAAACCTGCCCCTGAGAAAGGCTAAAAATGTTTTGGTCCCAACAATGTTTTCCAAGGTTAACATGGGAACACAAATTACTTATCTACAAAATCTGAATTGATATACTTTTCATATTAAAAGATAGCTGCATTGTCAACCAGGTAAACCAACTTGTAAAGGTGACAAGAAAAATTTGAGGGTGTAACAGACTTTTTTAAGCTGTTTTCCACAAAGTTGATTCACATAAATCAACAGTTTGGTTGCCTGCGTGACCACTAGTCCCAGAATGTAAAATGCAAATTTGCATTGATGACGTAATAAGGGTAAAGGTCTATTCCTAGGTTAAGCACAGAATTTGGCATTGATTGTATGTTTATTTTTTTATACATTTGTTGCCTTCAATGATTTTTCTGACCCACATACTTAAGTTATTTTTCCTCTGGTGCCAAGGTGCTTTTCTAAATTCATGCAAGATATATTTAGTGCTGTTTACAATAGATCCACCCTTTTTGCCCAATCCTAAGACCCATTTCCTTTCTTTCCGCCATTTCTTGATCTCGGTTGTTGGACCCCTGTTCTCTGAGCTTCAATGACAGCAATATTTATGTTGTCTGATTTATCTTTCAATTTTATGATTCGAAGGTGTTCTTAACAGCTATGTTGATCCTTTGTTGGGAGGTAAAGTTAGGGGAGGGTTTGAATTTCCCTTGAACTGGAGAAATTGTCCCGATCAAGGGAAAAATCATGTTCAAGTTGTGTAGCAAAATCTCTGTAGTTGCTGTAGAATTCAATAAACACACTCAAAATGCCAGACTTTGTCTCAGGGGTTGGTGGGGGGGGGGGGGGGATTGAGGGGGGATGACCACTCACCAAGCGTTGAACCAATTTTTTTGGAAATTGTATTTATCAGAATACTTTGTGAAAATGTGAGCATCAAAGGCATGATCTGTTGGATAGCATTTAACCATTCTCTATCTAGAATGATACTATATTCCATCTATAACATCTATAACAGTAGATTGCCAAAATTTAAAAGCATAATATATGATTATAATGACTTTTATTTCAATTGAAATAATATCTTTTGCAATATTGCAAATTTAATTACATCAGCTGAACATAGAAATAAAACTGTGATGAATCAAACTTGATGATAGAGTGGCATTGTCCTCTTGGGGCACCAGCAAGAATCTGCATAATTGGAATACCTCTTGAAAAAATGTAGATAAAGTAGACTGAGACTAATTTTTTTTCAAAAATCTCGTGAAAACAACTTGCTGACGTCTAATCTTCAGTTGTTTGCTATTCTTGATTTTTTTACAAAGAAATATATTTTCTGACAAGTTTTTCAAGTGCTTACTTCGAACCAGTACCTAAGTATCCCTTTATTCTTCATATTGTTTTTACGTCACACAAAACTTTGGCTTCAATTTCCACTTTTTTTCTCTTTACAATAAAAATCGTTTTCTTGTGTTTAATAAAACTGCCTTTCATGGATTGATGTGCGAGATTTAAAATGTTAGAACTATTCAGGAGGTTTTTTACGAGACCAATGTTGATTGGCCAGAGATCGCCTTCTTGGTTCACCTGTTGCCTCTACAAGTATTTTGATTGGCTTTTAGAAATTCACAGGGTCAAAGTCATTCGGTTTCCGAACAGAGTAAGAAACAAGGGGGGGGGCTAGATAAAATACTTTGAGAAAAAGAAACATTTATTTGTGAGTTAATTGATGGAAATATTTTCACTGATTTGGTTGGTTTTAGAAGAGATGATTATTCACAAAAATCTATTGAGTTTTAAAGTCTGTAAAAATTGTAATTTGTGGGTGCACCAGAAGGGCGACGAGTCTAGATTTCTTCAATGAAAACAATGGGTTGTTCAACTTGTTAATACTAGGAAACTGTTTTGAATATTTAACTTGGATGCTAACAGAATATAAAGCACACATTTGGAAAGCTGTAAATGGTATTTATCTTGTTTATACGTTGGTAAAAGTCATTTTATTAGCTTTAATAAGACAAAGTGCACCAAGAAGGCGACGCCATGGAATCCATGTAGCTTACCCCGGAAATATCCGGCGTTGACTAACGACTTCCCATTATCTTTCTATTGTTTATTGGCGTATGTCCGGCGTGAGCTTCACACGGATTCCATTGAATGAAAATCAGCTTAGTTTCAACTCTCAGTCATTGAATTTTCTTGTGATGGAAAATTGATTGTGAGTTTCATAAATGCCAAAAGGAAAAACATGGACAAACCGAAGAATCATTGGGAAATTTGGTGCACACTCAAATGTTCACAATTTTCACAATTGCACCTCCGAGATCTCGTCGAATACTGCCGTGAAATCCAGACCAGGGCTCGTCCTTCTGGACTGAATATACAAATAATGTGATTATAAATTTTCTGACTGAAACCTTGAACAACTCATACCTGATCTTTAAAATGAGTAGACTTCTCACCATCTTTCACTCCATTTTCAAACCTGACCAGTGCACCCCGCCATGTTTTAAAAGAGAATAACACAACAGCAACAACAATAGTAGAGTGAAGCGGAGGAATTTTGAAGGAGGCCATGGAGGAGATTTGAAAGACAAGGAGGACGTGAAATAAGGGAAAAAGACAAGGAAGGATTGAGAAAATATCGAGACATCGAAGCTTGTTTGTCCTTACATTTTCAGCTACATATAAGCTGTCTCTTTCCTTATGTTTATCGCCATTATCTCGTAATGTCAACAGTGGAAAGACGTTACCCACCTCCAGCTTCTATGAAAATATATTGTTGGAAAGTATTGCTGGAAAGTAAAGGGAACCATTATCTAAAAAGGCCAGATTGCGTCCACTAATCATCCAACTCGACATATATCTAAAGCATGGATCTTATCAGGACATCGAAGGTATAACTTAAACATTATTTCCTTTGTTATTTACACCGTCATGACGCCAAGATGCACCGACCATAAGGCCAAATTATTTCAATGAATTTAGCATCCCCCAGTTTATTATTTCAAAGTCATCAGAAAATGAAGTGGAAAGATGGCTGGGAAAAAAGTTTTGCTTTGTCAGTTTTGTGTGTGGGGGCTGGGGGCTTTTCGATTTTTCCTTTTAAGTGCTTTACGATTTTTCCTTTTGTTAACATTTCTTAGTCCAGGTTCAAAGTACAAATAGGTAGTTGGGGAAAAAGAGACAAGATACCAGAATATCTTCTTCATAAGTCCTTCTTTTCTGTTTGTTTCCTTTTCCCTCTCTCCACCTATAATTTTTGCAATTATAGTTCCTCTTTTTAGCTTCTTATAGTTTTTCCTATATTCCATATTGCTTTCACAAATTCTTTTCTTTCATTCCTTTTAAAAGTATTAGTATCCAATAAAATGCAGGAAAAGAGAATAAACACAAACTGTTCAGAAGTATGAAGTATATCTTTCAACAACCTGCCAACATTTTACCTAACATAGATATATTTCAGACAGATAATTTCCAAGATAACATTTTTTTTAAAATGAAAAAACCAGACAAGCCATAACAACCAGATAAAATGTTTAAAGAGAAGGAAAAATAGCTAAGGTAAAAGCAATTTTTAGAATCCTTGTGTCATGTCCATACGGTAGCAGATTGTTTCATTTGTTTGTATCTAGATGACATGTTTGTGTCTGACAGAGCCCGTCCCTCCTTCCATCTAGCAGTTAAAAATCCATCTACATAAAATTAGAAAACAATTTTTTCCCTTGGACTCAATTGGTAATATTTTTAACAGGCAACTGCACTTTGTACCAGTGTTTCTGATTGGCCGATCTATACTCAAAGTGGTAGATGAAAAGCTTTTAGTACTCAAAAAATCATACAACATTTTGCAGTAAGAAAACTACAATTATGGCTCATGCCACTTAAGCTACCACCATTGAGATTATGAAATGATTGCTGAGATGTGCCCTCTGTGAGGTAAATAAGAACTTTAATAGCAACAGAAGTTTTGTCCCAAACCCCCCTAAATTGAAAAATGTCTCACTTATATCCTAGTAATGGTTGATTTTCAACAATACATAAAAATTTCACAGTGGACCTTCTTAAATCTCTGGATTAAGACTTATAGTGATACATAACTGTGGTAGACAGTGGGTGCAGATTTGCTCAAGGTATGAATAGAGCATGGCTAGTATTGGTTGTGTCAGAGGTGTGGTTGTGTCAGAGGTGTTTATAACAATCACAGAAAATTTTTTGGTGGTAGAACTAAAAAAGCCAGTGTTCTGTAGACAGAAGGAGTTTATTTTTTCTCTTGCATTCCAGGTGTAATTTTTCCATAGGCACATGGTACTGATTAAACTCATAAGGGTCATGTGCTTGTATTTTCTGATTGGCCTATTTTGATCCACAACTTGGTATATGTTTCCATCTTGTTCTTTTTGGACCCCTTGTTCTGATATTTTATACTCTGAAGAGTGTCCGATTGAAGAACCTTCTAGGTGCTGGAAATTGTTTGTTTGCTTTTTTCAAAGCTTTTTTTGAAACATAGAAAATTGGTGCAATTGGTCTGTAGGGGTTTTTTAAGTCTGAATATCTGATCCAAAAGTGCTATCTCTCTGTTTCCATAGTTTTTAGGAAATAGACACATTTATCATACGATGGAGCTAATTGAACACCACTTTATGTAAAATATGTTTTGCTGAACTTTGAAGCACTCTTTGCACCTGCACCTGAAGAAATTCCAACCAATTTTTTTATTTGATACCAGGTTATTTGAGAGCCAGCTTGGGTTCCAGGGTAAAATTGTATATATATCCCCTATACAGATATGGAATTTTCAACAGCCCCAGCTACCCTGTCCTGACTGCAGTGGCATCATGGCAAATGAATTCTAGAAGGGGCCAGAAAGAAAAATTTTCCAACAAAATTTCTTTGATTTATATAAATCAAATAGAATCAATTCATGTAAGTGTGTAGCTTGGAGTAGGTCAGAAAAACTCATAACTTTTGCCTTAGCTGGAAAGATATTTAACATTTCCTTTTATCTTTTCTCGGTTTCTTTGTACTTACAGTGAACGTCCCTTACATTCGTAGATTAAGTCAAAGGTAAAATGAAATGACTATCTGAGGTGGCACCATGGTTCTGCCAAAGGGAGAAATTTTTTACAATTTAATGCTTCAAATTTGCTGAAAATTAATAATCTTTGAAACAAATTTTAAGGATAAAATCTAATCCTTAAATCGAATATCCACTGGGAGAAAGGATGGTTTTGATCAATTTCTTTTTTGTATTATCTTATGCAACATAACTGCATAAATTTTCAAATCTGGGACAATATTTTCAACAATCTGTTGATAGGCATAAAATTGGCAATGTCCCGGTCTTCAATATCAAATAAAGATATATGACCAATTTTTACCAATTTCCAGAATCCGAGCAGCAATTCACTTCATGGTAGGAATTGGTAAATCCTGAGAAATCATTTTTGATTTGCAGAACTCTAGTATTTTCTTTACACAAGTGAATTGCCTCTCGAAATTACGGTAAGTTCTCAGTCCAAGTAATTTATGTTGCTAAAATTTTGAGAATTACCTACAGCTCAAGTTTGAGAATTTTCTGACAAGACAATGTTTTCTGACAATTTTTCCAAAAATCGGTCAAATTTTGAAAGCACTCCAGCCACCATGCCCCTGTTTGACTGGCCTGGTTCATTTGCTTTTATGCTGGCCCAACAATTTTGCCTGACAGACCCTGCCAGGAAATGAAACATCTTAAATCTGACCCCTACTTTACAAAGGTTGCCCATCCTTGGCCCAGTTTTATACTTTTCATGGTGTGAACTTTTCAAAGTGTCCCCCAGATATTGAAGATGTTCAAATGTCATTTTGCAGTAGTCAAATCACCTTTGCACTGTTGGCCTTAATTAGCTAAACACTATTGTCTCTGCCAACTTTAGATAACTTGTTTGATTGTTTGCTATTGTGCTCCTTAAGTTCTTGTCACTTGCAATTAGGAGCTCCTATGTTGATAACTTGTCCCCTGTCAAACCAAGACCTTTTATGCAACTAGGTACAGGAGTAATTATTTGTTACCTCTAGAGGATGCTCGCATGTGACTACAAATTTGATCAGTGGCGGCTTGTGCATTGGGGCTAGTGGGGCTCAGCCCCACCAAAGATTTCCAAAAATATTGGGTCTTTTCAAGTCAACAAAATAAGCCTTTACTATAATTTTAGCAGTTTTACTAATTTTTTTGCTTCGATTTTCCTTATAAGCCCATTCTCTAGTTTGTTTAGGTCCCACTGCCTGAATTTCTATTGAAAGAGAATGCACCAATCAAGTGCTTCTTATGGCTCCTCTATTCAAATAAAAGCTGCCCTCTGATTGGTTAAATCTGCACAAATCTACATTCCTTTGGGGCTAGTTGAGCAATTCAATTCAACCATTGCTAAAAGTTCATTTTTTTAGACGACTCCCATTTTAAGTTTTAAAACTTTGAATCAATGCACCCTAAGCTTAGTCTGAATCCAAATCTGTTTTGCCAATCCTCAAATGCAACTCAAAATGAAAAAGTCAACAAAGGGATATCTTCAAAGGGATATCTCCATTTCACGAAGTCTCCTGACTTTTCTGACAGCATAAGAGAATATCCAATACTTGCTTTTAATTTGAACAATTCGTCTTTCACATCATATTTCAATTAATTGATTAATAGTTAAAAAATTTTCAAAGAAGACGTTCTAGTGATGGTCAGAAAATGCACCTAAATATTTACAACACGAAAGACCCACGAAAGACCCTGGACAGTATTCATAAGTTTTCTTTAAAATATGACCCAGGGCTGTTGCAAGGCAAGCCTTGTTTGGGTTTACAACGAATTTGCCTGAGTAAAAAATTACCTGGAATTCTTTAGCAGATGAAACCATACTCTACAAAACTTTGGGTCAATACCAAGGATATAACTACTGTCCGAGGCGACACCCGTTGCCACTGAAGAAAAAATATCGATGGAAGAAATGCTTAATAATTCAAGCCTTCTCTTAAATGAATACCCACAGGCTGAAAGCTCTTTCATGGTTTTAATCGATTATCTCGTGTTAATCGATTATGTCGTTTTTATCATTTCCCTCAAATTTTTTCTCCTAGCATTTCTTATCATTTCAGTAAATCAAAACTCCTTGCACCCTCCCAATGATTTTATGAAATGGCGCCTCTGACGACAGCAGAGGTACCACAGTCTTTATCTGAACTTTTACCGACAAGCCCAAAATTATCTGTGGGTTCCTCGAAAATACCCCCACATTCCTTATCTTGGTACGCCTCTGGTATCTACTTTGTGCAAAAATCATCTAGATTTAGCGTGAGATCTTGAGGTGCTGCAACGGTGATCGTTGTTATTGTAAAGTACATCAAAGTTAGTAGGAACGAAGAGGTGGTATCTTGCAAGGTGATTCTTTTTCTGTTCGAAGCGATTTACCGTGGATTCTATTGTCAGCCTTTACTTAAATTTTCTTCGTTTGCTAACTATTTGGCTATGGTGCCTTCGGCGCTCCTATAAGGTGAAGGTTCATTTTGGCGCCCCAGATATTTGACCGGTAAGGAGGGCAAATGACCCCCTTGCCCCTGCCAGCACGCTACTGAGTCCTTCGTCAAAAGGCGAGCATTTTATTATTCTTGGCGTTTCGTGCTTACTGTTTTAAATTCCGAATAAAACATCATCAGCCCCATCAAAGATTTTCCCGCATGATGCCACTGAATTTGTTACCATCTCAACAATTCTCCCACTTTTTATTGAATACATTTCCATTGATTTGAGAAAACTAAGTTTCAATTCAAACACATCTTCATGTTACAGGTTGATAATGTTCGCCTACTTGGTCCATCAAAGAAAAGTAAGCCAGTAGTTGGAACACTACATCTTACCACTACACATCTGATCTTCATTGATCCTCAAGGGGCCAAAGAGACATGGGTAAGTTATGAATCTTAAACATTAGACTTCCTTGCATGTGATGTTAAACACCTAAATCAAGAGGCCTGAAATTTTCTTCTCTAAGAATCTGCTGGTCACAATTGCTGTTGAGTGATGCCTATGACATGCCTTGTTGTTTTATGAAGAAATTTTCGTTACCAGTTGCTACTATGATAGAATTTCCTGTTCTCCGATTTTCAGATTCTTCATAGCCATATTGCAGCAATAGAAAGGCTTCCACTAACAGCTGCTGGCTCACCTCTCAGAGTTAAAACAAAAACGTTCAACATAGTGACTTTCGTTATCTCAAGAGAAAGAGACTGCTTAAATGTATATTCCACCCTAGATGAGCTATCCAGCCCGAGTAAGTGTCATGCCAAATATAATTGTGTATACAATTTCTCATTTTAATGGCTGTTTGGTTAAATTTGACAACCATCAGACCTAACCATGAGTATTTAAGCAGATGGGTGGTAAATCATGTAACATAATCAAACGGGCTGACTATTGGTAAATTTTCATATTGGTAAAAATGTTTAAAAAATGAAACCTGGTTGAAAAATACTGTTGATCATAAAGAGTAGCGTAGTCACAGAGTAGAGATTTGAATTAAGGGTATAAAGCAAACTTTGTGGGAGTACTAAGCTGTTTTAATTATACAAAATGAGATTTGATGCACGTTATAATGTTAGCAATTCCAAAGACTTTCCTTAAAGTGTTTTAAGCCATGCTTCTATTTGATAGAATTTCACTTGCTTGCACAGAATAAGTAGAAGGTTGCTCACGGATCGCTATACTAACAGAAAAACAAGGCATCTTATGCAACATGATAGTGAAATACAATCGAATTTTTTCAGATTTTTTCGCAAATCTGTATATATATATATACCTTGGAAAGTAGTTTTAACTAATGGCTATGGAAGGAGCAAGCACTCAACACATGACTTAAGCTTTTCATCTAATATAAAACTACTTTCCAAGGTATATACTGAATATAGTATGAAACGTCGTAATAAGGGCCGAAAAGATCATGAGAGATAATATGTACCCAGTTGTGGATCGAAATAGGCCAATCAGGAAAACGTGAGCACATGACCGGTATAGTTGGCAAGTCGGTACCCCGGGCAGAAAGAAAAAATACCAAGAGAGAAAACAAACTTCTTATGACAACACAATAGAAGGTTTTTCGTTTGTATATAGATCGATTCCAAACTACTAGATGGAAAGACAACCGGGCTCTGCCAATTACCTAAAACATTTCATCATTATAGAGTTAAGCACAATCTGGGTTGTCTAAAAGATGTTGACCGATGGCAGAATCATGTTTTAACGATGTTTCTAGACCTACAAGATCGAGGAGACTGTTCTTTTTGAGGTGCAGTTTTGTTTCTTATGTTGAAAAGAACCTGTTGTTTTACCCTACCCCCAAATCTTTGGGCTGTGCCTCCTACGTGGAACACTGGCACGTAAATTCATTATTAACGGAACTCTTTTAGGTGGTAGGGACACAATCGTCCTTTTGTTGTTGTGTAAAGAATACGCGGATTGACAGCAAGGAAACAATTCGTAATGGCCTGTTTAATCTGACTTTTAAATTTTGAGTAAAGTGTTACCAATCCAAGGTAGTTTGAGATAAAATGAGCACTTTTGTTGACCCAAATTTTGGTCACCCTCGAACTCCAGTGGTAATTATTCTATAGGCACGCCGTACTAATTGGGTAGCTATACCGGTCATGTGCCGGCCTATTTCGATCTTCAACTGGGTGTGTATTTTCAACATTGTTCTTTCTTTTCTGTCCTTATTCTGATATTTTATTCCCTGATTAGTGTCAGGCAAAGAACTTAAGTCATGTTGTAAGATGTTTGCTTTTTCAAAGCCATTTTTGAATTATTTATAAAATTTTGTATTGAGTTTGTGCAAGATCAATTTTGGTTAGCATTTTTCTAGGCAGCCTTGAGGACCTGTATGCATTTCACTACAGCCCAAAAGAAGATAAACTTTTGCAATCTGCTGGATGGCAGCTTTATGACGTAACAACTGAATTTCATAGAATGGGGACTCCTCCAGAATTCTGGGTTGAAAGCAAACTCAATAAAGATTATAAGGTAAGGAAGATTAGGAGTAAATTTTTAAAAGATACTTCTGCTATTTGACAAGAGTCTTTTATTAGAGAAAACTAGCAGTAAAGGATTAAAAACCAATTCTGCATTGACTCACTCGCTTTGTCTATAAACATGAATTTCAATATCTCATTTTGTGTTTTTGCCATAGCTGTCGCCAACATATCCTCCAGTTGTCCTCATTCCAGCCTCTGCACAAGAATCAGTAGTTGTTGGCAGTGCACAGTTTAGAAGTAAAGGCAGATTTCCAGCCCTTTCATATTACCATAAAAGTACCAAGGTGATTATGCATCAGCTTCTTTTAATGTCTATCAGACCACATTTAAATATATTTCAAATGGTTTTTTTACAAATTAGTGACTGTCAAAAACGTACACAGTTCCTGACAATTTGTTTTCACTTTGGACTTCAAACAACGTTTTTAAAAATCATTCTAGGCTACTCGATATGTCCCATATATACTTCATGGTAAATCCGTTAATTTCATCACATATCATTTGATGTTCATCTTAAGAACAGCACAAAAAATGATTTTATTAATGTCAAGATTCACTTGTTCAGAAATTTCTTTAGCTCAAAGTATAACTCTCAAACTGATATTTGTATATTCGTATTTAAAGGCAGCAATATGCAGAAGTGCCCAGCCACTGGCAGGGCTAAATACCAGGTCTGCAGAGGATGAAATGATGCTACAAGCCATCGTCAGGTCCAACCCGGCCTCTTCTGTCATGTACATCATTGATACCAGACCCAAGGTAATCTTACTCAATTATGTAGTAAACTTTTGTAAAACTTCTTTTACCATGCTAGCTGATATTGGAGTACAGATTATTTCAAGCTTCTAATTCCTTCGGTGTAAACAAAAGCAATTTTTCTTTTTGCAGCGAATATAGGTGTCTGCCTCTCTTAATCAGGACTAAATGAAAATGAACTGCGAAACCATTTTAGAAGACTTCTTTCAATTATAAAAGATAAAGAATGAACACACCCACGCAATTTACATTTGTGCTTAAAGTTGCTTAAAATGTTTAGAGATAATTCCGTATTTTTTGGCATATCAATTACTGCCAGAAAATTTTAAGTAGGTTTGTAAGGCTGCCGTCTTACCTTTATTCTTTACATGCTGTTGCCACACAAGTTCCAAAGCGTGTTCCTGGGGCTTTCTGTCATCAAACGAACCCCATGTTTCCATTAAGCACAAATGCTGTCTTGTATTAATAGCTGCGTTGTTGTTTTCAGATCAATGCAATGGCCAACAGAGCCGCCGGGAAAGGATACGAAAATGTTGAAAACTATGATAATGTGAAGTTTCAGTTCATTGGTATTGAGAATATTCATGTAATGCGACAGAGTCTTCAGAAGATGCTGGAAGGTTTGTGTTGATTTTCATTGGTTTATTTGTACATTATATTGTTTTAGTCAAATTCGTGAGAATGGCCTGAAGGTCTCTACCAGAGCCTTTTTGCGTTATCGATGATTTAGTTTGTTATCGACATTAACAAATCCTTTTCTTTTTCAGCTTGTGACTCGAATGAAAAGTCGATATCCACATTCCTTGGTATTCTCGAAAGTAGTGCATGGCTCAAACACGTCAAGGCTGTGCTAGATACATCAGTCTTTATTAGCAAGGTATTTGACTTCAAACGCTTTTCACCCGCCTGTATATGTTGTTACTCTTGGGCTTGCCTCGTACCAGAGGCTGTCACATGAAGAAAAGTTTGACTGCCGGGACAAAACATGTTATTTTACAAAGAATTTTGCTAAGAGATTTTTATATCTAACTGCAATTCCTACCTCGAGTCAAGGAACACTAACGTCAGTCCAGGAAATCCTCCTTGGATCAATATTTAACGATAAAATAAATAAGACGATTATGCAGTAAGTTTTTCCCTGTAACTTGCGTATTATTTTTCTACGTTATCAACATTATTCTGGGTAAAGGGGATGGAAGTAGTAGTGCGTATTTGGGAAAAGAAATGAGACTTCGAAAAACATTAGGCCTATTTCTTGGCGTTCCAATTTCTTTTGGGAGACATCGTTTATAATACTTATGCAGTTAGAGACAATTCAAAGCATGTCATGCTTCCAGATAGCTACCATTGCCTTGCATTAAATGCCAATTCCACGCACATCATGCAACCGTATTGAATGATTTTTTACGATGCTGGAAATATCTGTTTGGTTTTTTTGTTTATCTCTCTCACAATTGTGAATCAGGGATCGTGCTTCTCTTTGCTAGGCCTTCTCGTCTCCAAAGGCATTCTTACTCATTTTGGTAGATATATGCTCAAAATATTGCCATTATCTTATTTATTTGTTCATTTTAATGCTAGAAATATATGTCGCTTTTATAAGGCTAGGTTTTACTACCTACGTGATTTGTATTATTTTATATTGTAATACCTTTATATTTTTATATATTTGTTGTACTTTGTCTAGTTGTAGTTGATAGTAGGTAGTGGAATTTAAAAAAATGAACATGAACATGTAACGATCTTTTCCCAGGCTGTCGATATAGAAAAATGCAGCGTCCTCGTGCACTGTTCAGACGGATGGGACAGGACAGCACAAACCTGTTCCTTAGCAAGCATCATGCTTGATCCCTATTACAGAACAATCCACGGCTTTCAGGTATTAAAATGTACTTGATTTTATCCGATTTCCCCCATTCATTTTCACGCCTGTCTGTCTACACCATCTTGTTTACAAATATCTACATTATCTTCTGTGGATCAAGAAAGACTAATGTTTCCTATCAGTCAGTTGCCCTCCTGTTCCACCTGACGTGTTGAATTGAAAAGTTTTCTATAAGCTTTGTCTGCCCATCTCTCGATACCATCAGTGCAAATTTTCGTCCCTGTATTCCTTGGTGTCTGCAACCGCAAAGCTAGTTTTCTTTTTTGCCTCGTTTTATACTGAACTGTGTTGTATTGAAATTTTCATCAAGTTGTTAAGGTATTTTTTGCGTTTATTTAGGTGTTAATCGAGAAAGAATGGTTACATTTTGGACACAAATTTATCGACAGGTATGCTGTTTTTTTTATTACCATCTTGGTACTGTCAATTTCATAATTCTAAGCGTGACAACAAATTTACAGTTCCAATGTTCCAATCTTTAATAAACCAATTTAAAGGCATTCTCTTTGGAAAATAATAATCAATTTTATTTTTTTATGTTTTCTTTAATGTTTATGCATATTTTAATTATGTGAAAAACATTGGACTTGTCTCACTTTCTGTCATTTTCCAATATTATTGTTTACTTATTACTAGGGATCTGGTATCGCCAATTAGTGTTGTATCGTTTACTTCATATTGCATCCCATTAACAAGCAGCAGATACCCTCAAGGGATGTATTAAATTTTCTGTCATGGACAAAACTGTGCACAGAAAATCGCCTTTTTCACATTTCATGCAAGTTATACATTTCAATCTACTTCTTTCAGGTGTGGTTTTCTCAAAGGCGACTCAAAGGAAACTTCTCCAATTTTCACTCAGTTTTTAGATTGTGTCTGGCAATTTACACAACAATTTCCAACGGCCTTTCAGTTCAACCAAAGGTTCTTGATAACGATTCACAACCATGTCTACTCCTGTCAAGTGAGTGTTGCTTTTGAATTCCACTTTTTTATTATCAAAAGTCTTTGAATCTTTAACTTTTGAAACGAAATGTTTCTTGTGCTGCTTCGTGTCTTTTCTCACTTGTCTTGCATTTGTCATAAATTGCAATTTTACGAGCTAATGTATCTCCTGGTGACTAAGAAATTCATAAACAAATATTCACAATTTTAATTCCATCTTTTTTAATATATCATGTTCCTTTGTTTACCACAGTTGTTTGGTTTTTGGAATTACTTCTTAAAATGACCTTGTTAAATTTTCTATTAATTTTTCGAAGTTTGGTACATTTCTTGGAAACTGCTGCAGAGAAAGGGAGGAGCTCAGGTGATCAATTTTTTGAATTCGTTTCATTTTTAGAATCTATAAAAGTCTTATTTTTGTGTCACCGAATCTTTCATTGTTTCCGTCATTCTTTTTAATAAGGATTTGATTGATCTATTGAAGTGAATTCTTTAATGGGAAACAGACTCGGGTTTATCGCAGTTCTTTTGCAGGGATGTAGAATGAAGGAATGAATTCTGAATATATGATTAAACAGTCTTCCATTCATTTTCCAGTCTTTCAGAAAGAACGTTTTCGTTGTGGGGCTTCATGTGGCAGCATATCAGCGAATACGTCAATCCATTTTACAACGAAGAAGACTACAGCATACTCATCCCTTCAACGTCCCCGCAACACATAAGGTACTATCAATTGCTTCCTTCAACTTTGATGTTCATTGTTATTTTGCCAAATTTTATTTTATCTATAAGAATGGCCGGAGGAAAAATGTGAAATTAGGAAGTTAAAAGCCTTCAGTTTATTTGTGATTCGAAGATTTAACGAAAAGTTTAAGGCAAGGCCAATAAACAGTCTTAACTCTGTTTGTTGACAGGTTTTGGCGTGGTTTGTATGCAAGATTTGACAATGATATTCACCCAAGAGAATCCATCACAGATCACATTTGCGCCATAGATGACCAAAATAAATCACTAGAAGATCACATTCGACTTTTGGAAAAGGTTTGCTTTCATTTGTTATCTGATTTTAAGTTGTTTGTTTTCTCTATTTACTCATGTTGTCTGGTATGCCATATCTACTTCATTTTGTGCATATTGATTTTGGTGGATTCATCCGCCCACTGCATTTAAAAGCGACTTTCAAGGTTCTTGGCTTTTTAAGATGACTTGTGTTATACGCCTAGTTTCTGCCCTCTTAATTCTTCGTTACGTTATGTTATTTACTTATTTTCAGTTTGTTTTAATTCGCGTTTAACTTTTATAGCTCTTATTTTAGTCATGGTCATATCTTTATTGATGTTTCTTTTTAAATTCATCTTTTGCACTTGCAGAAAGTCAGAAAAATGAAAAACTTCTTGGAAAAAAGAAACGAAAATTCAGAAGAAAGTTTGCGTCCAAATGAAGAAAGTGACAATCCGTCAACTTCTTGTTATATTGATCAAAAAAAGGAGCCGTTATCAGAACCACCTTCGTTGCTTCTGAACGAAAGGTTTTTGTTGGATAAAAAGAGCGAGGAAGATGAATTATTGTCAAACATCTTAGAGCAGATGCCCTCCTTTTCGGTTGAATGGAAATCACTAAGAGGCGTTACTCAGTGCTCCTGCGGCAGTCCTATTGACTACCTAACTCGCAAAGTACGCTGCCTTCAATTTTTTTCGTTAACGTCAAATCTTGTTATTTATTTTTTTGCCATAATTGGGATTTTCGAATAATTTCCAAGTTTCAGACTTGCTTTTCTCAATAGAGATGGGAAGCCATTAAATACTAGACTGCTCTTAAATAGCAATTTGAATTGTCTTAAACTGAAAAATTCACTTTTTCTACAGTTCAATTGCTGGAATTGTGGCGAAGTCTTTTGCAGTCACTGTATTGATAGGCAATCAAGTCTGCCTGCGCATTATTCTGAAAACAAAGTTCCTGTCTGCAAGTCTTGCTTCAAGTTGCTACGAAGATAAGGCTTTCTGGAGACTTTGTCATTCTGCCACGAACAAATGATGCATGAAGAGGTTTAAGCAAACACCAGGTCTGCAACGATGTGATAAAGTTGTGTATGGGAAAAGAAGACTTGAGCACTAGACTCTGCAAAACGAGACTTGCTTTTTTAGCACCAGAGACTGTAAAGTGAGACTTGCTAGTTTAATCGTGACGTGAATGACGTGGTAACCAATGAAACTTAGCTATAGTTCGAATTTTAGTTCATTACATGGTCGGTAAACACCACTGGAAAAAGCATGTTGACATTGCTGATGTTTTTGCAAAAGCTCTGCCTTGTCAACCTGTCCTTGGAATAATATTTTCGACAATTTTCTAAGTTAAACTGATGACGTAAGTTGTGACAAGTTTGTTGTTTACACTTGATCTCTAAAGAGTATGTTATAGAAATACGTCAGTTTAGAGTTGCAAAGGGTTTAAAAAGGGTTGCAAAGGATGACCATTCTTTCGGAACATTCTTTTTATTCGGTTTCTAAACAACTAGCTGCCTCGTAAAAAATGACGATTTTGTTTCTGAAGGCCTTTGATAAGTGTCTTCACTTCGTTCTTCACTTGTCTTCTTGGAAAGAAGAACTTTGATCAATCAAGGGGGTTTAACGCAATCGGAGAAAGGCAAATTGAGCGATGTAGATACATCAAATCAAAAGCAATTGATACCTTGAAAATAGTTTAAACATTTGCTTTTCAGTGTAGTCTGAATGGCGCATATTAAAAAAAGCGAGAGGTTTGAGCTGCCATGTGATCGAATCCATGTATAATTTTGACCTGATCACTTTTAAAAACTTATCATCACATGCAAAATTTAGAGAGAAGTATAAAATTTACATAGATATCTTGATCGAATATCGTTTCTTATAAATAATTGAGCTTTATTCTTGATATGCATTGTGCAATGAACACGTGTTGATACATGATTTTAAGGAATGGCTGGTAAATAAGATTTTTTAGATTGTTAGAAAGTCATTTTTGATTAAACATCTGCAGCGTCCAGAAATCCTCTGAAAAGAACGAAATTCAAAACTTCGAGCAAAGACCAAAACACTTTATCATTGCGATCCTCTTGAAAAAACGGATATATGATTTGCAGTAAGATTTTTTATTATTGACTGTCACTTTTGATGTAATTGGTTACAGTAAGTGTTTGTCCCAACTAGTTGTCCCATTGTAGCATCTTCGTGCCATTTAAGCGACAGTACTCTTAGGGTGTCCCTCGGACCCAGTCTTGTTAGAAGCGAAATTGATCATTAATGATATTATTTCAACATTTTTTTGCTTTGCTACCAATTTTACAAAAAAGCACTTCTAGGGACAAAAAAGTGACTATCTATTTGAATCAGGTACAAGACGAGTCGAGCTTTTCACCCTTTATAATTCAGTCTTTGACCCTGGATCACAGGCTGGCAGAGATCTTGATGATTGTCTATCACATGCTCGTTTTCAGGATGATTATTTTCAGATTATATTATATCCTCTTAAATTCAATTGAATCGGAATGTTTGTAAATTCTCCTCTTACTTTGAAAGACTGACTTCATTTTATAACTTCTGAATTTTATCATAGAGAATTGCCCTTCCGCACAAGTTGTTTTTCAAGCCCCCCCCCCCCCCCCCCCCCCATTAAAGACATACAATTTATTGAAGAAAAAGAATTATCGTACTAATCTTATAACGAATGAATATATGCATCACTTGAGAGCTTGATTAAAAAAACTAATTACAATTGAAGTCCAAAGTTAACAAAACTAAAGATTAACGTTAAACGTTAAATGATTAAATTTGTATAATGAATCTAACCATGTTTTGTGGGCGCTGTAACCTCAAACACTTTGTCCATCCGCATATAAAGGATATTCGCCGAGTTAAAGAAGAAGTATTTCTCGCCCTGTAGTATAATTGTTGACTGTTTGCGATAATTGTAACGTATCAATACATTTCTGTAGCAGTTGAACTTGCAAAGTATGGCTCTCAATTATGAAATTTGAAATAGATACGCATAAAAGCAGCATATAAGATTATTTGCTTATGACCACACCCTTATAGAGTGAGACACCCTTCTTTTGTCGGCAAATGACTCATTTCTGTACCTTTCTGATAAAACTTTTGGCTTCGCTCTTGGGTGAGTTTTGATGAACACGTTACATACATAAGTAATGTGGAGCAAGTAATGTGGAGCAAGTAATGTGGAGCAAGTAATGTGGAGCAAGTAATGTGGAGCAAGTAATGTGGAGCAAGTAATGTGGAAAATGTTGAGATTTGTAGACCATGACTTTAGACTATAGACTCATTATTTACAAAACCCTCAATTGGTTTCCAACGCATTTCATTGATAAGTGGTCTGCTTGGAGCATCAAAGCTGCTGTCAGTTATGATCCTAGCAGCTGGGTTTTTGGAGTTTTTGTAACTGATCAATTTAACTACAATGCCTGCCAAAAGGAACACGGACATCAATTTCCAAGGTCAAAATCAATCATCCCCCTCTCCCCTACAGAACAATATTGGTTTACTATCAAATGGGTTAGGATTTTAGGAAGCACTTTCTTTTGCTTCTGTATCATTGCAATGTCTTCATTTTTGATGTGTAAACATGAAAATACTTGAAACAAAGAAGATGCACACTTCTGATCAAGAAGTAAAATTCTTCAATCAATTCGACATCTTGTCATTCCCAGCAACGTGCACTCTGATCCAATGGTCACCCTTTCTTTCCCAAACGTCTGTCACAAAAGGTTTAGGATGACTCCTCCCCTCACGAATTTTTCCTTAAAAATCAATAATCGACGTTTCTGCGAGAATCATCCAATAGTCTATTCTGAGCGGTATAGTAATTTGCTAAATTTCAGTCTGGGAGATGCATTTTTAGCCATTCTAAAAGACTTAATACAAAAATTTTATTGCACGTCGGACCCAACCATGGTTTCTTCTCCTATGTCACTAAACTTGATTCTTAGCCCCCCAGGCTCATTTTCGTGCCGACGCCCCTGTCCGCTTAAAGTCCATGGGCTGCAACACAGGTTGGAAAGACAACGAAAAATTTAACACCCATACACACAGAGTATTTTGTGAGAAAATTATATTGTTTTGCAAAAAGGGGACAAGGGGAACAGTAAAATTCCAAGCATAACCTTCTTTCTCGTTTCAGTTACATAAGAAAAAGAACAAAGCAGATCCATTGGTAGAAAACAATAGCCTTGTAAAAATCAGTTTTGCCCTGCGAGATGGTCCTATTTTCGTGGTGAATCACCCCTCATACCCCCCTCAAGTGACGTCCTGCTTAGGATTTTGAAATAACAAAATGAGAGCATTTTTTTAGAATGTACATAACTTCAAATTCCTTTTAATAATAGAAAAATTAAACTAAATTTCCTCATTAGCGGTTTCCTCATAAGCATGACTGCGACATTGCCTGACGCAGCACAGTGTCTCTGCCTGACGCAGCACAGGCGCTACTAGCGATGGGAGAAGCTGTAGCGAGGGTGTGAATACAAACCAAAGAAAAGAGATTGGCAACGTTGCTGAAATAGAAAGCTTTTAAGAAAGATCTTAAGTTGAGTTATTTCTTGTTATCCACTGTAGCCACCAAGAAGGGTATTGCGTCTCGGCTGAAGAAACCGAAGGAAGGAAATGACATCAATGAATTTGTAAACCTCTCGATTAGGCCAGGTGATAATGAGGAAATTTATTCCGAACATGACTCATTTGCTGCACAATTGATCGGAATTCAACGCTTGTCATTGTTGTTTTTGGTAGAAAAGAAAGTGGATCGCTAGCTGTTTCTCTTGTTTGAAACATCTTCAGCGAATAACGCCTGTCTGCAACAGTATTGCAAATTTTTATTGTGGCGGTATGTCTTGGATACTGTCGCTGGATTATTGGAAATTTTCGGCAAATAGGGACGGCAGTTCTTCTGGCTGGGTGTCGAGTAAAGTGCCTGGTAATAAACTTTTTAATTGTGCTGGTAGATTCTTACTAATCTAGCTGCATCTGTTTGGAATTGTACTACTTTTGTTTACCCCTTCGATCTACCTGCTTTTGCATTTTCCTTCATGCCTTCTGAATAATGTGTGAATACTTAAAAATTCATCTGCGATTTGTTATTTAAAACGAAGCTTTTATGAAAAGTGAATGATAGTTTAAATTGAGACTATTCGTTTATAGCATGGTTATACATTCAACCTATTTGTTGCTGTGCGAAGCCATGGTTCATTTCAAGCAGTGTTTTTATATAAATACTCCGCTTAATTGAAATGTACTGTGACCTTTCTGCAATTTGGAAACTGAAAATGGTATTCAGCCCACTTTATATAGCAAGCAGTATCAATTAAAAAAAACCTACTAATGGACCAATATATAAGATAAGTATATTATATAAGTGTTTAGGAAATAGAACCAGGATTCATCATCTTAAATCACAGTTGTTTTTATTCTAGAAGAACAAAACTGTTTCTGCTATTTCTTCTCTCAATTTCACAAAATTGATCAAAGTAGCATACATTGCCATTTATGATTTTTAATATTAAAATTATGTAATTTTCATCATTATTAGTGACTGATATTATCAGCAGTGGCTTTGAAAAAGCAAACATTTAAAAAAAATTCTCAGGGAGAGAGTTTGTTCCTGAGAAAAGAGACTCCTCGGTCTTCTTGATCAGAAATAAGAATGATAACATGGGATCCTGTCAACTGGCAGCATTAACTAGAAAACCAAGATTGAGCCAAAAACTATAATGGCTACATGTTTCATATTATTTGCAGAGAACTGTCATCACTCTGTCTAGCAGCTTCAGAAACCATCTATGTAAAAATAAAAATAAAACACTATGGGTAAACGTAAAAATAAGAAGGAGTTCATTTTCACCCTTGGACTCCTATGGTAGTATTTTAAACAGTGAAGTGGCACTGATTGGGCCACCTTTTCACTCATTTGCTAATGTTTCTGTTGGCCTATTCTAATGCACAACTGGGGTCATTTATTTCCTAGCTTAGAATTTATAACCATTATTCTTATGTTTTGTACATCTACCAAATACTGTCTTCCTTCTTAAAAGAAGATTCTGACAGGGGTGACAGCCAGAGTGGATGGAGAGTTAATAGTTTGAAAAATTTGGGAAGCATGATTGGCACTTTGATTAGGATAAATCAGCCCTTTGTATGATCAGTTTGAACATATTACTTACTTTCCACAATGGATGTCACAGTTAAAAGAGTAATGTATAAAGTTATTCAGACCATATTTAAAGAGTTTTTTAGAGTTTCATAAAAAAATGTCCTTGTGTATTTAAATTGATGGCATATGTGGCACACAACTATAGTCAACTATGCTCATTCTATCTCTAGAACAGTCAATACTTTGACTTGCGATTACACTTGTTGGTAAGATGTTCCATTCCCATATTGTATGTGGGAAGAATGTATATTTATGGTAGTTTCCTGATTCGTGTAAAGTGTCTTGTACTGTTACTGTGTGTTATATGAAGGTATGCTTTAAAGTGTTTTCTTTTTCAAAAAAAATTTTTATTTGTGTACTGTCAAAAATCATCAATAGTGATAGTTGAAATTCATTTTTTATTATTTATTTCAAATATTGTTCCTATGGCCATTTTCAATTCAGAGAGGAATCTTTCAGTCTTAGGGTTTTACAATATAAACTTATAAATGTTTATTTGTGATTTCCTCTACTTTTCAGGGTTTGTTTTAGTATGAAGAGGCATGTTAACAACAATGATGTCTATGGTTTTCAAGGTCCTCATTTGTCTTGCACATGAAATTGGAGGAACTGTCTTTGTTAGTTCATTTAATGTTTCGCCAAGTCTACAACTGGGCAGTTCAATTTTTTATGAAACAACAAATGGATCTAACCAGCACAATTCTTTGCTGGGAGAAGTTAAACAGCAAAGAACCACCCAAATTCAGAACATAGCACAAAGCAGAATAAAGACAAGTCCTTTGAGGCAGTTTGCAACTACCAATCTAGAAAAAAGCACAGTTGCAGCTAGCATCTCAATGACTAATATAAATTTGAATGGCTATGCTTCCGTTGCATCTTTTCCCAAAGTATCCTCAACTGTAAATATTTCATCCTGCATTGAATGCAATAACTCTTCAGAAAGTGATAAAAGCTTTCTCTTCATGATGCTAGGCATTGGAATTGGGGCCACGTTTTTCATTTTCATTGTTTCATTAGCAGTTGTTATTTGCTTAAGAGTAAGGAAAAGCAGAGTTGCTGAAGCCAGAAAATCCTCGGAATTTGACGACACCTTCATGTCAAAAGAATCTATCTTCAACAGCTCAACTCTGCAGTTGCATAGAGGTCTAAATAATGATGGTCTTGAACTAGACGGTGAGATTTTTTAAATTCTTAAAGTCTTTTAAATGGTGCAATCTGTAAAGTGTCACCCAAGCCCTAGGGTACTTGTGAACCAAGGGTGTACTAGGAAACATGTTTTGGAGTGGGCACATAAAAATATATGATTGCTTTGTTTTGTTTATTGGAAGTGTGGATGATATTTTATCTAATTCCAAATGTATTTTGGAATTATGAAGATGTCATTCAACTTTCATTTCTTCTAGATCATTCTTCTTTTTTGATAATAGATTTGCATATCTAAGTGCTCATACAATAGTGCAAAGGTGTCACAAAGAAAATATTTATGCATAAAAACTCTAGATTATTTATCAATGACAAAGTATTAAGTGAACAGACCTAAATTTCATTGCAAGAAGAATTAAAAATCGTCATATTATGGTAGAAAATACATTCACTTGCACCTGTCAGAAAATCCTGTAGGTTACTTAATGAAAGTGTAAAACAGACACAAATGGTCAGGCCTGGCGGTTTGAGGCGAGCGATAGCTCGCGCTCGCCTCCACGCTCCCCTCGCAACCTGAGGCGAGCTATGAATTGCTCTCCTAAACAGAACATGAAAGGAGAATCGCTCTCCTAAAATTTCCATTCATTTGCCCTTTTCCTATTCAGAGAACCCTGAAAAGGGTTAATTGGTTTATTTTTGTAACAGCGATTTCTCCCGTCACTGCATTATTTGCAATTAACTTTTTGCTTGTTGGGCGGTTTTTGTTATAATAGGCATGAACTTCGATCTATTTGGAAAAGGGTGGTTAAGCGAAAGGTACGTTTCTAGCGATTAAAACCTTTCAATCTTAATAAAACAGGCATATTTTTGGAAGTAAAGTCGAAGAAACCAAAACATGGAATTCCACTATCCAGCGGCATTTACTGAAAAACCCAGATTGGGTGAAAAACTATAACGGCGACATGTTTCGCATTATTGGTAAAGCATGATCATCGTTCCATCTAGCAGTTTGTGAATCTATCTACTATATAAACATGACAGACCGCTTTTGTGTAGACAGAAGGAGTTCGTTTTCACCTTAGGAATCCGTTGGTAACATTTTCAATAGGAAAGCGGCAAAGATTGGACAACCTCAACAGTAATGTGCTCACGTTTTCTGATTGGCCTATTTCGATCCAAAACTGGGTATTTTAGCGTAGAGTTTTCCATCTATGTTCTGACGTTTTATACTCTGAAGAGTGTTAGACGTATAACTTAAGTTTGTTTCAAAATTTGTTTTTCAAAGCCATTTTCAAATTCTGTACAACAAAAAGACTGTTTGGCAAGAAAAATGTTGTTTTTGTGTTGTGAAACTGAAAGAGTCTGTTCTTTTAAATACTTTAAGTAAAGGGGGTGCTGAAGTCACGGTTAGAGCAAATGCAAATTGAAAGAAATAAAACAGCATACTCCTGACTGAGGCTATTAAAGGCAACCGGCAGATACTAAAGGGGCTTAAGTCATCTGTCGATTGTCTTTAAAGTACATTCTATGTGTTACTGATTTAGCTCGCCTCAGCAAATGAGGGGAGCAATTCACAGCTCACCTATAAAAATACAAATGGCCAGGCCTGAATGGTGTGAGTAAAGTGTGCAAAAATGTGCCCAAAATATTTTGATAAATTAAACCCATTTCCAGTCAAACACATTGCAACACAGCCCCAAAGCTGGATTTTTGCTAATTAAGGACCTTCATTATACAATCCACATGTTATAGTATTAGAGCCATTTCCGCCTTCTACCGAAAATCACAGCTTCTTACTGAATAATGTTATTTTAACAAGGTCCCATACCAAAGTCCTTTTTCCTGTTTCACATACCCCACAGCTCCACATACTGAATCATTTTGTCTTGCTATCAACTAGATACTGTTATTAAGATTTCCAACATTATAAACATCATATGAGACCTATATGCATTATAATCAAAGCTGGCTGTTGATAGTAGCACATAACCAGATTCATAGTTTGATCTGTATTGTTATATCACATGTAGGGAGTTAAAGGAAAAATTTGTTAAATGTGTTTGCATGTCCTGGTATTCTTATTACTTAATGTGATACATTTTTCAGTAGAAACACAATAAAAAAGCCTGTTTTTATATTTTGAATTGTTGAATTTTTTTGCAATCATTCCCATCTCCAATATTGCAGCATACAATAATCCAGTTTTTTCTGAGAGAAGTGCAAAGCATGTGTCCGCTCATCACACTAGTGATGTCCCTGTTGACATTAATATTGAAGTAGTTGATGCCATGCCTACTGAATCAAACGCAAAGTCAAAGAACAATTTAGACAATGGTATGTACATTTGAATACAATTACTGTTGTTGGCTTTTGAAATCTTGCTCCAACATTTTTTTGTTTCAGCTACAAAAAGTGATGTATCATAAGAGGTAACAATTGTATTGGACAAAAATAGACTTTGCACCTTAGAACAGTATTCCTATATATAAATTATACTGCTAGACAGGCAACAAAAGCTTCATTCATTGAAGAAATTCAGTCTGATGCACTTTGGGGAAAGTGATGTACGCATAAGCAGTCTTAATGCAATAATATTGTTTACAAGTTTGAAAAAAAATGAAAAGCAGACTAATTTCAACTTGAGCAGATTGTTTTAAGGGCCAGATCGCATGAGAGTTTTTGCTAGGGACTTGGTTCCACCTGATATGAAAATCTTTATCAAGCAGGAAAAGTTTTCACGATTCCTAATATAGTGGGCTTTGCTTACAGTCACTGGTTAAGGTAGACCCAAATACTGTATTTTGCTGTGTATAAGACGCACCTTTTTTTGAATTATTACTGGCTTTTTTGAGGGTGCATCCATCTTATACATGGTAACATTGGCTGTCCCATCATTTCCAATTGAAAGCAAACTGTCATTTCAAATACAAAATATTATGATCTTAGGAGCACCTGTTCTCTTAATTTGAATAATCAAACTTTTACCAGAAATTTAGTAAAAACTTTTAAATTCTCCAGCTGCAAAAGAAATATATCTGACAAAAGCTTTTCTACTCCCAAATGGAAGGGTTGTACCCTGCATTCTCTCAATCGGAGGGCACATCACTGTAATTGTTGTGGAGGTTGTGAATTAAACGGATGACGAACAATAATTTTATGGACTTTTAAACCTATAAATGTTGATGATGATTTTAAACATAATAGTTTAATGTAACATAATATTTGAAACATTGCAGTTTGAACGAATTTTCCTCCACAGAGTTAGTGTTTATAGTATACTCGAGTTTATTCTTTTACTGAAATACACATGCTTCACCAAAAGTGAGAAAAGGGGGTGCATCTTATACAGGGTAAGACACAGTAAAAACTATTTTTCGGAATTCTAACATGGAATTACGGGTGTGCCTTATGCAAGGATGTGTCTTGTACATGGCAAAATGATGTACATAAAACTATTAAATTCAGCTCCGCTTACAGTCACACTCTGTTTACAGTCACAAGTTTTCAAGCAACATTTGGTGTGACTACTTTACACCCCACCCTTCTAGCAATTCAAGCATAAAATGAGCCCACTGAGGACTGCAAAAAGTTGTTATGGTTTTGCAATGGCATGTTTATTTGTTTGTCTTTTATCAGTCTCATTTGCGAATTTGCTTATTATTTTTGAATTTGCTTATTATTTCATTTGTGAAATTGTTCTGATGTTTTTCAGAGACAGAATATGGTGTGTCAGTTAAATTGATCGAAGATTGGTGTGAGGATCTAGAAGATGAAAACACAGAGAAGTACAAGGAATTGAAAAACAATATTGAAGATTCAGTAAGAGAATTTTACTTCTTTGACATCCTATATTGATTGATAATCATGCTTCTTCACCATATGTATTTGACGTTTCTGCAGAATCAAAGAAACGTTGAACCAAGGCATTATTTACCTTGACAAACTACTTTTTGATTTTCATTGAAATGGTCATGAAAAAAGATTTTATCTAAAAGCTCTTGCTCATTTATTGCTAATTAACATATGTTTTTTCATTAATTTTGACAGGTCAGATATATTTATAGAGAGAAAGAAGGATTCAAAAATGTCAGACTAAAGTCATTTAGGTTTGAAAACGTTATTTTTGCTAACTTTCTCTTTCATAATTTGACTAGGATGAATGGCCTCAAACCATCACTCAAAAAAATTCTCCTTCTACGGGCACACCGCCTCTATTTATACTGCTACTTATCATTACGTCACTTTACAAAAATACCTACCGCGATAACATCATACTTGCGAGATTACCATCGAATATTCCAGAAAATTCTACGCATACTAATCATACCAAGAATTATAATTACAAAGCAATGTCAGCGGGGGATAAACAAAGCAAGTCTTAAACAAAACAACCGCATACGTAATTTTTCTAAAGTTAGTTCTAAAGATTATGTAAGTTTGCATCACGTGTCTTCGTGGCACTCAGTGACTCCGTCACAGTTATGAAATAGCATGTTGGCGAGAATGTCAAAATGAAAGTGTTTTATATTCACCCCTGTTATTCAAAAGAAGCTATGTAGAAAATTTTTTATGATTTTCTTTGTAAAACACCGTTATGTCTCAACGTAAAACTGGCCTCCATGCCTCTATCTCTTCCTTTGGAATGGTATAACTGAAATTTTTAATATCGTGTCATTTATCAGGCATCAAAGTGATTCATCATTTATTTGTAACCAAAAAAACTTTCCTGGCACAGCTGCTTACTTCAATTTAAAACCAATACCTAAATCGTAGAGATTATTTTGTTTTAATTTTATAGATTAATAGCATCGAAATCTTTATTGTCTACAAATTTCCTTCCAGGAACGGCAGTGTCATTGCAGACTTAGTTTTAATCATGCTTGCTGCTGTATGCAATCCTCTAGATGTCCTTGAAATGTCCGTGCGTAACTCGATACTCGGAAGTTTTCAAGTAGATCCCCATTTCCGCTTAGTATCAGATGCCATTGCAGGTATGCTATTGATCAATTAATTAGAACCTTTTAGTCACAACTCCAATTAATTCTTTGTCGGATAACTTGATGTACAGATTTTTTGTGTCAATGAAATTCTCAAGCAACCTCTTCGTGGTACAGAATTTAAAAATGGCTTTGAAAAAAGCAAACATTTTGAAACATGCTTCTAAAGCTTTCCATCTGACACTCTTCAGAGTATAAAACGTCAGAACAAAGATCGAAAACACTACGCTAGGAAATATATACCCAGTTGTGGATCGAAATAGACCAATCAGAAACGCGAGCACATGACTGTTGATGTTGCTCAATGCTCACGGCCTATTTCAATCCACAACGGGGTATATATTATTTCCAAGCGTAGTGTTTTCGATCCATGTTCTGACATTTTATACTCTGAAGAGTGTCAGACAAAAAGCTTTAGTAACATGTTTCAAAATGTTTGCTTTTTTCAGAGCGATTTGTCAACGAAATGTTTGATAATGTGAGACCTTGGCTTTCTTACTAAATTAGACTTTGAGAACCCGGTAGCTGCAACAGCTCAAGTTCCTCTGTATTTTTGTAGATGGCATTCTGGGAAGCGGGGATACTAACGATGGTGCCTCTGTTACATCAAGTAAGAAGTATGTCCACAGAAAGTCAAGTGAAGGCTCTTTTGAAAATAGACTGGGAATGTTTAGTAGTGATTCGGGTCTTGGCATTGATATGAAAGAGCGTCCGCTGTCGTTGGACGACATACGACAGTTACCTTCTACTGCCAGTGCTAGATACGGTCGTGATAGCGGAATAGGGTCTATGCCTGAGCTTAATGGATCAGAGGCCCGATTGTACAAAAGCGAGGCAAGTGTGTTTGATGACATTCTAGAGTCATCGGATGATCAGCTGCAAGACGCTTGTACATTAAGAACTGAAGTGCAGGTTTCACCAAGAAGACACACAGGTAAGGCATCATCCATGCTTTTACTTTTGTAATTTGGTATTGCTGTAAAATATTTTCCGGCACATTGGGTTTTTGCAGGTTGCCCTGATATTAATCACCATAATGACCTAACCTAATATGAAATTGAAACCTGAATGGCTTCAGAATGCTGAATTTTTTCATAATTTAATTTCGCTTGTCACCTCAGGGTGTGGCTGTAATGAAAATCTTGAAATTTCATCAGAGCATTTCACAAGAATATTCCCATCAAAACCGTTTTTAGATAGTTGCTTGTCGAAATGTATCTTAAAAATGCCTTTTGAACCAGTCGTTATAGGAACTTCTGAGCATCTTTTCCCTTCCCTTTTTTTTATTTGACTTGATAACGGGCTATGCACGAAACTTCGTTAGTAAAATCGCTGTTTTTTCCTTGTACAATTTTACTTAAATTTTTAGTTATATTTTATTATCCACGCAAGCTAGTGTATTTATGTTTATTTTTGGTTCATTTTCTCCATAGATGTTCCACACGTGGCACTGTACAATTTTACTGGTGAAAGTAACCGTGAACTAAGTGTGGGCCAGGGAGAAGTTTTGTACATAATTAATAAAGAGGTCTCCGGTTGGGTCAAAGTAAGAAATTCTTTGCAGCAACGCGGATGGATTCCTGTTTCATTTCTTGTTCACGTGAGTCAATCACAGCTGGTAGATACCCAGGAGACTGTCGAGGTCAGTGTTACAGCGTGTGAAATCGTTTATGCTGCTTAAAAAATCATTAATTTCCTTTGAATTCATTAATATAGATTAGAGCTTTGTGAGGAGCTTCCGAGACGCCAAGACCATTAGGGGATTTTATTATTATTAAAACAAATGACAGAAAGCGATACTGTAACTTTTTCTTTTCCGCAGACGCTAGAGTTCTTTGACAATGTCCTGGACCAGCTTGATAATGATTCTGAAAGTAGCACCTCCACAGTAAGCAGCACTGAAAGTGAAAGTACCCCGCATCAAGCAGGTATTTCCGCGGCCGATTAGGCTTTTCATCTTTCATTATTTTTGCTTCGTAGCCCCACGAGTTATATTGGGCTGCTTTGTAAGTAGCTGTGTCAAACTTTACAGTTCAGGTTACAATTTGTAATACCATTTATTTTTCGTGACAGAACCTGTAAAACTGCTTCGTGCAATTATGTCGTTTTTTCTTATCAAATTTCAACGCAGAAAATATTGCTGCGTTTCACTAGTCAAATAAAGGTTTCGTGGCCTCTAGGTATGCGGGGTTATCACACATTTATGGTTCGGTCAACAATTTTGCTATTTATTGATTTGGTTAAGATATGACTCAGGTTTCCTGGTATTTTTTTGTTTCAGATCTATCCAATGACATAAATTCGGCGAACAAAATTTTAGCTGCTCCTGAAGATAATTTGAAGATTAAAGGTACTCATACCGTTTTTGCCTCTAAATATTTGTCTTGATGGAAACTTGATGCAAATTGTCTATATGAATTTGAGCGAAATTTTTTATTTGGCAGCCTAACTAATGAAGGGGATTAGCCAAATATTTTTCAACATTGGCTTTTAAAACTTTTGTAAACAGTACCGAATACGCTCGATTGGTCTGAGGGATCTGTTGTTGTTCTTCCCAGCGGTTGTTCTTTCCAGCGGTTGTGTGCGACCTACACATTTCAAAAGTTATCTTCATTTTTATTTAGATAGATTTATAACCTATGTTTTTAAGTGTCTAGATCTTATGGCGCTTTGGTATCTGCGAAATGTATAATTATTTTTGTAAATGCAGGAGCCTGTAGTTTTTGTATGCTAACGCATCAGTTAAGTTTTTATGCCTTTGTGCGCCATTTTTTCATTTTTTGACATCTGGTTTTGATGTTTTTAAAGTGAAGCATTGCAAATCTGTGTATAAATTCGACGGAGAAGATCCCTCAGAAATTTCGTTCGCCGAAGGGGAACTAATTCGTGTCGTAAAGATGAGCAGTGGTGGTTGGTGGAAAGGACAGCTTAAAGATGAAATTGGCTGGTTTCCTTCCTCATATGTTATGGTACGTTTCATGTCTTGCTTTACTGTTTCAACAAACTGTGATCAGGAAAAAACCATGGTTTTGAAATACAAGTTTACTTATTTCCCAATTTTTATCTTAGGATCCTATTCCATGATACCCCAAAATGGAAAAATTTGAAACAGAATAAAAGTTTATTTTGGTACTGAAATGTATCTTTTCTTAGATTAATCGAACTCTTCAAGACATTTTGTCATTTTTAAATCTTTAAATAATATTGTGTTGTTCCGTCTATTGATTTTTGTCAATTTTTGATTTGTTAAGCCTCTGAACGAAGAGAGTGAGCTGCAACCAGGTGTCAACGTTTCCAGTTTCGGTAAAGTCAGTCGTGACGAGCGACGAAATACGTACAGTGATCCGAGCACACGAACCCGCACGCGGCCATCGATTTACGAGCTGCAGAACTTAACACGTGGCGACCAATCACACCAATCCTTGCAACGAGGCTCAAGAGCGAGGAAGGATTATGCAAATTTATATGTTCAAATTTTGAAACGAGAGTCGAATGAAAACATACCAAAGTCCTGTTCCCTTTCGTCTTTACAAACAGGTCCAGACGGTAGGTCCACGATCAGCCTTATGTATTTGCCTGTTCGTTTGTGATTGCTTTGCCCGGTGGGGCAAATATTCCTGTTCTGCTTTTAGACCATAAAAGCCGGTAAAAGCCAAGGCTAAAAAGCCTGTTGAAACATTGCTTAAACGTAGAGTTAACATTTCATTGCAGCAAAAACGTAGCGTTCACATCTCAAGGGTTATCATAATGGCAGCAAAATGTCTGGCAACCCCTCGCTTTATCTTAGAATTTGGAGAAGCTGAAGCTGAAGCTTCCCTACATTTTATGATGATCATTTTGGAAGGAATTTTCTACACATAAGGCTATGTATAAAAAGGGCATAAACATAATTTGAGAATAGTTTTTAACAACCTGACATTCGCGTATCAATAGCGTACCAGAACAAACAGATGAATGTAACCCGGAATCTTTCAAAAGCACAATAACGAGCAAAGACAACTTCTTTAATAATCGGGCTTTCCACTCAAGGTGGCCTTTAACAAATTTCAAATTCAATCGGTTTCAAATCGAACTGTTGCTCTTGTGCAAATCAAAGAGGTCTGGTTAATACAACTGGACAATTTCCCTTGTTTCTGATTTTTGATAACGTAATTACTTGCCTAAAATATGTAAGTTATGTGTGGTACTATATCCAAAAAATGAAAATATAATGAGCGAATAATTAAATACCAAAATGCAAAAAGCATGTAATCGTTGTCGTGTACTTGATAACGAGTACATGCTCGAAACGTTGTGTTTTTAACAATATGTTGCATTTGGGTACCTAATTTATCCGCTCATTATATTGTCATTAATCATTTGCCTGCTGTGAAAAGCTTTACTTTTTTGTAAGATCTATGCAGATGTTCAATTAATCGATTGCTGTAAACTTTTACAGGGTCGAGTTTGGACAGGCCTCTACGCCCGCCTCCATCACCTCCAAAAGATGACAAAACATATTTTGAAAACATGACGGAAGACACAAGCGCGAAAACTGCAGCCTCTCTTGTCAAAAAGACTCGTTCATTTGACGAAGGTCCCCCTAAGCGAACTGTACCTTTACCGCCAACCCCAAGGCTACCACTTGCACCCTTCTCTCTTGTAAGGATGAACAGACAACATGATGCAAGTTTTCATGAAAAAGAATCTTCTATCAAGGTGGCTCCTCCATCCAGAACTAGATACGAAATATCACAGGAGAAGCCTCGCAAACTTATCGATATTGAACGAAAGGAAAGCTTAAAAAGCATCCCTTCTAGTGAACTTGCAGAAGACCTTGAGGATAGTTGATCACTTCATTCTTGCTGCTTCCCAAATTTTCAGTTATTTGATCGATCGATTTCACCGAATGGCAGTTTTGGAAGCATCGTGATTCCAAGGTTGTGTCTAGCTATTTGCAGCACTGTCTGCAGCCTGAAAGTTTCCTAAGAGCACTTAACAAAAAGTGTTTGAAGTGAAAACGTACAAAAAATGGAAGGGCGAACACTTGCTTTATATTACCTTTCCAATTCCACTGAAAATTGTGTAGCTGAAGTTAAATTCTCAAAATGATAAATCTTGGTTATAAAAATGCTATTTTCTAAACCGCCAAACAAGACTTAATTGGCCATCGCTGAAAATCTGAGCCTTGTTGGTTCATCAAGACCTTTGGCTGACAATGAATCTTTCGCCAAGGCAATGGATCTTTCGCCAAGCCAATGGATCTTTCGCCAAGACAATGGATCTTTCGCCAGATGTCGTAGCATGTGAAATGTGTCAATTTGGTCTAATCTTGTAGAGACCACTTCATTTTCCAATAAACGATCTACCATTGGCTGACACCACGTTGCAATTAAAGTTCTACGCTTCATTAGAACCATATTATTTCGTAATTATTGGTCTTAGTTTCCGTTGCTAGTGTATGTACAAAAGGCCTCAACGAGGCCACCCCTCCTTAATGCGACCATAGGATATGTTTTAACAGTAAAACAATCAACGAAAGGACTTTGTTCCAGTAATAGATCAAAATTCCTCGTCTAATAGGTCCTGTTAATAAAGAGGTTTGGTTGGATTAAGATTTTCTACAAAGTTACTGCTAGCATCTAAGCCTTCAAGCTAACGTTAATTTTAGCAGTATTCTATTTGGAGATGAAGCCCCATAAAATACTCTAGCGTTATTTTAGACAGTAAACAAAAGTCTTAGAGATAAAGTTTTTAAAGATAAATGTCTTTAGTAAACAATGAAAGCGTCAAGCCCTATTTATGTATTTAATCCAATTAAATGAAAGCATGTAACAAAAAATAGCTTATCGTCGAAGTTCGCTACTGGATAATTTAATTGCTTTACAGAAAAGATTAGTAAAATATGGAAATTATATCACTGTTAATAGAGTAATTTATTGCAGAAATCAAATAAAATTTCCTAATATCTTTATTCAACTGTCTTCAGTGGTCAGCGTCAGTAGCAAGCAGTCGAAAGTTATGAACACTTTTGTCAAAATGCACTCCAAGGCTGCTTAGAATGCAGATTCATTTCGCAGCGTACTTGGTTTCAGAGTCATTTTGTGATCAGCTCTTCGGACGGAATCGTGTGATACTCACTGTGACACTCCGCTTAGAGTGTGTTGCAAAATGACTCCACCGATATATGCAGGCATATTTTTTCAGTATTTGCTTCACCCCGTCAAAAATTTCGCAGAAGCATGTGTAAGGAAAATCAAACCGTTAAATGCGAACAATAAACCAGTACCACCAACTTAACTGTTTTGCGAAATTATGAATGGGCATTAGTTTTTTCAAATATTATTATTGTCATTATTCATAGCCAAAAATTGACCAAACTATTCCCCTTCCTTTCCCTTTCAAAGGGAAAGTGGCCACGCTGTGTCAATATTGGCCATCGTCATGCTTATTGCCGGGGGCAATCTACTTTGCCATTTTGACCCAGCTGTTTGCAAAGACGACGGGAACATGTTTAAGTCACACCAAAGATGGCAAAATTCAAAACTGAAATGAATCATTGGTGTCGTTTAAAATATGATGATCTTCTTAAACGATAACATTCTAAGAAGAAAGAGGGACAACTAAGGTTACCCCACTCCATGCTTTTTAATTCTATTTTTTTAAAATATTTGTACGGCTTTAGAGGATTTCCTCCATTATCTTGTTTGTTATATGTTGATAAAATTTCCAACTTAGAGTTTGAAAGGTGTCTCTGTGCGTGGCTAGAAAGAGTCATGCAAGGGGTAATGCTGATTCTGTGTAGTTGGGTATCAATAGTCCTGATGACGTCATTCACGCAGAGGAAAACCATGAGGGTTTCATTTCGCTGCAGATGTAATACTATTTTGGCCAAACTCCTTCAACAAGAATGCGAAACTCCTTTACAGGGGTTTTTCAAGTTGGTTGAGCCTTTAAATCTTAAAATGTTAACATGTAAAAAATGTCTTGATTGTTTAAAATGGAACGATAGCAAATACCATTAAATTTCGAGCTATCGCAACTGGAAAAATATAGTAATAGATATCCATGTAATGTGACTTTACTTGGGGCTCAGACCGATGCGAATTTAAACTTTATGCACAATATTTTTAAAAATGTTTGCAATTAGCACGACATTTAGAAGAAAGAGAGAGAGAGAGAGAGAGAGAGAGAGAGAGAGAGAGATAATTGAAATATCTTTTCACTGTGTCACTTCAATTATTACGAATTCATATTGGATGTTGCACGTCAAAGAAAGCTAGAAAAAGACAGATAAAATTAACGAGAGGGCACTACGACTAGTCTTCTCAGACTGTTTATCTCCGTAAACGATTAACTCGGTAACTCGAAAGAAAATAACATTTACATAAAATCAGCTGGAATCTTTGCACTCAAACTTTATAAACTGCTTAACAACCTGAATCCAGTTGAAAAATTTGCTCAAAGTGAATTAACTGTCTTAAGCAATCCTTGTTATTGCTTTATGCAAATCCTGATCGGTGTACATTTACAGTTGTACACATGTTGTACAAGAGTGTTTGATGTCTTTGGTTTTCTTATGACATAGTTTAACAGTCTTTCTAAGCATACAGATAAAGGTTAGGGACAAGGCCAAAAAGATGCTTTCGTTTGATGAACTGTTGATCGATGAATAAACAAATTTAGTTAAAGGCACTGGATCATGATAAAAGGGTATACCCAAACGTACCCAAATACGCCGAGTCATTATTTTCGTCCTGCGGTGCTTTGATGGGTCTGGTCGCATGAAGTTGCCTCGCACTGGTTTGCAACAACGTTGTCGGCAACGGATGTCGATATCACATGGAACTACAGCGAACACTCCGAAAGCAAATGACCCCCATGGAGAAGGCCTATTTACCATGACTCAATGCCTTTAACGGGCATTTCTCTCTAGATCAAAGTTTACAATTGGACAATCGAAGCAGGGAACTATGTTTCCAATACAAAAAGAAACTGTACTTAAGCAAAAAGCACTTAAAACATGAAGGTGCAAACAGATATATCTCTATGAACATGAATACAAGCTGATAATAAATTATGCATCACAACCATTTACATACATTCCAAACCAATAAGATCCTATGCAGCTCACACTATGCGTGACTTTGAGTAAACAGTTGCGTGGCTTTCCCTCCTCGTGGCATAAGCCCTCATAAATATATAGTCAGTTTGTTAAGAAGCAGCTAAAAACTTTCTACCGATAACTGCTTTTGTCAACAGATATTAGCGAAAAAGCAAAGTTCCCTCCTAGTGGCCTCTAATCTTCTTGTTGCTGCGGTTGTGGCTGTTCTTGTTGCTGCTGTTGCTCTCGTTGAGCTGAATCTTCTGCAAGTTCTGCAACAAAGGGAAGGAAATTTAAGGTATATGTTTTGTAAAGGCCACATGATCAGTGAAGTTGAATAAACAAAGACTGCAATCTATCTTCATTTGATGGCTTTACATTCTATGCAAGCTGAAGTCGGCTTTTATTCGATAAATCAGCGATCGATGCTTCTGAAGTTGGCTCGTCTGCTTACTAAAGCACCAGGCTACTTAGAAAACTTGTAATTCGTGTCTATAATATAGAATTAGTACCAAGAACTTCAGTCGGTAGAAAACGGCTGGCCAGGCTAAACTAACCTGGCTCACTAGTTAAATGTGACAATATTCCAGCTGCACCCTCGACTGCACTTTGTTCTGATTCCATCCTCGTCTGAAGATCGGCCTAGAATATAAACGATCAACACTCTTAGCCATTTGTCAAAGATTATAGTTTTGCGTGGGAAGAGTCTGCATCTAAATCAAGCTCATTCGCATATTAAAAATAGTTATTTAATACTTTTCATTACTTTAGCTTTCATTAGAAGAAATAAAAATTTTCAAACCTCAGTTAGACCAGTCAGTTTGGTCGGCAGGTCATCAACAGTGATCTCACTTTCATTTCCATCCTGAAAACAAGAACAATTTGAAAAAAGAATGTGAATGCATTGATGTGTGAACACCATGTTACAAAAAGATGAGAAAAAAACATCAACTTGAAGAAATACCTCGTTATTTGGGTAGGCACCTGCACTTTCTGTCCTTGTCCCACTTGCATCATCTTCTCCGTGTGATAGTAGGTTATCATTGTCCCTGTCACCCTCTTCCCGCTCATCTTCTTCACGCTCATCCTCTTCCCGCTCATCTTCTTCACGCTCATCTTCTTCCCTGTCATCCTCCTCAAAGGCACTTTCACGATTTCCATCCACCGCATCATCCTGAATATTCCTTGGGCTGCTGCGCATTTCTTCATCTTCTGGCATGTCATCCACATCGTCGTCATCATCGACATCGTCCCCATCATCTTGGCGGCGGTTATCTTCTTGTGGCTCCAGTTGCTGTCCAAGTCGTTGCTGTCCAATCTGATCGTGTTGTTGCTGTGCCCGAACAGAGGATTCCGGGGCCGCATTCTGCATGGGGAATGACTGTTTGTCTTCCTCCTCGTCTTCTTCGCCACTTCCCGTGCTGAGACAGTGAATGATTAATTAGAACAATGGAAGAAAGCTCGAACCGAGCATTGCAAGCGAAACGAAAACAATATTGTGGAGAGCAAGGATCTTAGTAACGTTCAAACAAGCAATAAATGTATGGATAGACAGTATGCATTTGTAATGGAAAAGCAAAACCAAATCATATTACCTAGCAAATGGCCTCGACTCGCTCACCGAAAGCTCGACGTTCACAAACTGTAATGACAAGAAAATGTTGACTTAACGATCTGCAAATTGACCTTGAAAGAAATGCTGCATGGCATTGACAATAAACAGATATTATGAATAAGTCAAGGGGCGGTTACGTTTAGGCACTGGCAACACAGTTTCGTTTCAGTAGCCAGCAGCCCTTGCTTGAACACTACTGCCAGAGAGAAAGAGTTGAAAGTACCTGACGGGCGGCTTCAGCTTCATCTTCAGCAGCGGAGCTTGAATGAAAAAAAAACAATTTAAAACAATTAGTCTTAAACAAAATGGTTACACAAAATAAACAGAAATACAAAATGGCAATGGTTAGAATGGCTCGATGGGTAATTCAGCTGGAACAGTTTTTATTCGTTTTAGTTTCTTCTAAGCTACATTTGCAAGTGTCTTGGCATAGAATGTCTGAAACAGAGAATCATGGAATTAAATGGTCTGACCCGTTTTCTTCATTTTCTTCAAGGTCTTGTATTTCTAAATCTTCCTGCAAGAAGAAAACAAACACAAATGAAACTCCTCTGTAGCCCAACAGGTGACGATTAAAGCATCGCTCTCTTTATGCAATACCTGAAAATGGATAATCTACAAAATGTTACCTGAACAGTGCGACTTTTGCGTGGCTCATTAATATTTGTCCGTGGAGCAGGGGGGCTGAATAGTGTTCCTGTGGTGTTCACCAAAAGGCCTACAGAAGAGCTGGAGGCTTCAAAAGAGCCAGTTGCAAGCCTAAAACGGAAGACATCAATAACCACGGATAATTTCATTAACATAGCTCGGAGACAAGCTTGGAATATCACAATATAAGCAAATTCAAACATAAGTGCAATTTTCATGCAAATAATAATAACAATAATAACAAGGAGAGGAGAAGCATAAGACACAAATGAGAGCTGGAAATACACACCCAGCAACTGCTGCCTCAATTCCTTGTTGACCCCCCACTGCGTCAAAAAGACGATGGGAATCCGAGTCCTGGAAGAGAAGGTATCATGTGATGTTTACATAAAACTGAATCATCACATTGAAGATAACAGGGTTAATTATAAGGCAGTACTGCGCAGAAATAGAAAGGCAAAAACTCAAGTTTTTAGTATCTCTGAGTGTTGCATTGGTTTTGATATGGCTTTAATCGCCATTGGCTACAGATATTGGGGTATGTAACTTGGAGAGTTTCACAAAGGAATATTCTGATGCGAACAACAGAATCGAGTACTGAAGTGTCTCCCCACCTTTCTCCAGTAGGACTGTTTTGATGACGGCCTAAAAACAGAAAAAGACCAACGTTAAATGCAAAAGCATTAATGTCATATGGATAAAGTTTATGAGGAAGAGAAAAATATTCAAAACGAAGAGATAGATTGTTAAACTATGCTAATCTTTTTAAAAAATGTAACCACTGCTAGAGCAAACTGACACGCGCAACGATGATTTCGTCATATGCTGATAAAAAAGAACGAAAATGTGAAGAATTGGCTCACCGATCCAAGTCTTGCATGAGTCGGAAAAAGGCCATCTCATTGAACAAAATCTCTGATACATCAATTAAAATGTCTTCTCCGCATTCTTTTAAACTTCTCCCTTCAAAACGACTGAGTGAATCTTTAAGCACAGACTCCAGCTGACGATTGAAAGATCTGCCAAATTCCTGCAAGATTGTTTTGTATCCTTAATTTTCATCCTTCAATACAATTTGTTTAACGTGAAGTAGGTATGTGATGACAGAATGTAATGACTGGACATGGGTTTCAACATATTGCGACAAATCTGAAGCAATAGAAAAGAGTAATCAAATTAAAAAAAACTAACAAAATAACAAAAATTAAAAGTATTACTGAAAGGACAAAGTATTACCTGTCTTTCGGCTTCAGGTTCTTTTTCTCTTGCAAGTTTCAAGATCACACTTTTCAACTCAGATAAAAAGGACGCTGTGCATTGGGCTTCCATGTGTTCATTTAGAAATGGTATGAGTTCCTTGAAAAAGCAAGAATAATGTTAGCATAATAAGCATCGCAGTTGTGTCATATCTAAGCTTTCTATATAGACAGAGCGTTCAATGCCACTATAAATTAACTGTGATGGAGTGATCAATATGTTTGACACTGATGCTGCTTATGAGGAACTGCAAACAAGTAGCGATGACTTCTGCATCAACTTCAATAATGACAACCTTTCAAAACTAACGAACAACAAAACTCACCATCATTATCGACTTTATTTGTCTGTCCAGCTTCTGGGTGTCAATCGATGGTTGCTGAATGTCTGAAGATGTTTCACTAGCAACATCATAGGCCGAACTGGTTTCGCTCGCAACGGCCCCTGCTAAATCTTCTTCATTGTCCATTTCCTGGTTAACTGCATTCTTGCGCGCCTCCGCCATCCTCTCTTCATAGCTCCGCATCTTCTGTAACGCCTATCAAAACAACTCATTACTGTTGTTATGGCGACAAGGTAACATGTGAACAACAGTAACAGCTCTATTGAAAATGAAAAGTAACTTTCATTTTTTAAGGTGAAAATTTGTACATTGAGCATCAATTATTCTAAATTGTTGTACATTGGAAGTCGATTGTTGTTAAACCTATTCCTTTCCTGTTTGGGGGTTCCTCCTTCTGCCCGTTAATGTAAGTCCTGTCCTGACTACAAACAAGCGAGTGACTACATTTGTTCTGATGTAAATGTCCCGTAAATAAACGAACCTCGTCCAGATTTATCACGGTGTCACCAAGCCCTTCGGCCGCAAAAGGCGGATCTTGGTTCGAGGTTGGCGTAGACATCGTACTTCCAGTTTCGGCGATCTCCGCATAATCGTACATGTCGTTATTTCGTATTTGACTTGAAAGCGCCTCCAAGGCCTGTCGCAAAAACAAATATAAAAACAAAAATATCAATATGAAAATACCCGGATTTTTAACAACAATCAGATCAGAGATCCCCCATTGGCAATCAGAGAAACTAAACAGAAAATAAGCTGACGCTACCTTGGTTTCTTGATCCTCGTCATCAGAGGTTGCAGCACTCTCGCTTGGCGTTTGCTCTACTGCAGCCGTGTCCATCCATTTTCTATAAACCTTTTGAAAAAGTTATTGACAAGTGAAAATTATATTCAAGGTGAGGTAAAAAAAGATTGCCCTTTTCTCAGCAATTTCTAAAAAAATAAAATTTGAAAAACTGCAGATAAAAGCAGCCTTCTCCGTTGGTAGCTCTCACAAGAAGCTGAATTTGAAACGTTTTAGGCCTTGAAATGGCAGGAAATTGTTTAGTAAACATGGTAACAAATGTCGAGACTGTCGATACCGGCTTCCAGAAATCCTAATAAAATATCGCATGGTAATGTTAAAATTGAAACGCGATTTCAACGTCTAAATTATCCGAAATGTTAAAAACACACTCGCAACAATTCGGACTAATTCGTTACTTCACGAAGGTGTGGACTAAGAATTCAAAACACCAGTAAGCTTAAGCAATGGGAAGCACTAACCTCTTCTGGAGGTTCACTCGACTGCCTCGTTTCTGAATCTTCAGTTAGGAATCTAGTGACAAGATCCTGCAGGGCATACAGGGCTCTCTGGCGAAGATAGTCTGAGGTCAGCAACTGCAGCTCCCTGAACAACTCAACCTGAAAGGAGTTTCACTTTGCGGTGAAAGGATGAAAAAACTGCATACTTTCAACAGCTTAAGATGCCCTTTTGGCATAAATGAATGAAGCAACTGCAGAAATGGAAAATGCAAGGACAAAAGGAGCCAAAACACTTAAACAAGATCCTAAAAACGACACTTTAAAAACGACAAACTGACCAGATAATGCGGTCTTGATTCATTCATTGATATCAAAGTTGCAACCTCAGAGTAGATTGAGTCTCTCATTGTTTCAAAAAGTGAGTAACTGCTGGTTACCGACAGCCTAGAACAAAGAAATCACAACGTTATAGGCCGAACTGTAGGAGGAAGATGGTAATCTGTAGAAACAGATGGGAGGGTGAGTGCGTACAGGCCAAAATGAACTTCTCAATGGAAACAACTGCAAATAGTTGGGCATGATATGATGAACAACAGCAGATTCAGGGCTATGATACAACATAGAAATGAAATAGATCAAACATCTTAACAAGGTCCTGGTCTTTCAACGCAAAGTGGTGTCTTTTATACGACCAACCACGTCAGAGAATCGGCATGAACAGGGCTTTCTGCCTTAAGAAAAACAAAAGGTTGAATATTTCTGCATACCTCTCATCTTCGTCCGGCTTTCTCGTAGACCTGGAACCCCAATGTTCTTGAGCATCAGTCCCAACGTAGGGAACTCTCCCCTCAGATGCACTATCGACGTTATCAGGGTCTTTAAAAAACGATGGCCACGTGGCTTTTTGCCTTTGAGCAAGGCTTTTCGCAGCAGAAGATTTGCTAGGCGTTGGATATGATGTTGTAATGACGTCATTGGGCCGACGCTCTGAATTATTGCCACGTTGTGAATCTGAAAAGAAAAAATCATTTGCATACTATTTTGTTGAATGTTCTTAAATTATAATATTTCATTTCACACAATACTCGGTAGATAAGGAAGACATATAGACGTGAAGTAGATGAGAGAAACACAACTTCCAGTTGATCTTATGGAAACAGGTGTTTCAGTGGTTAAGTGAGATGAAGAAAAGATTCGGAGATAAGAGGGACACACATCTGTCAGTAGATCAAGTGGAAACACGTTTTCAGCAGACGGGGGAGAAACACGACTTTAGATTGGGGACAGCAACTGGGGCAAGTTACAATGAATGCTGAAAAGGAGGTTACATATCTACGCCTCTTCATTACAATTTAGGGCGGAACCGCACAAACCAACTTGGCAGGAAGGCTTTATAAAGAAGAACGAAACAGACGGGAAAGAGAAGATAAAGAAAGGAAACGTGAGTACCCCCCTTTAAACTGGTACAGACTACAAAAGGATTTGTTTCGAAATGAATTCAGCGTATAAAACTACATATCTACACATGCAGTCGTGAGGATGGCTCAATGGTTAGGGTCCCAGCCTACAGATCTTGGGAGAAGAGTGAGGACATTTGCCAGCTCCCTGGAAACCCAGACGTAGAAATCATGGGGTGCTCACAAAGAAAGGATGGGCCAGGACACTGCTCGCAAGATCAGCATGCCTTCCCAGTGTCGTAAAAACTGACTTCCAAAGCTGGAGAGTAACATACATTTACTTGAGTCAAAAATTCTTTGGGGGATGGTTCAGGGAGGTTTCAGGTCATCTAAAACCTGATGATTTCAGGATATCCTAGTTTCACTAGTTGGAAAGTGCTCCAAAGCGAGAAACTTATTACAAAACGTACTTGTTCGAAGGTTCTTCAGAACTGGATATTTTGAAATGAAATTACCCTACCTGGAGGCAACTGCAAGGACGGACATTTCCATGTTTTGCATGCAATAAAAGTTAGAAAAAATTACCTGAGTAGGCAAGTGGGTCATAACTTCCTCCTATTCTCTCTCCATTGCTGGCATTTGGTCTCGGATGATGTTGTGTGTGTTCTTGCTGTTCTGAAACTTTGAAACTATAAAACCCTTGAAGAGGAAAACTCTCTGTTTTTGATTTGTCCTGAGCTGCAGCTTTTTGTCGCTCTTGGCCAGAGGAAAAAGCAGCATCCTTACGAGGTAATTCAGGTGAAACCTCGGTTTGAGTGAATCTGTTTATCGTGTCATCTGCAAAGACATGAGGCGATGTTGCAGAATGAGTTAGATCTGGTCTTTGCTGATCCTGAAAACCTTTAATATCCCCCTGAAATGGTCCAGAGTTGGTGAAGGAGTTCGTATACAAAGTAGAATAGGGGTCATTTGGTTTTCTATGCCCAATCGTTGTCAAAATATTTGCTTCAGTTGGATTTTCCCAGGCATACACACGACGACCGACCCCAGAGCCTAAGACCATTCGCTGAAACTCATTCTGTAGGTTTCGAATTTCTTGATGTTGTCTATCAAGCTGGGATGTGCACCGCTCTAGCCCCTGCAAAAAGGAAGCATGTTGCTGCTCCATGTTCTGCTGATCAAAGTTTTGCTGATTCATGTTTGTAAAAGCGTTGCGTTGGTATCCACCAAACGGAGAAAACATTGGAGTATTCATCTGGAAGCCTGCGAATCAAGAGAAAAAACATATATATGCATTTGTGAAGAAAAACCTTTTGATCCATCAGATATGGCATAAAGTAAAGGTAGTAGGTAAACAGGATTTCAACAGCAAGATCTAGATTTTGAAGATAAATAAAAAACCTATATAACCTAAAAGTGTTGCTCAAATGTAGAAAATGACTGCGTTGGGTCACATGGAAAGACGAATTACCGATAATTGGATAGGCAAACATAGATCGGCAAATTTGGGTGTGCAAACCAAGATAGGCAAACATAGATCGGCAAATTTGGGTGGGAAAAACTTAGATAGAGAAACTTAAATGGGCAAACTCAAACTGGCAAACGTGAGTGGGCAAACTTAGATAAGCAAAACTTTGGCTGATTTGGGTTGGCAAACTAAGATGGGCAAACTTGAGTGAGCAAACTAAGATGAGAGTGTTTATCTGGGTGGGTACATTCGGGTAGGCAAACTTGGATGGGTAAACTTTAACTGGCAAAGTTGGATTGGTAAACTTAGATGGGCAAACTTTGGTGGGGAACTAAGCTTGGTGGGCAAACCTTGGTGACCATGAGTGCAACAGATCAATAATCCTCTTACAACAGCCTTCGGTTTTGAAATCGTTGTCTCTAGAATCACTGATGAACTGGAGCCAACAAGCACGGCAAGAGAAGCTAAGCTTTAGATAAGAAGGATATGAAGGGGGCTGAAACGAATGAAGAGGGATGTGAAAAGGGTTCGGTACCTGCTGAGCCTAATGCTGGATTGAATGAGCCAGCTTGACTCTGCATGATTGACAAAAGCGTCTGTTGGTTCCGTAGCAATGATGTTGTGAGTGATGTACTACTCGCCAGGTGTTGCCGAAGCTCTTCGCATTGCTGTTCCCACACGTTCCCAGTGTCATCTGTCCGGGGGTGTGATCCTTTATTCTTCATCAGTTTGTGTGCTGGGGTCAAATTCTAGAAGCGTTTGAAGAAGAATTTGGTCATTGAAGATTCAGTTTGGTGCCAAAAAGGTTGCAAAGAAAAGATCAAGATATTTTGCAACATAAACTAGACCTTTTTTTTTACTCAAAAGTTTATATTCAGAAAATTGTTTACTCAATTTTTCATCAAAATTGGCAAAACTGACTTAAATTCAATTCTACACACTCTATGAACAGTTTGAGGGTAACATGAAGACTTCAAAACATATGAACTTACATGAAAAGCGTATTAAGACGATTGACAACAAATAAATGTTGGTAGCCTAAGCACAAAAAGCAACAAAGAAAATCTGGGAGACATAAATAAACTGTATAAATATTAACAATTTCAATTTTTATGACAAGAACAACTTCTTTCATTCGGGTGCCCTCCAGATTTGCACGGAGACGCTATTTGACAGGAAATTAATTGGTATAGCTTTTCAACGAAACATTTCAGGACTTATTGAAAAATCTCAAAAACTTTCTCAAGGAGCTCATTTTGTTTTTAAAAAGAATGCAGTTCTTTCATTTTTCTTGAAAACCAGCTTTTTAAACAATAACAAAGCCTTGACTAAGAGGAGGCCTATAAAAAGGTTAGGAAAACACTTGTTAAGAAGTGAATATTTGCAATATGGCAAGGTTCATTGTCCAGCTGAACTATGAATGGTCCATACCGCCTGTTTGATTCTCTACTTGCCTCGTGTTCTCCATTAATATTTGAATGCAATATTTAGCACTGATCGAATTCATAAACAAAGCCAGCTTGCCGATACAATTAGGCCCAACCACGCCCCACAACATGGAAGATATCGGATTAGCAAAAGTGGACTCAAAATATCGCATTGGCAAAATGTTTACTGTTTAACTACTAACACATTTATTTTAAAATGTATTAACACAGCTGATACATTTTCAACAAAAATATAATATAACCGAGGAATGAAAACGCCCATTCCTGCATTGCATAGGGCCGACGAAGATGGTAAACTATTTTTGGAAACACATCTGTCTTTCCTTCATTTATACAGCTTTGAACAACGAAATGCAAGGATGTCCGCAAACGACTGATGTGAGTTTGATTTGCATCTTCGACTCGTTGCTTGTGATTCTATCCCCTGATAAAAAGTTCTCTTGGTCGGCCTGCCCTTATTTAAATTTTAGTCGAGTTCGATTAGTTGTTGGTAGAACAAATTTTAACACACAAAACTAACATTTCTTGCAATTTCTGCCAAGAAATAGCCAGCTTTACCACAAACCTTTTTTCACCTGTTGTTCATTGCAATCCTTCGACTTTAACATTTTCAATTTCCCGCTGTCTGTTTCAAAATTTTGAACAGGAAGGCAGAAAACAAATCGAATTTAACTGGGCCCAGATGAGATTTGCATTTTTGATGACGTCATTCCCTGAATCCTGGCAAATTTTTGAGAATCCTTGCAAATTTCTAGAATCCCGCTGCAACAGCCAAACTTTTATGAACAATGTTAGAATAACAATTCCGTTAGAATAAGAATACCTTGCTGATTAACTTCACAAAAAAGCAATTTTTAAGTCTTTTTCAAACCTGTTGTCTTGGTCTGTGTCTTGCTGAGGATTCTGGAGATACGTTCATTGACCATGAAACTGAGCTTCCTCGGCTTCCCTCTGAAATAAAAATTCACATCAAAATTTTGAAACCCTTTGCAAGACAAACGAACAAATGCCAAGTCTATAAGGTCATCATTTAATGCATTTAAATGTACCATTTTGATTGGAATCAAGTTTTCGCTTTTTCCCTTTGTTACTTCGCCGTTGACCAGCAAGATTGAACCAAAGGCCTCTATTTTCCTTCTTCTGTTTTTTGCTCTGATTCTGTTTGAAATCAAACAAAGGGGCTACGTCATCTCCTTCCTGCTCTTCTTCTCCCCTTCCGGCTTCTTCCTCTTCTTCAGGCTGGTCCATGTTTTCGTCATACTCATCTTCCATCTACAAAAAGAGCGTCAAAATAGAACTCCATGTTCAGTATTTGTTTTCAGATGAAGAACTTTCGAACACACGTATTTTTTTATTAAGGTTGAAAACACATACAACGCCTCCTTCAGGGAAATCCTCTTCACCAACAGCAGAATCTTCTTCTGAACTGCTCTGCTCCGTGGAGCCACCCCACGTAGCTGCAGTGGTGACATCAGCACTAAACATGCTATGACCAACGCCTTCATCAAGATCGACATCGTCGAGGTCACTTCTAATGGAATAGGTGCCACCATCAGATCTGTCGTCAGCTGACTTGTGCTTACGCCGTTGCTTTTCCACAAATTTCAGTTTCTTGTTTTGCTCAAACATTTCTCTCTGGCGACGAATTTCGGACATAACAAGGGGGTTGGGTCTTGAGCCTGCGCCAAACCCTTGAAAACAAATAAAGATGAATCAAAAGCTATGTATAGATCTATCCATGTCCATTTAAACAATCGGTTTTAACCGTCACATTAAAATGCACTAAATAAAGGTCACAATTCTCAAAATAGAGTGCTGCTTTGCTAAGATAGAGGCTGAATGTAAACAACAAGTACCGGAATGTCGATTAGAGGGCTGAGAAAGAAGCTTCATTTTGTTTCCTCTAAAATCTGAATCTGATCCATACTGGGGTTCCACTGACAAATTGGAAGTCCTTTTCACGATCCTCGGTATTTGCAAATCCTTGTACGTCACCCTGCTTCCAGGTTTTCCTGCAAGGGCGTTATTGTCTAGAATAGGGAACTTCTTGTCGTGCTCTGGGTTGAAGGTTACTTCTGGTAGTTTTCTTGAACTTTTTGGAACAGTTGCAGGTTGCTGCAAAAATGAAACAGGCAATTGATCAGAAATCCTAAGAATGTTACTAAACACGGATTCCAATTATGGGCAAAACCAGTTGTTTAGTTATTCAGATTGAATGTATTCACTCGAATGTATTCAGATTTCTGTCATGAGCAGGTAGAATGTATCCCCAGACATTGAGCGTTGGAATTAAAATGCAAATATATTGAGGTTATTTGCTAAGGGACTGAGCAGCAAACTACCTTCGAAGAGGAGTCTGGGACATCCTTTTCACCAATTGGCACCAAAGTTGTTCTTGCTATTTCAGTCAGTTGTCGCTGGGCTTCTAGCAGCTTCTGCTTTTCTATGAGAAGTTTTTCTAACTCTTGCTTTTGTCGACTTAAACTTGCTTGGTACTCGATTTCCCTATCAAGCATGGCAACTGCCTGAAAGAAAGTACTCAAAAATGACACCGTTTGAAGAACATTAAGAAAGGTAAAAACATGATTAGATCTATAATATAACGAAGTCACCAATAAACATGATTATTTTGGAAACACTACTTTTAATTAGGTAATTTCAAACAAAGCTGAGCTGCTGCAAAAGGTGATTTGCATGCAGGAGGGCGAAGGGCACTCACATTATTAAGTGTGCTACCATCACTCTGCTTGCTCATCCTATCATCATTTGCTTCCTCTGCCATGCTACTCTCAGCATCATCAACATCATTTTCGGCCACAGACTGCTGTTCACTCGTCACTTCATCTTCTTCATCCGTCTCACCATCACCACCATCCTCGTTTTCAGCATCCTCGTTTTCACCGCCCTCATCATCACCATCCTCGTTATCATCTTCGTCGTCTTTGACTGAAGAATCCTTGCTACTCAAGGAGATATTTGCAAGATCATCTATTGCCATGCCATCCTAAATATAAAAACTTCTTTGTTTACTTTGCAAAGCAAAAAAAGGAAAGCAAAGGACCAATCTTGATCAAATAGTTAGGCACTGCAACATAAGGCCATGCACTGCATAATTCTAATGATTAGCTGAAATTGGGAATGCTTTTCTGATACCTGCTGAACTGAATTGACCAATTCTTGCAAATGTTTCAGCTTCTCCTTTGCTTGCTGTAGTCGCCTGACGGAAAATTCAAATTCAAATGGCTACTTCAAAAAACTTGAATTTAAAAGAAGAATAGAGACGGGGTTCACATGACGGGGTTCGAATACCTCTTGGTAAATATATACATATACAAAGGACAAAGGCTGACAGACAAAATTTTTAATACAAGGATGCTGCCCAATTTCATTGTCCTGCTCTCGGCTGGAATCTAACTCCCGTACTTGCCTCAAAATCAAACCGCATTCCGCTGAGCCAATCTCACTAGCAAACTCACTAGTCAGTCTCACTAGCAAATGTTGACGCCCTTGTTTGCATAGACCATCGGTATTATTACATTGAAACACACAGACCTAAGGGGTGCAATTCAATGGAACGGAACAAGTGACCAACCTGACTTTAGCTTGAAACTCTGGGTCTTCCTGCCAGGACAAATCCTCGGCAGTAGTCGTGCTCTCTGACTCACTCTCCGATTCTGTTGCTGTCACACTGGCTGTGTTTGTTTCTGTCAAATCAATATTTTGCCTTTCTTCATCAATTTGTGATGATGTTGCCTGTGTAGTCTTCTGCACCAATGCTAGTCTTTGTCTTGCCTCTTGCAGCTGCCTGCAGAAAACAAGGAGAAGTGATTAATACAATGCTTAACTAAAAAATAATTTTACCCAGTCAACCCGTGCTAAAAAATAATACACGAAACACGAAAACACTTGATTGAAACACGAAACACGTGAAAAAAAACAACAGAAAACAACATGCCTTATCTTTGAGGAGAGGTCGTTGTCCTGGTCCTCGGACGCAAGATTCTTTTCCATAGCAGATGCGATACCAATGTTGGCAGAAACTTTATTGTCTTTAGCAGAACTTGGGTTTCTAGTGACATCGATCGCCGTTCTCTGTGACTGCGACCACGGAGGGGTTGGCCTCATTCTATTGTCTGAATTAAAGATTGAAAAACACACGTAACAACTTAAATGTTTTTCAAATACCAGTATCAAGCAACAGCTAAAATCTACACTAAAACCACCTAATCGACAACTAGTTGCATACAAGTGGTCACAAAAATTGAAGTTTGAAGTGGTAATGCCACATTTGGCTATTTCTATACTATTGGCCTTGGCTGGCAACAAACTTCTTACAGCTAGAAGCGGAGCTTAACATTTACCTCAATCTCTGAATATTATTAAATAACCTTTCAGAGGAATTTACAATATAATGAATTACTGACCAATGCCATTCGACAAATCCGCTATTTCTGCGTTCAACTGAGGCTGTACTGCATTAGCACCTCTAGGTCTTGCACCCCCATAGCCTGCAGGGGGCAACCCTGCTTGGATTTTGTCACCATCGAGTACGGGCTGGACTTGCGAATGCTGCAAATTGGAAGGCAAGGTTACAGCAAATACAGTTTTGTACCAACCTCCACGGGAATTAATTGCTTAAAGTGTAACCACCTCAAAACACTGGCGCATTCTGAATGCTAGCCATAAAAAGAAAACAGTTAAAAACCTGAAAGCAAGTGTTCATTTCAACAGCTACACTCAATAAATGTGCAACCACAAGACTTTGCAACTTATTTTTAAAACAATTAAAAAAGTTAAAAATTCACGACTTAAACCTTTTTCGACTATTATATAAAATTTGGTGTGTACATGGACCAGGACGGTTCTGTGTTGCAACTCTGAGCTTCACGTTTAATGGATTTGATCTTCATCTTAAGGCCAGTTGCAAAAAAACAGAATGGACAGTAAAATTACCTCATACTCAGAGACAACTTTTGTTAAATCTTCCAACCTCTGTTTGACTTCCTTTAATTTTCTAAAGAATCAAAACGATCCAGTAAAAATTACCAATCTTTGAATAGATTTCAAAGCCAAAGATTGAAATTAGATTATTGTTAGATTGACAATCGTTCGTTGCACATCATGGACAATTCGGATGGTAAGTTAGATCCTTACCACTCAGTATGGCAAAATGCTATCTGGAAATGATAGTTTCACATCATACTCGGTTACTATCCGCACAGACTTGGCAAAGCAAAGATTTTCAATTATTCAAGAAGAAGCCAGTGCTAATTCATGGCTGCATTAGTATCATAGGGACACCAGAGTCATGTTTTCAGCAGCATGTAACATAACAAAGCATTTGGGGATTTAAAAGTTTGATCCATATACCATATACTTGGATTAAAAACCATGTGAAACGAAGCAACTTACTTTAGTTTCTCCTGTACGGTTTTGGCATGCTGCATCGCCTGAACGGCGTTCTCTTGTTGCTGCTTAATAGCTGATCTCTGCATTTCCAGCTTTTCAAAATCAGTTGTCTCGGCTGTTTCCTTCATATCTTGCACCTCGGGCAATGGTTCATCTGGCCCTTGCGCTATTTGTAAAAAAGTCCATCAATCGTTGTTAATCTCAGGGATCCACAAGGCAATATAAGAATGTATGAGAAAAAGATCGTTGTAGAAGAACATGCTTCACTTATGTTTATAATTCATACAGACTTATTATCAATAACTATAATACAATACGATGCTCGTCATAAAAACTAATGGGTGTTTTACCCAAATTGCATTGCATTGTGCCAAAAATAAAGTATTAGCTTGGAGTTAATAGACATACGGAAAGTGGTGAGGGCGTCTCTTGAAGATTTCAAAGTTGCCAGAAGAGTGTCCATCTTCTGCTTTTTCGCTTGTAAGTTCATCAATTTATTCTCCAGCTCTAGCTTCCTTTGCACCATGTCAGCATCAAACAACGCCGCCTCCTTTGAAAATCAATTTCCAGTAATGCAAGATGTCATACAATAGCAAATAACCTTTGCAACATCTACAGAAAATTTTTCCTGATACTCCTCAGAGCATGTAACGCCCGGATAATGACAAATAATCAATATTCAGCTGGTCGAAAATTGATACCCAAATGTGGTTTGAATGAACAAGGGAATAAAAGAATGGCTTAGATGCCAGGAATTCTATCAAAATGTAACAGGAAGGAAGAAAACATTACTAGGCAATAAGCCACTGGTGAAAATTGACAAATGCAGGGGAGATGTATAAACATAATTTATGGAGCAATATGCAACTAAATTGTGATTCTAGGCAGCAAAATCTTACTGAAAATAATCCATTTACAAACACACTATCCTATAAAGAGAAAAATTTCAAGAAGCTTACCTCATTGTCTTTTGCTTGGTCGATAAAACGTTCGGTAGCTTGCGAGGTTGATCCCTATCAATAGAACAATATCGATAATAAGGTATTCAGGTGTCTTATTATTTCATTAAGTTTATTAGATCAGATTCTGTCAAGCAAAACAAAAAAAGCAAAGATCAACGGCAAAGAAAACGCACGAAGAATTGCATTCAAGATGAAAATAGATGACTTGGTGCTAACAAGTGCTAACTAGCTAGGATCTCACCTGGGTGAATTCTTGATGACGAGAATTCAGTATGTGGCTGGTTTCATTCACGTCTTTGTTGTTTGGTACAGGAACATCTTTCGTCATCTAAAAGTATTGTTTCATGTATCAGTTTCAAGCCTTATCAATCTGTAATGGGCCTAAACCTTTAGCTGGCCTGCAAACAATCGCTTCAAAAAGCGATTATCAGACGCAGTTTGATGAAAACAGGTAAACAAACAAAGATAAGGTTGTGCCTTATAAGATCAAGCGCCTGCTCTGAATCGTCAGTTGAATAAGGTCAGTTTGTCAGGTCTTATCCACTCAAAGCCAACTATCAAGCCTTCTAAATGTTACAACAACGTGCCCATTTGCTGCATGGTTCGGACCTGATTTTAAACTAATAAAGTGACATATGAATTACCAATAAAAATCTTATGTAAACATTTGCTAAACAGTCAGACAAAACTCTTTATTTCCACGCCTTGATTTGGCTTCAATGTCTTTCATCTAAAGAAAAAATTAACATCTAAGGATAGAAAGATATGATTACATCAGCTGATTTCATCAGTTCCTCTGCCTGCTCCTGTAGCGATGCTAATGTTGCTTGCTTCTTCTTCAGGTCTTGGATCTAAAGTAAAAAGCATGATTTCATGTCACAATGTTATCCAGACCTAAGCTATGCCTGATTACAATATAAATATTACATCCTCAACAGCTGCCTGGCCCTCAACAGCCTTAGCCGGCATAATATATTCTTAGTGCAGACAGGAAACGTTGTCGGACTTTAAAGGAAAATGCTTGTTTTCTGGCTAATCTTCAGCTATTTTTTCTGCTCTTGGATGCTGACTTTCAGCAGTTTGTTCTTAAAGAGCAACTGAGATGTTGCTACTTGTTTATTCTACGTTTTCAATCAAGCCATATAAAACAATTAGTGAAAATACATCCTGAGGGGCCTACCTCACACAATAGAAATTGATAAATCAGCAACGCATGCTGATTGACTGCATGGGTACAAAAATCAGAGACACTGCTTAAAAATGTCCTTTGCTGTACTTAGAAATGTAAACATGTTTAAACATATAGATAGGCATTCAATCACCTGCTGCTGTTGATCTACAATTTTCCTCAAAAGTGCATGTTGCATCTGAAGTCTTTTCAATTCCTGCTGCTGGTCTTCCTCATTTTCAGTCTTAATATGAAATGGAAAATGAAAAGCAATTACTTCTTAAATTTCATGCAAAATCGAGCCTAAGAAATAAAATCATAGATCATAGTAAAATTGACACAAAATGTTTATATATAAATGCAATTGCATACTTCATTTTGCTGCTTGAGTGACAAGACACTTGACGCTGGGGTCAAATCAGCAGACTGATCCATATCCTAAATAATCAAAGAAAACATTTAGGTATGGTACCAAGAAAAAATGAACCAAAAAAATTAATACATCTACATAAAATACCAAAATGAGATAAGCAGCCTAGTAGCAACTGACGCTAGACAGGATACTATAGTTCCTAAAAGAAGTGCAAACTCGAAACCTGATCTGTTAGCTTACAGGAAAATGAATTGAAAAAGACGATAGAAGTCAGTAACAAAAACAATAGAAGTCAGTAACAAAGACAATAGAAGTCTCATTTGAAATGGACTCTGTAGAGGACCATCAGAAACAGGCAATTTCGATGAGGACAAAAACTTGGATAAAGGCTGAAAAGTTACAAACTGGATGATAGAATAGCGGCTAAACAATTTTTTGTTTATCTTTTGAGCTGTTTTGCGACTGAAAAAGGAACAATAATAAATTACTATTTCTACCTCAATAGACATTCGATGATTATTGAAATAAACGCCCCTGTTATTGGGGTCCTCTCCAAGAAGCGACATTATTTCTTCCGCAATCATACGTACTTTTGATACTGATAACTTGATTATACATAATACATATGGTAATTATTTGTGGAAACAGTATATAGTACAAAGTAGCATTAATGGTATATTTTACCAGTGTTCGCTGCAGCAAATCAACATATCCCTGCTCTTGAAGACGAAGTTGCTGAATAAGTTTCCCAAGCTTTTCTATGTGCTCTATTTCAGAGTCCTGTAAATGCAAATCAAATAATCACCAATATCTTTAAAGATTGAAATGCTTTGAATGCATGGAAATAAAAGCTATACAAGAAGAAAAATGAATAAGGAATACCATACCTCAATATATTCTTTAGTTGACAAATTCACATATAATGAAGTTGCTTGCTTCAAATATTCCTACAGATAGATGACACACAACTTTGAGCTCACAATGGCCTACTTGCAAACAGGTTTCGCAAACAACTAAAAACAATGTATAGTACAGAAAGGCAACAAAGAAAACTGCGGGTGTAGACCTAATAGAGTATAATATAACTAACGGATAATTTAAAGCAAAATCTTTATGATTTAGTTACGCAAAAGATTGCTCATGCCAAATGCCTTCCCAGAGAGACACCCATAAACAAAGGCAGCATATGATTGATTGTAGCAAGTAACATAAGCCTTCACTGATTTATGGCGGAGTGAAATATTAGCCTTTACTGATTTATGCCGAGGCGAAATTTCAGCCTTCACTGATTTACGTGTATTTGTTGTTGTTCATTTTCGGCGGTGTTTCTTATTTGCTACATCGATTTTTCGCCACAAGAACTCCTTCGAGTCCGTCGAGCAGACTGCTATGGTGACATTCTCTTTATTCACACATATCATTGGCTAATACTTTTTAGATATTTTGCAATTAGCCTTTTGAAAATGCGTTGCTTAAGTATAACAACCAAAGTGCGAAAGTTGTTCAACTCAATATCGTTTGAATGAAAACAACTCAATGCAATCACAGCCACAAATGTAATACAGCCACAAATGTAATACAGCCTTACCCTGACTTGGTTTAACCTTTGGGTTATCTTAGTTGTATCAACCTGAAATACAAACATAAATAAATATAAATATGCTATGATGATAAGATACATAAAGCAGAAAGCAAGGAACACATGCAAATGATATGGAAGAACTCTTCTTCCTAACGAATCCAAAGCTTCCATTTTCGTCGCCACTAGGTTCATAATTAGGTTCATAATCAGAATCATAATCAGGATCATAATCAGGGCTGGGTGATTCCACGAGATGGATAATTAGATGACACAAATCATGTCCATGGCACAGAAGAGGCATGTTTAAAAATACCATTCCACATGCTGCATAATTAGGAACTTAAGACAAAGATCAATATATATGCACATACAAATATGCACATACAAATATGCACATACAAAGACAATTCTTACAAAAGGAAACAATGCATATTCTAAAATATCATCCAATTCCACGGCTTCCGCATTCAGAAATTAACCACTCTTTCAAAAACTCGTGTCAAAAGACTGGGGCGCGCGAATCAAATTTATTTGGTAACACAAAACAAGAAACTTTTTCTACTGATACACTAAACTTAGCAAAACTTTTAAAATAAACTAAATGCTACATTGTATAGTTATGTTCATTTTACTCTCAACGAGGGCAAGTTTCTAGATTTTACATCACTCTCCCAGGAGGGTCGTAGCAAATGATTCCAGAGGGGGCCAGAAAGAAAAAAACCAATGTAAGTGTAAGAGGAGGGGGGGGGACTCAACTTTTGCCTTAGCTGGAAAGATATTTAAAATGCACTTTTATCGTGTCCCTGTTTCTTCATACCTACTGCGAACATTCATGACACCTCGCAACCCTTTAGATCGGTAGAATAAGAGAAGGGTATAAAAAGTTATTTCCCTAAGCGGCCGCCAAAGGGGAAAACTTGTTATGATCTTACTGCTTCAAGTTCACCGGAAATTGCATTCTTTGGAGCATATTTTGATAATAAAATCTTATTCTTAAAATGAATATCCATTGGCGGAAAGCGATGGTATTGATCGACATCCTTGTTCTCATTTTCAAATGTTCTACTTTATGCAACATAACTGCATAATTTTTCAAATCTTGGACAAAATTTTCAAATCTGGTGATAGGCACAAAATTAGCACTGTCCCCGGGGTTTAGTATTTAATTAGGAAAATAATTTATTACTAATCTTGACCAATTTCCACAACCAAATTTGGCGCTTGAAGATTCGGGTTTTAATTGACAAAATTCGAGCAGCAAATCACTCTATGGTAGAAATCGGTAATTTCTCAGAAATCATTTTTTTTGTGGAAATCTAGTATTTTCTTTACAAAAGTAAATTGCCCCTCGACAATCGAAAAGAACTTTAGTCCAAGTAATTTATGTTGCTAAAAGGTTCGTTTCACTTCTCCTTTTTACCGAAGGGCTTTCCGACATAACAGTGATTTTTCCGAAAATCCTTCAAATTTTGAAAACAGCCATGGCCCATTCTGCCCCTATCCCTCCGGCCACCAAGCCCTTGCACTCTCCGACTAAACGGCCATAGAAGGAAATTTGATTTCTTTTGAAGTTTGGATGCTTTTTGGTGATATATATTCATTCCCCTCTTCGATTTTAGGTATTTATCCTTAACTCTTTCAATGGTATTTTCTCATTCATCTCTATTTCAAGAGGAGAGACTTGCACAAATGATCAAATTAATGGTAAGGCTACTGTTCGTCAAAGACCGGTTTCAGTGACTTTAGAAACATGACAAGGTTTCAAATCTGATCAGCAGTTGGAGAAAAACCCGTCTTTGATTTCACGTTCCCATTGATACGCTCGAAAACAGGGTCATTTCATAATGATGTTCAAAGCTATTAATCAGAAAAAGAATTTTAAATTTTAAAACGAATCATTTTAACGGACAGCGAAAAACGTGGTTATCAGATAATGGAGTAATTTGAGAACGAACTGTTTAAATGTAAAAAGCGAAAGTCATTTAAAAAAACGTTCATCGTCAGTTTCAAAACCTGCTTGAACAAGGATATGAGAACGGACAAATACAGAGTAATGGGAGCACCTTTAATTTCTTTGTGATCAAAACGGTGTGGGCAGGAGCAATGGCAACATCTCACGAAAATAGGGTAAAAGAATTGATCGGAAAACAGAATTCAAAACTGGCTTTGAAAAAAGCAAACATTTGAAAAATCTTATTCATGAAACAACTCTGCATTGCGAATCAAATGGCGTCCGCCTAAAAAATTGCACAAACTATTGGATGAAATTTATTACCATATCAGATGCATCGCTTTCAAGCTGACTTGCTGGTAGACTCTCAGTAACACTTGAGATGCTTGCTTGGTCATACAAAACTGCTGAAGCACCCGCGATACCTCTTTCATTCACTGCATTACCCTAGTAAGGAATGACATTAAATAAATTTTCTTCTAGAGTTATTTTGATGCAAAGCTAGATCAATTTAAAATTCACTGACATCACAGCAAATATCGCTTTTAGCTTTAGTAAGGCTTCAAATATAATTACCACTCCCATTAGAAAAGCTTTAAAAGAATTTGATAAATTATAGCAGATCACACTGCGTAAACTTTTTGAATATCACTAGAACATTAACAAAATGCTGTATAAAAGAGAAAAAAATTATTTCTTTTTGCCAAGTGCATTTTTCAACACATCTGTATAAATTATTAAATAATTTATAAATTAATGTTTTCCGAATTATTTAGCTAACATAACATTTACCAAAATAAACATAATTTGAAACAAAAGGCACTTTTTGAATTCCAACCTACTACTAAGAAAATGATGTAAATGGCCACTAGTTTTCGGTCTATGTTCTGACGTTTTAAACTCTGAATAGTGTCAGACAAAAAGCTTTAGTTTACTCAAATGTTTGCTTTGTTCAAAGTTATTTTCAAATTTTGTACCACCAAAAGATTGTTTAAAATAACGAAAGAAATTATCCTAAAACTTAACAAAAACAGCCCGTGGCCATGATATGATAAGTGCTAAATTCCTAAAGCTTTCTGTTAACATCGCTGCACGGCCTTTGGCAAATATTCTGAACAAATGCATCCTACAAGGAACATTTCTTAGTTTGATGAAAATGGCAGTTGTTTCTTCTGCATACAAAAAGAAAGATCCATTCAACAAAGAGAATCATGGACCTGTTAGTGTTCCAATATTTCTGTCTCAATTTCTCAACACGAACTTCTCTGAATTATATTTGTGCCTACAGAAAACATTTTTCATCCCAGCATAATAAGATTAATAGAGGAGTGGAAAACTAGCCTAGAAGCTAACAAACACACTGCAGATGTACTTATGGATTTATCCAAAGCCTTTGACAGCCTCCCCATAAATCTACTAATGGCAAAACTAGCTGCTTATGGAGTTGGTATAAATTCACTCAAATGGTGAAAGAAAACAGAAAACAAATGGTGAAAGACAGTGGATATTTTAGTTCATGGTGACCACTTAATCAAGGAGTGCCTCAGGACCCAATAATTGGACCTTTGCTTATCAATTTCACTTCACCCAGGAGTGATTCCTATGTAACTTTGCAGGCGATAATACGATTTATGCTATGAATGCTGATGAACTATATAGATTAGTACAGCATAACACTAGTAAATGCAGTTGACTGGTTTAGTTCAAATCATATGACAGCCAATTCAATGACATTTCAATCACTAATTGTTGGTAGTAGCGACAATCACATTACAGAATTTCACATAATGATAGCTTCAAAACAAATGTAAGTAGTGAAGTAACTCTACTTGGAATTCAAATCAATGAACAACTGAAATTTGACTGGCATATTGATTAAGTCTGCAAAAAAGCTGCCATTCAGCTAAACGCAATAAAAAGATTAGCTTGGTTCATGGGTAGCAAAGAAAGAGTGATAAAATCTATCAGCTTTTTGGGTCCAAAGATTTGGAACTTCCTTCCAAATGAAATAAAATCATCAAAAGATGCAAATCGATTCAAAGTTCTTATAAAAGATTGGTAACTTCCATAATGCAATCTCTAAAATTGCTCCATGTTGTTAAGCTAACAGTATTAAATATATTATAATTATTATTATTTTGTAAAAACAAGCTAGCCACTTACAAATTACCCATGTAATAGTGAGATTTGTAGTTCTAACTGGAATTCAAAATGAAAAGTTTCCATAATAATTAGGCAGGCTTGAAGCTTTACTACTTACTTTCTGATCATCAAACTCTAGCCGCTGCCGAAGACTATTAATGGCAATTCTTTGCTCCAAAGGAGTGGCTGATGTAAACTTTGTTCTAGGAATGGTTGCTGGGGTGTGCTTTTTGCGATTTGAATTTCCTGGTGAGGAAGCTGCACTGCTTGTGTCTTCTAATGTTTTGCTGTACACTTTGGGCAGTGAGGAAGCTCGATCGGAATCCTGTATGAAAAATTCTTTTTAGTAGCAAAAGCAGCCATGATGGACAAACAATTTCAAGAATGGACAACATTTAAAAAAACCAGAAAATACAAATATCACAAATTTCTCTAACTGTCTAAATAGAGTAATCATTCAGCTATGTTAGCAGACAAAATATCCAGTAGAACAAAATATTTTTCTATTTGTTCTTATTTTAGGTAAATTTTCTGGCAATTTCCTCATCATGTTATAACCCTTTACGATGACATTCTTCTGGTGCCATTCATCTAAACATAAACATATTTTATCATTATTCCTTCTTTCTCTTTCATTTGCAGCTAATAATAATTTCTTCTTTAATCTTTCTATCAAAGATAATTCTTTTGCATGCCTAATTTTAATTCAGTATGTTCATTTCTAAATAATCAGTTGAAACATTAATATGGTTAGCCATCAAGACAAGATGCACAGGGAACAGGCAATTCAATGCTTGAATTTTTGTCTTAGTTCTTTTGAATTTTTGTCTTAGTTCTTGAGTTCTTAGTTTCCAATAGCTTCCTGAAATGAGTCTATAAGTTTTAAAAGATTAATTCATCTCTTCTCAGATCATTTCCAAGGCATTTTCTCTCTCCTTGAGCGATGAGGTATGAGTTATTGTAGTCAATAATCTATGTGCACTGCAAGTCGGCAATTCTTCTCAAACTCAAGCAGTCATGAAAGTAATGTTCCTCAATTTACTGTGTGCTGTATTACTACAATATTGCCTTTAGCTATAAAACTTTGTCTATGATTCAGTGGTTTTATGCTAATATCTTTGAAATCATGAACTTTTCTGAAAGGGGCAAGAGTAATATCCAATCACGAATCAATAAAGGTCTCCACAGCTCAAAGGAGGGGCTGAGAATCAGGATAATTTTTGGACAGCCATAAAGATATTCAAATGATAAACCTGAGTCTCACAAGTCAACAAAGGCTAAAAGTGTATGGTTTGAAACTTCAAACATTGGGCTTTGTATGAATAATAGGAGAACATGGGAGTAAAACATGAAAATATTCAACAAGTGCAACAAAAGAGGTGGGGGCGAACAGAAATAAGCTTTTGACAAATGTTGATGCTCAATTCAGAATGAAAAAAAGAGCTTTTAGATTGCCTGGTAGTAGTGGTGGCACACACTTACAAAGATTAGTACTTGTCTACAGAATATGGGTGTGGCCTGCCGCAGACCATGCCCTGATCAAACATTTATAATGAAAGAAACATAATTTATCCATTAAAAGTTCCAAAAATAATATAACACATTCTGTTTACATTCTGTCTGAATCTATGACTATTTATGTTGATGCAATCTGTTGCAGTGTCATTCATGAGAAAATCGTTCATTGCAATGCTGATTTTTTCATACAAGAGCTGGCGAGAAACTGTCTAGACCCAGACATCCCAGACAAAGGGGTCACGAACTCTTTGGCGTGAACTTTCAAGAGGCTACATGAAGGGGTGCAGATTTTGGAAGTCATAGATAGGCAATCTGAACAGAGGAATATCAGGGTCCTGTGCTCTCAGTCAAAAGCCACTGCTATTTTTTCCAAGAATTACGGTTCTAAAACTGCCAGAAGTTGGAGGCACAAAGACCATCATGGATCATGTTTTGTATCTAGAATCTGGATTTCAGACAGAGACAATGTGAATCGATGTTACTCTCTAAAATGTTCATAGACAATCAGTTAGTGTCTGTTAACTCAGGTGTTGCTTGTGGGTGAGACAACCCAATGATTTAAGGGTCGAAAAACTCTTAATACTCCCAAAACCACACAGTGCAATGTGCAATTTCTTGTATTGTTATCAAACCATTGCAGTCAATTAATTGCAGATAAAATTGATATTAATTCACAGAAATCCAGCAAACAGGTACTTGACAACATAATTTAATTTTTATTGATTCCATTGCTGGATCAACTCATTTCATCTTCATGTCGGCAGTACTAGGAATGCAAAACTAATACTGCTGAGTAATCGATCCCCTGTTTGATATCTTGAATACAAGGAAAAAAAGAAAAATAAAATGGTACTAGACTACTACCGTTAGTACCACTTTATGCCAACACTGGCTGGTAGCAAGCCCCATGAATAAATGAGGCAGTCTTCGTCATAAGGAAGCCATGCGTGCAATTCAAACTCTTACATATCTGGCTATTTCAGACCCCATTTACACTGTCCTGTTCAAAAACGGAACCGTGACAGTTCAAAACAGAACCATGATGGTATAAAATTTTTCCACTTTTGTAGCAGGGTCAAAAACTATTCCAGATAGCATAGCAAAAAAGTCTTGTTTCTAATGTGCTAGCGTAAATGAAAGGGCCAGCTGCGATCGTTTGTCACAGTTCCAAACTTGCACAGATCAGTGTAAACAGGGTACTGAGTTCAGGAGCATTGTGGCAAATTAATTCTGGAGGGGGCCAGAAAGAAAAAAGAAACCTGCTTTGCAGACACCTGATGGCCCCCTGGCATAGAATAATGAGATTAGCCTTTGGTACGACAAGAGGATCATTAATCTTGATTGTATCTCAGACGACCCTTTCCATCTTCCATTATGAACTGTATGAAAACACAGATGGAAGGGTGAAAAAATTAAATCTAGAAAATGCTTGGTTTGGTTGATTTCAACATGAACATGTGATGCAGGCCAGATTAAAAGTATGTTTGGTTGTATGAATCTAAGATGTGTGGTTGTTTTGAAAATTGATGGAGAAGACAGGTGATTGATCACTTTTCTTACGCAATTTAGGAGGACACTAAGATGTAGTCTGGTATGAACTGTATGAAAATTAAGATATCTAAATATATATATATATATATGTATATATGATTTAATATTTACCAGAAGTGGCAAGGGTCTATTAGGTGGTGTGGGTCTGCTTGGCCTATCAAAAGTTTGAGCTTCCTTTTCATCTGAAAATGTGCGGTCTCCACCCACTCTTTTTGAAGCTGATCCACCCATGCCTCTTTTTTTCACATTTTCCTTGGGTATCTCTGATAAGTCAGGCATACTCTTCACTAGTCTGAAAGGGAGAAAATTTATTTAATGAGTCTGTAAAGATTGATTAAAGTCGAACATTTTTAGAAATTTGCCTAACAATCACGGGTTGCAATAAGAACCTTTTCTCTCTACAGTCCAACTCAAGTTGTCTTGCAACATGTTTTAGGAAGAAACTGTGCCAAAATAAAGTTTATAAACGTAAGGCCAGTGCATATTTGCAGGCTTGTTGCTTTGGCATACCCTGTCACAAGGCCCAAGGGGCACCAAAAAGCATAGCCTGTCACATATTAAATTTAATTTCATTCAATCAAGCTAAATATACAATTATGTATATATCAGGCCTGGCCGTTTGAGGCGAGCGATAGCTCGCGCTCGCCTCCACGCTCCCCTCGCAACCTGAGGCGAGCTATGAATTGCTCTCCTAAACAGAACATGAAGGAAGAATCGCTCCCCTAAAATTTCCTATTCAGAGAATTATGAAAACGCACAAGGGTTAATTGGTTTATTTTTGTAGCAGTGATTTCCCCCGTCATTGCATTTTTTGCAATTAACTTTTTGCTTTTTGGGCGGTTTTTGTTATGATAGACATAAACTTCAATCTATTTGGAAAAGGATAGTTAACCGAAAGGTACGTTTGTAGCGATTAGAACCTTTCAATCTTAAGAAAACAGGAATATTTTTGGAAGGAAAGTCGAAGAAATTGGCAGGAATTGTAGATTGGGGATATAATAAGACAGCAGGTCCCTTCCAGCAATAGAAACAAAACTATCCCTCATAGAGAACAAGGTACTCTGTCTTGCAGATCAAAAACGACAACCAAAACATGGAATTCCATTATCCAGCAGCATCTACTGAAAAACCAAGATTGGATGAAAAACTATAACAGCGAAATGTTTGGCATTAATGGCAAAGCCTGATCATCGTTCCATCAAACAGTTTGTGAATCTATCTACTATATAAACATGACCAACCGCTTTTGTTTAGACATAAGTGAGTTCGTTTTCACCTTAGGACTCCGTTGGTAACATTTTCAATAAGAAAGCGGCACTGATTGGACAACCTCAACAGTCATGTGCTCGTTCTTTCTGATTGGCCTATTTCGAACCAAAACTGGGTATTTTAGCGTAGAGTTTTCCATCTATGTTTTGACGTTTTATTATCTGAAGAGTGCTAGACGTATAACTTCAGCTTGTTTTAAAAAAAAAATTTTCAAAGCCATTTTTAAATTCTGTACAACAAAAAGATTATTTTGCAAGAGAATTGTTGTTTTTGTGTTGTGCTAGCTTTACATGAAACTGAAAGAGTCTGTTCTTTTAAATACTTCAAGTAAAGGGGGTGCCTAAGTCACGGTTAAAGCAAATACAAATTGAAAGAAGTAAAACAGCACACTCCTGACTGAGGCTATTACATTAAGGCAACCGACAGATACTAAACGGGCTTATTAAGTCATCTGTCGTATGTGTTACTGATTTAGCTCGCCTCAGCAAATGAGGGGAGCGATTCACAGCTCACCTATAAAATACAAACGGCCAGGCCTGATATATATATATAAATATAATACAATGAAACATTTCCTGCTGTTTTAAAATTGTGCCTTTTTAAAACTGTGCTGTTTTCAAATCGTGCTGTTTTTATAACTGTTTTCATATCCCTTTTGGTGAGAAATTTTTGAAAGTTGGGGCCAAAACATTAACATTTATAAAGGGTTTTATGAAGACTGCCACCATTGTTGGAACTGCACCTAAAACATTTTGAGCATCAAATTTAGTAAATATCCCTGGCTATATTCATAAGCTTTCATTTATCGTTATGCCACCAGAGATATTCATTGTTAAAGTTGTGTGAAAACTGAAGTGATGACTTTTTTTTTAAGAATGCAGGTTTTTAAGGCTCCATATATACTATGCATGTAAACCTTTGTAGAAATAAGACAAAACACCAATTACACTTCATCACATGCCTAAAACAGTCTAGGGGTGCGAAATGCCACACTTGTGCTAATTTATTCCCAGGAAGGCCTGAAAACTGCATGAAATGGTTACCGAGCTTTTATCTCAACACAGCATAAGTCCTTGATTATTAAAAGCAGATTTGGGATCAAACTTCAGGTTAGTGCAAAGAAGGTCAATCTGCAGATGTCAATAAATGGCAAATTTTTGCTGCATCTAATTCTAAGTTAGAATTTCTAACTATGACCAGTTGAACACTTAATTCGCTCTATCAAAGACACGATTTGCAACTTAGATGATTAAGCAGAATTATTTGTCTGGTATTCCTTTTATTTGGGCCTAACACAGACGCCAACACTAACAATGACAAGGGTTTAGGCCTACTGACTGGTTGCTGCAGCAATGGTTTTCCTCTGACCCTGAAGCATAAACGAATACCTTTCACATATAACTGGATCTAATAATTTTAATTACAGGAGAATAAGAGTCGAGAATGTTGAGAATATATCTAAAAATAAGGCTTGGACAAAATCAACGAAAAACAAAAACATGTAGATCGACAACAACAGGGCCTAATTGGCAAACTTCCTTGGTGTTTCACCTTCTTTAAAAGTCAAATTTCATGCAATTAGCATTTTAAACTAAAAAATAATAACGAATAATACCCAAATTAAAAAACTGCTGAGGAATTTAACAAAAAATAGCACGCTTACGCATTTGCATCGGCTGCAATCGCTCTACATTAGTAAATTGAACCAACAGCCACACATCATATTCCTTCCTTACTTTGCGTTATTCCCGTGTTGCTGCGCGCCAACTTCAAACAACTTGATTGGTCAGTTCGCTGTGGCGAGAGTCGGCGCGTCCGAAGGGAGATTGGGTATTAATTGCATGTGATCGTACCCAATCTTTGCAAACTTATGACCAACAAATTTTATAAAAACTTTGCCAGTGCCATATTAGTGTATTATTGCATTCTTAGTGAGTTTTGTTATGTTATTTTGAACTTACATCGCTGATGATATGTGCTGCGTAAATCGTTCTGTTTCAGTTTCATAAAATACCGTAAATCCTCGAATTGCCCCCCCCCTCGAATTTTTGCTTTCAGTACTTTCAGTGGTAATTAATCAAATGCTCATAAAGAAAATTCTTACTAAAATAAGCAAGGTCTTTTAATAATGTCTTCTTATTGTCTACAATAACTTTATAAGCTCTCCCCTCGTATAAGCCCTCCTCGAATAAGCCGCAGTCCAATAATATCAAAAATTAATAATATCAATAATATCAATAAATAAGCCCCCAGGAAGCTAATTCGAGGATTTACGGTATGATTGAAAATGTTGTCCTCTCTATTCTTTATAATCTTCCACTGTTTCCTTGTTGCGTTTCATGTCTTCTATTTTCAAATGCCTATTCCTTCTTTAAAGAGGGTTGAAATTAGTTAAATGCTGGACAGGGCCAAGTTGCAAAGATAATATATTGTATTTGATAACTTTGATGTCATCTCTTCCATTGTGTGGCTGAAGAAACAATGGATTTGTGGGTGTTGCTTTACCCTATTTAGAGCGGCTACAACATATAACTACGTCTATTCCTTTAAATGCAATGCGACAAAATGACAACATAATACACTACATTAAAACTGAGGAAATGCACACTTCCTATTTTTCTTGTCACTTTCCAAACTCAAAATGCAACCTTTAAATTGCAGTATTGTGTTGCAAAAGGATTTCGCGCACTAACTAACTGTTTGTTACTTCTAGTCAGGTAGGGTATACCGTATACCGTATTTATTTCCTCCAGTTCGGATATGAGAAGCGTTGTCGGGACTAGATATCTCGGTCGGGATTAGATATCTCGGTCTGAGTCAGTTTCGTTTTGAAATTATAAGGTAACATTATAATCCATCATGTGATCATAATCTGTGCAAGCAGATTGCGCGGGCAAATGATTTGGAGACAAACAAAAAACTTGCTTCAGGTCAGGCAGTGGTGTAGCCAGGGTTGGAGGATTGGAAGGGCAAAGAGGAGTGCGGGGAAAATTTTTGTTGACCACAGCCTTAAGAATGTCGAGCAACGTTTTATTTTAAAAACGTTTTCGACAAAAGCTATGACTAATCAAACATAATAACAGTCATATGTAGCTTTCTGTCACTGACCCTCTCCATTCTAGGCCATTCTACAACGGTTCTCCATTCTCCTCTCACGTTTATTTCTGAATCGAGGAAGCTCTGCGAGTAGGGCGAGGAAGCTCTAAGTGTAATAACTAAATTGTTAGCAAATATCTAAATAAAATAAACCATATTCAAAAGCTTCAAACTAAGCCCATCCTCCTAGGAGCAAAATCCTTGACAAGCATTTCAGCTCTAGTTTTTTGAGGATTCCAGTATTTAAAATATTTATGGTCTATTTTATCGGGAATGTCTTAAAAACGTGAAAAACTTATCTAAAAAAACCCTGATATAAAAATGAACGGGAAATTGAAAGACATACCGAATAACAGCCGAGGCCCCCCTCCCGAAAAGAAAAGGGAGCTAGAAAATATTTGCGAGCATGCTCTTTAGATTAGTTTGAAATACAATCTGGAATATTTCTAGCAGTATTTTCTTTGCAATTGTTTTAAATATTTTACTTTTATCTGAAATATCAACCACCACTAACCCCCTCAACCTGATTTGCAGTTTTCTTGGAAACTAGCTTTCTGAGCATTGTGGGACCGCCTTGCTCCCCCCCCCACCTCGCTACGCTATTGGCTTCAGACAAGCCTCTTTGGGTCTGTAATAGAGTAAGCTTTCGCGTTATTATTTTATGCCTTTTTTCATTTAAGATTATGCTGCGTTACGCAGTATTACGCATATCGCGCAAGGTCATTGTTCTAGGAATTTCTCATCAGGAATTACATTTACAAATGTGCGTGGCGCAGCATGTCGATCTTTTGTCTAAGGATTTACCCTGCATATGATTTGCTGAGGTAATTGTATTCTCTATTACTCAGGGACGGTGCCACGAAATTGAGCCTGGGGGTGGGGGGGGGGCTAAGAATCAAGTTAAGTGACATGGGAGGATCCATCATGGTTGGGTCCGACGCACAAGAAATTTTTTGAAATTAAGCCTTCTAGAATGGCTAAAAGTGCATCTCCAAGAAACAGAAACTACTTGAAATTTCATGCTGCAACTGCGTGACTGCAGTTATACATCTAAGTATCTAACAAAATATTTCTTCCAAGAAACAAGCCGCTCACTTGCTTTTCGATTGACTCGAAAAATACCGACATTTTTGTAATTTTCTCTTTTCCACACTACTCTTAGATCCCGAATAACCGTCCCCCTATTTGTTTCAATCCCCCTGCTCTTATAAAGTCCCCCCCCCCGCTTGTTAAATTTTCAATTTTGTAGGAGGGCCCATCAAAAACGGTGGACAACTGAGGTTGAGTTTAACCAGATAAAGAATGAACACCTCCCATTCTAAACAGTTTCTAGAATTAAGTAGCCTATTCTATCAGATCTTTGATATAACCTGGGTTCTTTACATAAAATATAAAGTATGTAAATTCATATTTTTTATTTATATAGAACTATATTATTATTATTATTATTATCCACAAAAAGGATAGCGTGGAGATCCATCTAATTTCAGGTCCATAACACTCGAGTCAGTACCGCTAAAAATATTTACTTCTTGCTTGTGTGACTTCATGTTTGATTTTCTTAAAATAAATGGCTATATTGAACATCAAATTCAAAAAGGCTTCACGTCTAACATCTCTGGCACTCTTGAACATACTTCAATGATGGCTCATATTATCGACAAATCACGTACAAAACAGCGCTTGCTGGTTGTCACTCTTCTTGATCTCAAAAATGCCTTTGGCGAAGTACATCATAATTTGATACCCACTATACTGTCTTATCATCACATCCCTGACAACATACAGCTTCTTATCTCTAGCCTTTACACCGATTTTAAAACCTTTATCATGACAAGCCACTATAATACTCCTGCTATTCCAGTCCGTCGTGGTTTGCTTCAAGGCGACTGCCTCAGTCCCCTACTATTTAATCTATGTTTCAATACTTTTATACAGTACATAAAAACAGTTAGGTTTTTCCCTACATGATTAGAACGACCGTATGTTTCAACCAGTCCATTGGTTTCAATTCGCAGACGATGCTGCCGTTATCACCAGCAATGAGAAAGAATCCAACTTCTACTGAATTGTTTTACTCGCTGGTGCCAATGGGCTACCATGGTCATACGTGTCGATAAATGCATCACATTTGGAATAAAGAAATTTTCCACACGTTCTCTTCAGTATCAACCTAAGCTTGTTACAAACAACAAATCTATCCCATCTGTCTTGAATGGAGACTCTTTCAAGTACCTCGGTCGTCATTTGACTTTGAAATGACAAACCAAGAACATAAATCTGACCTTTTATCATCACTTTCCAACATGCTTAAACAAATTGATTCCCAGTTTCTTCATGCAAAAAATATCCTACGTCTTTATCACAACTTTGTTCATTCCAAAATCTCCTGGAACCTTACTGTAGCAGATCTTTCAAAGACGTGGGTTGTCGAGAATCCAAATACATCCGCCAGTGGCTCGACCTCCCAATAAGTGCTTCCTTCGAGTAGCATTATTCTTTCTAAAAACCAGTTTTACCATCCACCAAATTCCTACAGTGTCAAACAGTTTTACGCAACGCATTGAAATCTTCACAAAACGATAACGTTCGCTCTTTATGGAAAGATACCAGCAGTAGCACAAATATACAATATGATATATATAGGAACACCAAAGAAGCATTAAAGGCTGTCCAGCATGAGCATAAAGATCGTCTGCAAAACATCCTAACCTCCAAAGAATCTTTATTATCACATCTCTTTAACCAGAATCTTCCATAAATAAACAAACTTTGGTCCAAGGTGCAAAGTAGAATGCCTCAGAATTTTTTCAATTTCACCATAAGGTACCTAAACAATACCCTTGCCACACAGAAAAACCTGAAATAAGTCATGGACAAATCCGGAATTACATCCTTTTTAACTTTAGTTGTTTTATTTTATTTTTCTCAGTTTTTCCTTTTACCTTACGATTGTTATAGTTTTTTCTTGTAAAACCAGGCTAGCCAATTGCAAATTACCTTGTAATAGTGAGATTTGTAGTTGTAGTTTAAGTTGAATTGAAAATGAAATGTTTCCATTATTATTATTATTATTATTATTATTATCATTATTATTATTATTATTATTTTATATTTATATTTATATTATTTTTTTTTACTTTTCGGAAATCTTTGGGACTACTGATCAGTGTTTTGGACACTTGAAAATAATATAGAAGCGCCGAACGAAAACGAGGCAGCAAGCAGCGAGGAAAAATGGCGTCAAGACCCGGCGGTATTGCCCACAAACTGCATGCAGTTACACTTGTAAGAAGTGGAATTGGAAGGCCGTGGTGGGAGAAGCGAACGCTTAAAGTGCTGCAGCTCGAAAGACTTAAGCAGACTGTTGTGCATAAAAATACCCCAGCTATAAATGGACAAATAGCCGCGGTCAAAAACCTCGTAAAAGTATCTCCTATATTGTTACACGATGATGATTTAGAAGGTGCTCTGGAAGCATTCCAGGCAGTTAGCCTGGATGACGTCGAGCTGGACGGAAATTCTACACGATGTAAAGCTTTCCTTGGCACGGATGGAACCTTCGACTTGCATGGATTTTTAGAGTATCATAAGAATGTGCTTTCTAATTTACCAAAGAAGCCAAAAGAAACAAACTTGAACACAGATTTGAAAAAGAAGGCAGGAAAAGGCAGAAGGCAGGAGAGGAAATGACGATTTTTCGATGCGAAATCGTGACCAGGACTTGCTGTTTATTATAGAAAGAACAATGAAATTGAAGGCCTAGATCCATTAGATACAGTCACAGATTGCCTTATATTGAGTATGTATACATTGATACAAATTAACATTTCTCTTTTTTGCGTAGGGAATTACACGAAAAGGTTGCCACTGACAAAAGCCTTTCAGATTTACAAAAAAAATTCTTTTAAGCTCCTGGCCTCAATTAAGCCCCCCCCTCTATTACCATCCCCCTCTCAATTTTGCCCCCCCTCAAACAATTTTTCTTTGATGCCAAAATAAGTAAACTTGACAAAATTCACATCATGTTTATTGCAGTCTCAACGACAATCCAACTGAAAACAAAGATTTAATGTGCATTAAGCACAGACCATGTGAGAGCCTTATACCAAAATTACAGGCTGTTGGTACTCAGAAGGATGAACTCAACCTTTTCGAATACTTGATATCACAAGGCATCATTGCCCAAAAAAAGATATTTTAGAATTAACAATTGATTACAATGACCATGACAAAATTACTGAAGTAGAAGGCTGATTCGATGTTTTTTTATTTTGCAAATAACAAAAATTAGTTTACCACTATAAATGGTTTTTAATTACAAAATATTTATTGACCTTCTCTCTCAATTTAGCCCCCCCTTCTATTAAAAGGCCCCATTAAAGTGCTGAATAACAATAAGCCCCCTAGAGGGCTTAAAAGTGAATTTACTGTATATTTACAATTATAAATTTTTTTCACTAAGTCATTTGAACATGCTACTATACTTCTAAAAACTTTCATTTAAACATTTTACATAATGAGCTTTTCAATATGTATAATATATGATATATATATATTATATATGATACATATGATACACATCTTTATTCTATGATGATCTTGTCAGCCTTAATTTATGACATCACCTTGATTGAGTATGTCTTCTGCATGTAAAAATTAGCACTCACTTTACAGACAATTTAAATTGAAATAAGAAAGTAAACACTTGCAAGTACTTTCAAAACATCTTTGCCTGCATGTCTCAGTGAGAATTGGTTTATTCTCCTATATGGTGTATAAAAGCATTAGTACTTTTGCAAGAGCCAGAACAATGATAGTATTTATCACATTGACAAATAGCAACAACTTTGTTTAAACTTCTACCAGACATCACATTTGAATCTTGCAGCTGTGATAGGAACTTTACAAGATAAACTTCTTTATTTCTACTTTTAAGAAAACATAGAAGATCTTAAGTTTGAAAGGTATGGGGAGGAATGGTGAGTTATGGGACAGAGTTTGTGAATTTGGCAAAGAGACTTGTAAAGGAGGAACTGGTACTAGTACCTTTCTCAGGGGACCAGGGATCATTTTTATGACCTTCTGAGAGCAAAGTCCATGGTAAAATTTGTGAAAATTGAGAGATTGGTGACCTAACATTGACAAGAAAAGGGTTTAAGATAGGGGTGTACTGGACCAGGATTTTCAGAGTCTGGCCAGAATCGGATTTACCGGATTTCTTCGTGGAATATCCGGCCGGATATTACTGGATAATCTGGCCACTTATCGATTTTTCAGTAACAAAAAGTTTTGAGCCACTTTGCAAAAAAATGTATAGCGAGCAGATCAAAGAGACCCATTTAGGGTTGCCAGATTGAATTTACAAACGAAGGCTAGACTGGTGAGCAATTTAAGCCAAAATGCTCATAAAAAGGCCAAATCAAAAGCTTTCTCAAGAATCCATCGAGCAGGCACTAGTTATATTTCTACGCTTGTGCCTGTTTGATAATTTCTTAACTTAGATAAGAATCTTACTTTTTTCCAAAACCCTTTGCTAATATCAAGATAATATTTAGGTTAGGTGATAAAATTTGAAATTTGGTTAACACTTTGTAGTTAACTACTAATTATTCCATGAACGTAGTAATTACTCATTAATTTTAGACGTTCTGCTGAAAAGGCTAACGAGGTCAAATTTAAGAAGTAAGAAAAAAACAATTTTTCCAGGCAATCAAAATCTAAAAACCAAAAATGAAAAATTTTGCCTAAAAAGCCAATCTGGCAACCCTGCACCAAATTTGTGAATTATATCATCCAGTCTTCCTGTTTCGTTATGATGAGCACTTTCATTTTAAATCTGTTTTCAAGGTGCTTGCTTTATCGTCAATCTTGTTTAGTTCTGGAAAATCCGGCAACTGGCCGGATTTTGGAAACAAATCCAGCCGGAACCGGATTTAAAAAAAATCAGCGATCCGGCGCCGGATTATCCGGCCTACCGGATATCCGGTACATCCCTAGTTTAAGAGACTTACGAGGTTGCAGTTGTTGATGAGGCGAACGGTTTTAGATTGTGTTTTGTCAACAAGGTACAGGGGACATTTAGGAGCACCCAAAATATACCACTTTTAAATTATTGCCAGGCCATCAGTGAGTTCTGTTGATAGCAGGATTCTGTTTAGAATCAAAGGAGAAATAAGGGCTCAGATAAGTGTCATCAAAAAAGAATGAAAACTTGTAGCGGTGAAAGTAAATGGATCCTTTATGGAAAGTTTGAGTTAAAAACAGGAGATATGACAGAACCTTGAGGAACATCAGCATTAACTGAATGGGTCTTCAAGAGGAAGTCATAAACTCTGATGGCTATGGACCCGTTGGTCAGAAAGCTGCCACTCAAATTTAAATGGGTTTATACAACTGTGCAGACCATATATGGGGAGTTTAGAAGAAAGAACTTTGTGCCATACACGATAAAGAGCTTTAGAGATGCGGAAAGAGATCACTCTTCTCTCACCAGAGGATTCAAGAGTAGAAAATCAAACACGAGGGGCAATCGCTTTAAGATCATCAGTAGATCTTGGTTTGGGATATTGGTGATCAGAAAGGAGTTTTTTGATTTCAAGAAACGTAGGCAGTTGTTGGAGATAATTGTTTGCATTGTTTCAGGTATGAGTGAAATGATAGGGATTAGATGATAATTGTTGAGATCATACTTGCACCCCCCTTTTTGGGGAGAGGGAAGATTTGGGCTAGTTCTCAGGTGGTTAGAAAGATACTGAGCAAATAGGAGAGCTGGAAAAGTTTCTTAAGAGCTGGTGCCAGTTTTGGGCAACAGGGTTTGAGAACAATTGCTGGTATACTATCGGGTTCTGTATTTGTAGAAGTGTTAAGTAGGAGAAGAATTTTGCAAACTTTGCGGGTAGAGAAGTTGGTTTGTGACATTGACAGAAATGAAGGGGGGTAGCGGCAAGGTAATCTGACTAATCCATTTTCAATACAAATTTCAGTACATAAATGTTTGAATATTTTAAGACAAGGTCGTCTCACTGAAGAGATAAGTGACTTAATTTAACTGAAAGAATAACTCAATAGTTCAGATATCAATTATTCTAAAATGATGCATAGTTAAAGGCTATGCCCAACGCATTTCGCTGGCCATTTAAATTCCCATTGGTTAGACTATACAATAGACCTATTGTTACGAAGCCAATCTGGATGTTCTCTCGAGCGTAAACAAGCTGCAAAGACTATTATTCACTCTGAACAGTTGACTGATGGGGCATAGTGTCTTTAAATAGATTGGTGGCAGAAATGAAACTCATGTTGTTCAATGTGGTCCTCGTACCAAAGATTACATGAAAGTTGCACTTTCCCACCAATATTGCAATATTAAATTTTATTCAGACTTTTTAAAGTTGTACAATGGTTTTTAACCATTTCAGGTTAAATCCATCACACACTTCAAACCCCAGGTTCATCCAGTAAACTCATAACTATGCTTATTCTTATGACCGGAGTAGAATATTTGTAGCAGAGACGGTTGCAAGCTGGTTGTCCATTGCAACAGACCTAGTGAAACAATTCAAATCCTTGATCTTTTCAAAAGCTAGATGGATAGGACCTTTGTTCTATTTGTTCAGAAAATTTTTAACCAATCCAGCCTCAAATTAAACAGTTCATAGAAGCGAAATGGACAGATATAATCTAGCTAATAGAATTTTCATCAGCAGTTCTGAAAATTGCAAATCCTTAAATATGTTGTTTATATTCAGATTACTAGTTTGAGAGACATGAAGTACTTGCCATTATTGAAAATAATTTGATAAGAATTGAGCATTGGATGTAAAGGGATGGAAATGTGGTTAAAAGAAACAACTGTTTCTTGAATTTCAAAGGCAGATAATTTCAAAGGACCACTATAATAAGATATATTTTTTTTTAGATCAATCAAAAGAAAACTGGTATATCAGGCTCATAGACATTGCCAATATTAAGGTCTTTATTTTGTCCTTTTTCCATTAGTTGGATTTTGATTCTAGGGCTAGTTAATGATTCGCTTTCCGAAACCTCATCAGGGCTCTTGAAACTTGCGGCTATTTTCAACGTACATCCTGAGCTTATAAGGTCCTTCTCATGTGCGGCTGCAATTTGATTTATCACTTGCCTTTCCACCTGAAAAAATTTATTTTTATGTGAAAGTGTTTCTGCTCTAGAATTGTCGTAACAATGTAAATAAATAACAATAAACTATATCTATACAGGAAAACTTAGTCAGTTTGCAGAGAGCAAGGTGCAGAGATCTGCAATCATGCAAGGTCCTGTTAAAATTACAAGTCTAAACGAATTAAAAGATATCACATTAGAAGATGACGGACTGGACCAGCATTTCAGAAAAAGGTAGAACGCTTTGAAAAGGGTAATCGACATTCTTACTGATCCGGGAACTTTTAGTTTGAAAGAAAGTAACAAAAGTTAGGATCACAAACACAGAAAAAACATTTAATGTGTATGTGAACGTAAAAAGCGTGAATGAAAGAGGCGCGAATGTGAATGAAAAAATGCGCGAATATGAATGAAAAAATGCGCGAATATGAATGAAAAAATGCGTGAATATGAATGAAAAAAGTGTCAATATGAACATACAAAGCGTCAATGATTACAAGAAGCCATGAATGTAAATGAAATTATTTTGCTACAAATTAGCAAGCATAGAAGATCATTTCTGCTACCCATGGGCTGATGTTATATCGTTAATGAGCCAGCAATTTTGTTCTTGACATGACTTTCTTGTGGGTCTTTGCGAGATGCTCTTTCGTGGTCAAGTTTCTGTCCATAGTAGTACAAAGATATTCGGACGAGTCCGATTAGCTGATCATCCTACCGTTCAATGAAAAGCTTACTTTCTCCAACTTTGCGAGTTTATGGTGTTTTCAAAATAATCGTTACTTGTTAAGCACTCAGTGTTTAACGTTTCCTCAATTCTTTTGCTGTTTTTATCAGATGTTAATATAACAGTATCATCAGCATAGAGTTAAACCCTACAGTTCCTAATCTGTTCAGTGATCTCGCTATATCACTATTTTAAACAGCAGTGAACCCAAAATGGATCACAAGAACTCCAAGCGTGATTGACTGTCTTTCGGAGCATGTACTTTGAAAGGATACAAACTGTTTCCAATTGAATGGATAATTTTTAAACCATTTAAGTTCCTTTCCATTTCTCCAGGTATTCGCAATGGGGCTAACAATGTTGCATAACCTATTGTGTCAAACTCGACGAGGTTTGCCCGTTTGTTTACTATTATCCATTCTGGTCCTTTCGAAGTCAGAAAATACGTGACTGCGTGCCCGGTGGCTGATCTCTGTCGAAAACCAAATTGACATGTCTTAAAACTATAAGATTTATCCACAACAATTTTTTTCCTTAATGCTAAACAGTATACAGCCATGACAGAGAAGCACAAAAGGGAATTTTTAATTACCTCATGTTTGATGGATCTCGCCCCATAATGAATATCATAACCATCAGCTAGAACGTCAAGAACCTCTCTGTCCCAAACAAGTTTAATATCATGGCGCTTTAAAGCCTGCGAGAAAATAAAACTGCTAGGTTATACATGCGGAAAGAGAATTGAGTACATTTACACTTTCCATTATAAAATTATTCAGTTGCTTGCTATAACTTATTTATATTACAAATACTAACTTATCTAAAATTATATACTAAAATCATAACATATACTATCAAATATCTAAAATTCCAAAGTTGGCTGCAATTCAAACTCAAGACAATGCATTTGAATGAACTCTGTTATGGTCAGTTAATGCTAGTACCCTTTTTAACCAGTACTCTAATTCTTTTTGAACCAATTGTCTCAGCTCTGCTCTTGAAAATGGTAAGAAGTATACTATTTCAGTTATCCTTCCAAGGAACTCATCTCTTCGAAAGTGGCTCTAAAACAGAAGAGCTTTTATCATTTACAGTCTCCATTCATACACAACAAAAATGAAAGCATCTTTAGATACATTTGGAATCCTGCTTCTACTTGGAAATATTAAAATTTCTTGCTTATTAATGAAAATGAAGTGAAGATATATTTTCATCATAAAGAAAGTAACATAGCAGACAATACCAAAAATCCTCAAATTAGGCCCCTCGGGCTTATTTACATGAGACGCTTATGGATGGGGCTAATTCTTTAGGGGACTGGGCAGGAGGGAGGGCTTATAAATAAATTCAATATCCGAATTGCCACAAAATACTCTGCTTTGAAGCATTTTTGTAACTTTTGATTTCATGTATTACTTAACTCAACAATTTTTTTAAAAATGTCAACCAAAAGTTTAAACCAAAGCACAAGAAGATATTCTAGTCCAAAATATTGAGAATGTTCATGGTCTTTTGGAATCTCTTCATCACAAATCGAACTCTAGACGCTTAATAGAGATGCAAAAAATTGGCAGGTTAGGGTGGAGGGCTTAGTCAATAACTTTGACTTGCAGGGTGGGGGCGTATTTGAGAGGGGGCTTATATAAGAGGGGGTGTGTGGACTAATTCTACTCTACTCACCCTGTAAAATGATTTCTTGTACACTTTTGTTTTTGCAAATTAATGTTGTAAAGACTTTTATATGAAAACACAATTCCAAAATGAAAAATTTTTTGCAAGAATATTAATAAAGAAATGCATTACCTTTAATATTGGATATATGACATCTTCTTTGAATTTTCTCGAAATAACAACATTTTCAGCATTACTTTCTAAAATCATAAAATTCAGCTTAGTTAATGAGAAAATAACACGATTTGCAAAGTGAACTGATCTGTAAAAAGATCACTGGGTTAAGATCCTATCCTTCATAGCAATTTAAAGCACCGTTGAGACATAAATTCCATCTTATGGTTAATAATTTATGCGAGATTTTTGCAAGGAAAGAGAAAACTCATCCTTTACCTAGTTCCGAGAAGTAGAGCTTCTTTTCTGCATTTTCTTTTCCTACAGCTCTAAGTTCAACTCCATGCTCAGCTATTCTTTCACTTGCCAGGTTTGATGTCATAACGAAAACAGCATTCTTGCATTCAATTGTATTCCCTTTTCCATCTGTAAGGCGACCCTATATATGATAAACTTATAATTTATACGATAACACGGCGACTCTATATATGATAATATGATAGAATAAAATCCCTTCTTCCAGGACTTTTTTATTTCCGTTGTGGAATTTTACAGTTTTAAATGTATGATACATTTCTTGTTTTGCTAGTAGGCTAAAGTTTGAAGGTGAAAATTGTATGCAATTCCTAAATTGGACATGCCTGTTTAGGTTACCTTCTAGTGGCATCGTCAATGTGTTTTAGAAAGAGAAGCAATAAGGAGTATAATTTTAGAAGAAATTCTAATTTAACTTCGCATTTTCTGTACTGCTTTAATCATTAAATCAATGGTTTAACTATCATAAAAATAATACAAAGGATGTATCATCAATGGGTAAGAAAAATAGCAATTATGTACTACCTCGTCAAAAAGCTGCAGCATTACAGTCAAAACATCAGGATGTGCTTTATCTACCTGTGAGCGCAAAGTAACAATAGAAGCATAAAAAACTGACGATTTGTAATAATATCAAGGTGATTGGTGCAGGTATTTCCACCAATAGGTGCATGGAATGAACAATGCAAGCCCTAGTGCAAACTATTTAGGCTAGCAATTGCAAACTGAATTGACCATACATAATTAATCAAACTTGATACTTGAGAAGTATCCCAATCCAAGACAGGTAAAGGGCAACAAGTATGAACAGATGGCGGGAATTAGTTGTTGTATAAAACTGCTCCGTGAAACGATAGGAAGCAGAACAAAATGAACTGTAGTAATACCCAAGTGATAATGCTGATTGGTCAAAAAAGGAACCAACCAAATGCAACAGTCCTTCCTCTCGGGCTATTTCTGATCTGCTTCAGGATATACATTTCCACTTATTTGTTTAATCATAAGCTGCTATTCTTGAAAAAGAAATTGCTCCCTGAATGAATAATTTAAAGTCGTTCCTTCACTCATATTATACGTAGTACAAACCTACCTCATCAAACAATACTACTGCATTGTTACACTCCCTCAACTTTTTGGTCAATTGTCCTCCTTCATCATGGCCAATGTATCCAGGTGGTGACCCAATCATCTTTGCAACCTGAAAAGATGGCAAATATACACGAGCGACGACAGAAAACCAGAATTCTAGGGAACAGACATGCACGGGCGTCACAACAACCCCTGCACTCAAAAGAGGTGCAAAATTTTTTATAGCCTTTTTTGCCTGGGCAGGATTGTTGCAGGGGGGCATCAATAAGGCTCTGACACCACTGCATACATGCAGCATTGATCAAATCTGTAAGTTTGTACCGGAGTGAATAGATCATAAGGAAGAAAAGAGAATAATGCTTTGGGTGTACATACTTCATGTTTTTCTTGAAATTCCGACATATCAAGGCGAATGAAACTCTAAATGAATAGGAAAAATGATCAATGTACATGACAAATCAGTGATCAAAAAGAAATAATTCCGACAAAACAAAATCCCAAAAACTATCAAACCTAGCAGTATTTTGTAGTATATGAAAATAAATGATTGCTTCTAATCTTATAATTCTTCAAACAACATTCATAAGTGACAGAGTGTTCAACAGCAAATACAAAAAGTTAACAAATAAAAAATTGACTTCTAGTGACCTAAAATAAAATATATTTTCGAAAATGGGCATATACCCAGGCAGTATCGCGAGGAAAGAGCTATGCCAGCAAAGTTAGCAAGACTGAAAATGCCTCGTAGCATCAAAGCAATATATCATAAATGCAAACCTTTATGTCATCTTTATGAAGGTATCTAGCCAGCTGCTTTGCAAGTTCAGTCTTTCCTTTTTGAAAACGGCATAATTAGTATTCGTGCAAAATTAATTATTCAACCTTAACATAATTTTGTTATAAACCCTACACTCAGACAGACAAAAATCAATAGGTCTGGCATAAGGATATCCAAGACTTTGATTTAAATTTATCCGTGAGCTTGATAGATAACACCTTTCATCCACAGTACTACCCTTTCTCTTCTAGTTTCCCCTGTTCTTCCAAAAGTTGTCACAAACCACAAAAATGTAGCAAAAGCCAAAGGAAAACGTAGATTAAAACACTGAATTTAATGCGTAGCTAACTGCCAAACGGAATGTTTGAGATTACTAATTCGAGACATTACAGTCTCAGGAATTCTACGCAAAAACGGTGAACATAGGCTATGGATTTCTTGAAAATATTCTTTCAATAAAAGCAAAAACAAGGGCTTCATATAAATGATGGGTTTCCGGGGTGAATACAAAAATTTGGCTTCAAGAGGACGCAATTTTTCTATTAACTATAGAATAAATTACAATTGAAAAAGAGCTTCACTGACAAATTAATATATATAAACTATGCAAAGTTAAGTTAGTTAAGAATGGAAATAACTATGCAAAACATATGTGTTAATTTGTTCGTCTCACCGATTCCTGAGGAGCCCAAAAAGAGAAATACCAAAGGGTGATCTTCATCATACCAGCCATTCTCTTTTCTTCGAATTGCTGAAAAATGAGAGAAATGAGAGAGTTTTTATAGAGATAATTTCTGTCTTCTGTCTTTTAAATTCTATCTTACCGTGTGCAAAATGAATCAGCTCGATATTTGTTAGCATTTCGATCAATTACACAAAGAAAAAAATATTTTCCCCAAACACCACAAAAATTTGGAACTTTTACAGTTAAGTGATTGTTCTTTGTATTTTGAACATGTTCCTTCCTGTAGTTTACGAATGGGTCACAAATATGTCAAGAAGGCAGTCAAATACACTGTGCATGTTTCTTTGCACCCTAGGAGTCCGCAGGTTGCAGTTTGGGTTGGCTATTGTCTTTATCATATTCCCACAAAGCTGTTCGACTTGCATTTGATCGACTTGCGACAACTGAGCAACAATACGTGAAAACAGGCTTGATTACCATCCATGATAATCTTTGTAGGTCTATGGGTATAGAAATGGTAGTGTTTGCGGAACTCTGATATACACTGACGTGGCATTAGAGAAGGCTCTCTGGTACTCGGCAATTTCTTTCTTGTGAAAAATGTAGACAGTAAAAGCCAATGCAATTTCGTGTTCATGATTCTATATGGAGGCAGCGTAGGAAGGCGTCAAAAAATTTTGCCAAATCTACAAATATTGCACCAGTGAGCTTGTTCTATCACCCCCCTTTTCTGATAAAACTTAAAGATTTAAAAAGTGAAGGTATTATATTTAAAAAGTATTATATTTAAGATTTAAAAAGTATTATATTTATTTAAAAATTTGTAGCGTGTATCACTTTGATCAGAATTCGAACTGATTATTTAAGAAAAGGTTACAATATAATGTGACAATTTAACTTTAAAATTAACTTGGAATTGTACGAAGAAAATGAACGAAATTAAAAAAAGACGTCTCAAGCGTAGCCCGTTATCAAATCTTAAAGGTTTATCATGTACATCAAGGGCTTGGCTAGGAGCTGAGCAGCATCTTTGAGCAGCGTTTCTGGGAGCCGGTTTTGGCTTTCCTTCAGCTTAGCTAACTTGTTTACTTTATTGCTACAAATCTATTCTTTAGAGAGGCATAGATTTTGGCATTTTCGGACACATACCCAGGCAGTCGACATTTGCGAAAAAAAGTTTAAAGCCAGATTGTATGTATTCTATCTTAAGCAAGGTCCCTGCATAGGTTACACAAACTTTAATCGGATATGCCTGGTTCATTGGTGCCCAGAATTTATCAGGCACATTTGAACTTTCCTTCAGCAAGATTTTATGGTTGCTTTGTTCACTTTTAAGCTAACAGGTCACTCTGTTTTGTCGTATTTCACAGCAGGAACAATCTAATTCACCAAAGTAAAATTATCCTGGCTTATAATGGAACGTAAGAGATTCCAAGCATAAATTGAAAATGGAAAAGGTTTCAAGCAAAAATGATTTCATAAAAAAAACTTTGCAGAAAACAGAGCAGCCAATTTTGTGCTATACATATTTCTGCACTACATATGGTCTTCATTGCTGGCATTATATTTTCGATGATAATGTCAATTGGAAATATGACAATATTCTGTCTTGATAAAAATTGCCTCTCGGGAAACACATAAAATGTGTCTTCAGTCCCCATTTATAGAGCAAATATTTACCTTCCATTATAAGCAATAAAAGAAAGCTTCAGGAGAAAAAACGTGAACAGATATAAAATAGGAATGAAAATTCAATTTAATCCATAAATTACCTGAGGCGACTGCTGTTATTGCTCCTTCCTGGCCTACTATAACTTCCTTTAACCTTTTTTCCAGAGGATATCTCTTCCTTTCTTCTAATTCCATTCTTTTCTTCTTTTCGATAAACTAGACAATTACAAATATTTCTTCAGTTATAGCTTTCACTCTGATAATTAGATGTCCAAGCAAACAACTGCTTTCTTACGTTTTGTTTCCTTGCACTGATTGATCTAGAAACTCAATCGGTTCAACATTTTGGAAAAATTGTTGAAAAAGTCGAAATAATATCTGCAGATGAAATTTCTTTTCAGGATTATGAGAATATTTTCATTTCTTATTGTGAATACCAATCATTTATTGACTCTTTAAGCACTGATGCCACAAATGAGAAATTTGAAATCTCATTTCACTTTTTGAGAACCTTTATTCTGGTCATTCAAACATTAAAAAAAGAAAGATTTGTGATTACCAGTGTTGAAAATGACTCTATAAGCTTTTTATTTTGATCCCTTGCGCAATATTCTGATGCTGTGTGACCTGTTACATCAGTCAGCGTTGGGTCAGCGCCTAGAAGACAAGATTGGACAAATGGCTCAATATATTTGCAAAGATTAGACTCCAAAACATTCCGAAAACAGAAACAGAAGCCTATTTTATTTGAAAGAAATCATTCAGTCTCTATTATTTGCAAAAAGTTTTAAGTAACCTACTCAATTAAAGTACATTCCTTTATTTTGCCATATTCAGCTTTTGTCATTAATATTAAAAATTATGATACCTTTATGGCAATACAAATCATCATAGAATCAATGCTACGATAGAACATTCAGCTGACTTAAATGGTGGGCTGGAATTTAAGAAGCAGCAAGATTTTGAGCATATTCTCGTGTTTACTGTTGCTTGAAATCCTTTGTGAGGAACGGGTGATATTTTGCTTAACTGGTCAGATGTAAAAAGATGTAGCTACAGTCATTGCCTATATTTTTCAATTCTTCTCGAATACTCCTACTTCCGCATCACCTTCCCCCTAGGCATTGTTGGTCATTTAGAAAATATCATAGAGGTTGCAGGAAGAAACATAATTCAAAATCCCCTGCTTCGCTTTGTAGTAAAAAAATTGTTCAAAAGAGGGAAGGGGGATAGCTGAATTTGGCCTTGAAACGGACGTTAATGCAATAAGTGTTTTGAAGGTAATGTAGCTATTTTTGCTCCAATGAGTTCTACTTTCTTTTATCTTTTTCGGTTGGTTCGAAATAATGATTGCGTGTGTATGTGTTGCGTTACCATAGCGCTTCTTTTAACCTTACCACGATTGAAATAAATGTGTGCTGATAATTGGCTACTTGTGAAAATCGCTCATATATGGAAACCAGGATGTGCAATCAAACGAAAAAGATTATTGCAGCTATGAATGTTGTTATAAATACCCGCGTCTAGAAGTAATTTGATGCTTTCATAATCATCAGCCAATGCAGCATAATGGAGAGGAGTGAAGCCAGAAAAGTCTGCATTCTTGCTTAGTCGGTTAGAAAACTCATCTTCTCTTGCAATGATGACTATACGAGAGAAAGATTGGAATTTGTTTTACAGACAAAAATGCAAAAAATGCCAATATATTCAGAAAATAAGCGATTCCTTTTTATTTGCAAATTCTAATTTCTTAGTAGGTTTTACTTTTCTTTTACAGAAATTTAAACTTTAAGCGGTTATTTTAAATCCACCTCCTCCCAGTTTCATCGGGTATAGCTCTCGGTGTCAAGGATTGACTTGCAAGTGGGACGAAAATAGCAAGCGAGCAAAATATTTTAGTTTTTGTTTATAACAAGTGAGTCATTCTTGTAGTGCAATTGAAGAAATTTTTAGAGACGCTGCGAGCTTGAATATTTAAACTTGTATTTAACTGTGGGTGAGTTAAAATATTCTTAAATAAACTTTCTTGTGTGACTCTACCATGATACATGATGACTTGAATAATCATCATGACTTTAATAAAGAAACTACTCCAAAAAGCATTGTGGACCCAACTGTGTTAAAAGATGTAGACCCGACTGGGTTTATTTGGGGTTTCAAACAACTCTAGCATGCACGCTACAGGTAGAGTTTTCCTGGGAATTTGCAATCAGCCGTTATCATGAGCAAACCAAACTAATGCCAATAGTTCCCACCGGCTCACTTTAATGATAAATCAAAAGAGTAGAGGTAACTATCGGACATAATACAAGAAAACTTGCTGATTGCATTCACCTATCATGACTGAATGGGTCTCTAGGAACTGAAATCAGTATAAAAAAGAGGTGTGTAGCCTAACCTTCCATTACTCTTTTGTGAAGCCTAGAGGCTGTTTTGAACGGAGTGCTAAATTCATCCATGACATTGGGATCCGCACCAGCTTCAAGCAGTATTTGAACGGCCCTGAATTGACAAAAAAGGTCACAAAGCCTTTATGTGGCAAGAGACTAAATATACTGAAATGAAAATTATAAGCCTAGCTGTAGCGATCAATAAAGGGGCTTTTAATAAAACAAAAATCAATTTTGTACCTTGGGTTTCCATTGACTGCTGCAACATGGAGTGCCGTCCAGCCCAACGGATGTTTTTCATTAACATCAGCTCCATCTGAAATGAGTCTGAAATAATGAAAAGAGCTACAAAATACAAACAAAAATATTCCAAAAAAATCAATCTACTCTTGACCCAGCACTCATGACCCCGAACACAAAGGCAAAAGTATTAGAGGATAAAGGAATGTTTTGTAGTAAGAAACAAGCACAAGTATTGTCATCATTGAATTGTCAGTTTGAATATTAACAGTGAAGGAAATTTCGTAAGCAACGCATAATCTTTGTTTTCTTGGCAATTCAAAAAAGTTTAAATGAGTCAAAGCATGCTGTGGTAGGAGATGAAGAGTGTGAGCTTTTCTAACCATGTTATTACCATTGAAAAACCATACAAAGATAAGAAATCCAGTTGATTTTCCACAGAGGATGAAGTGGTTTATCAACCTGCGTGTACAGCGTTTAAATTAAAAGCATATTAAATGAAACTCTGATGTTTAAAAGGTCAACAGATTTTAAAATTCAACAAAAATAAATGGGTTTACATCTTTTTTGGATTCACGCATTCAAACCTTAACCGCATCCGCTCAAATTAGACCAGTTTTCACAATCATTTGAGGTCGCTTCGTGAAAACGAGGTTAACGATGTCCAACCTTGACAGTACAGGAACTATGAGGTGCCGATAGCTGTCTAGTTTCCATACTGCTCAATCTGATGACGTAATTAGTTCACCCAAAACCTAACCCTAACCCTGAACCTAAACCTAACCCTAACCCTAACCCTTTGCTTAAAATAATTAATCATACTAATTTATGATAAGAGGTAAACATCGACTCCATGTTTAAGTTTTCGCCATTGTGAGCGCCTAAATGCAACTAAAATAAACTAGTATAATGGCAGAGAGGCTTAAGGATGTGAAGGAAAAGTTTCCATGTCTGGGAAGAAAATGTGCCACGCTGAGATGCAGCAATACATTTTGCAACTCGCACGGAATATCATCTGACTTCCCAGCACCTCCGACGAAGGTGGGCCGGGGGGGGGGGGGGGCATGGCCCCTCATTTTTTTGGCAAAACAATAGAGCTTTTTTTAAAACCTTTTGTTATGATTGTTTTCTTTTTTCTTGGCCCCTCCACTTTCCATCCTGCATCGGAGCCCATGCTTCCCCTTGACCTGTGTGACTTGGTCGAGAGAGATCGAGGTGTCAATGGTTTTCGTGTAACTAAAGCTACTTGTCTGTTCAAATAATTCTTCAAAGACGAAGAAATTCAATTTGGGATCCATCTCGTTGGAGAGTAAATCGAAGCTCCTTTAAGTCTTCTTTTATCTGCGAAGCAGCGTCCTGCATGTGAAGAAACTTCCTTTACTTATATCGCAGATCTTTTTCTTTAATTTTCTTTGCAAATCGTTGTCCGGTACAACTATTATGGAAAAGTCGATTCTGCGATTGAATTTTATACAGGCTCTCCAGATTTGTCTGGTTGATTTTTTGACTTTTTGAAGCCTTAAGCTAGTGTAGTTCAAAGACAACGAGTTGATAAAGAAGTATCAAGCTTAAATCCTGAATGGGAACTCTCTCTCTTCTATAAAAATTTGCTTTTGTTTTGTTTTTTTCTGTTGTTGCTGAAAAAATTTGTTTATCATATGTCTAAAGGCATGCAGAAAATCTTTAAAATATGGGTAAAAAGCGCCTCCAATGACAGGGGGTACATGCCCTAATCCATTTTTTTGCAAAACCTGTTGCTATAGGTATTTATTTTGCTCTTGGCCCCCTGCTTTCCACCTTGCATCAGAGCTCCTAGTAAATTTTATTGCCAATGAACTTCCTTGTTAGAGGAGCCCCCACCCTCCTGGAGTGTTTGAAGTGTCACCCCTTAGTTTTTTTCTTAGTTCCAACTAAATATTTACTGTTTGCTGATACCATAAATATTTGAGTAATGAATACATTATCCTATTATTTCGTTTATAACTGTTCTTTCTAAACAAAACAATATACTTCTGAAAGTTTCTGGTGCCAGATAGTGTTCATTCTCTAAGTTATTCCAACCACTTAATGACTCTTAAGGGTGTCACACCTCCCAGAGCCACCCCTATAGCAGCATCCCTGCATACCGGAGCAAAATATCACAAAGTTTAGTAGCAAAGTCTTCCTGTTTTTGTTATCATTTTTTTCTGTAGTGAAAAGGTTTCGTTCGTTTATTCCATTTCTTATTAGAGCCATAAGTATGCATAATTCGTGCTGACAATGTATGTAGAATTCGTGTTTCCCATACCAAGGCGTCAAAATATGCAGCAAATATTGCATATTGCAACAAAAAATGTTTAATGGAATATTCGTGGAAGAACTGAAATGTTTTGAGCTTCTTGTAGGCATCTTTTGTCGATCCAATATGGTTTTGCTTTGGAGGTCTTGATTTCAAGAAAAAAAATTGAATGGAGGCCTAGCTAGGCTAGGCTTATTTCTCAAGTTAGAAACCATTGGCAAATGTCTACATCTTGAACTAAAGATAAGCTCAAATGCCAAGACAGTTTTGAAAATTTCAGAGAAGGGAGTCGGCCTAATAATTGTCGAAAAATGCTTAGAACTGGCTTGAAGAGCACGGCAAAAAGCATACGTTAAAGTCAGATCAGTCTTCGCTTCAGACACAATTTCTCTATAAGACAACAATATCAACTGTTATCCCTTGACCGTCAAAAAAACCTGATCTTCAAAGATGTTCGCAGACTGTACTTCGGAAATCAATTTAAAAAACTGTTGCATCGCATACACGGTTAAGAAACGGAAACTTCTGCAACTTCGATGCACTTTCCTTTCACTACACTGGGAAGTGCGATGAGAGTATCATCGTTAACCTCGCTTTCGAAGTGACGCATGACCGTTCTGAGCATGACGGGAAAGGTTACAGGTTCCTTCTACTCCACGATTATGATGGTGGCAGGAAAAGCGAGAATACAGAAGAGTGAATGTTGTTTGTACAGTGTGGCTTTGATCACAGCTTTCATCCACCAAATTTGGGCAAAACATTTCCATGTACCTTGCAACCCAAAAACTGTAATGTTTCAGGGTATTTTTGAGGATTTCCAGTGGTGGGGCAAATAGCTAATTTTTTAACAAAAACAAATGTTATAAAGTAAAAGTCTAATTGTTGCTTGTCAGTATTTCCGTCAATCAAATGGAGTAGCAAACACAGTTCCTTAAACAGTCGGCTTGCGATGCGAGGCAGGTTGCTTAAATGGTATAAAGTTTGAGTCCCATCCTTCTTTGAAAAAGTAACAAACCAAATGGTTACTATGCTCTGGAAGATCAACTCGTAGCTCTCATTGTTCACCTTGTGTATCATAATATCGATCCACTACAAGATGAATTAAGAAATTCAAAGTTTTGGCTTTGCATTTCCTAACAGATATATAAGGAGTGTGACCCGGCATGGAACTCAATGCTTTATCATCTTGTCATCTTCCTTATATCATGTTACTTCTTTGTGTATCGATGATTGTTAGTAACCTACAAGAACTTGAGCCTATCTTTGCCATCTGCACAAATTCCATTTGCAACTGGAAGTCTACAGTAAATTTCAACTGGCTGACATATTGCTGACATTGTATACATAAAATAAATGCTAAAATTCTCTGTGGTACTTCAAGACCATTCTTGGGTAATTAAAGCCAGCTATTTTCAACAGCAAAAAGGACTTGGTCAAGATGCGTCATGCTTCTTTGCCCTCTTATTAGGCCAATTGTTGGCATCAGCCTCTTCTGCAGTACAGCTGACCTTTTACATTAAAAAATACCCTGTGCTGAGGCAAATAAATAATGGATTGAGAAAAAGAAATAGATTTCAGCGACATACAAGAAATAATTTAAAAAATGATAACTATCCTCTACAAGTGTATAGGTTTCAAACCTTTTTAACTCGTACAGATTTCCTTTTTCAGTTGCTTTGCACAACAGCTCCACTTGCCCTAAAAACAACAAGTAGACACTTAAGTAAACAGTAATTAAATAAAAAGCAAAGAGAATTACGGACAAACCAGGTATGAATGCAATGGTATGTCCCTTTCTCCACAGCAAACCTGGTCACCAAGAACAACCACTATAATCTTGTGCTCTACTGGATATGGTCCCGACAGTTTTTGAAGCCCAACCTATGTTCACCTTTTATTGGAAGCCAAGATAAAAAAATTTGCTCTTTTCTTACCATTCCCTCTCTTTCTTCATACTGTTTATGGGTACTTTACTTGTTTAGTTTCTTCTTGGTTATTCGCCCGCACAGTAGCCAGGAAATTATCCATTTTGGTTCAATCACAGGGGTGGAACTTTGGTTAAATATTTGGTGGGGGCAGTGGAAGACACCTGGGGGCAGGAGATTGATTGTCAACCAAAATTTTGGGAGACAATTTATCAAAAATATTGGCTTGCCATCTTCGGGGGAGGGGCAAGCCTATTATTTTGATATGATGTCACATTTTCAAATTCTTTTAGAACAAAACACCATTTTCCTTCAAAATATTGGGGGTGACTACCCCCTTGCCCCCAGGTGTTTGTCACTGCTTTGCAATTAGATAGAAGCACAAGGCTGTGAAAAAGTATCTTTAGAGGTACAGTGCAGTATTAACTGTATGCATATGCCTCTACCTGCATGTGCTCAGTAATAATAATATCTAAAGGAAACCACACAACCTTAAAATTACATGAACTAAATACCCTGAAAATAAATTTCCATTTAGATAAAAATAGCAAAATGGTAATTTTCATGCGAAAATATGCATAAGAATGTAGCGGAACTAGCAAGGAATCTATATTTTGGTTCAAGTGTTAGGGCAACTAGGTAAGGTTTCCAAGTGTACCAATATGGGTACAATCCAGTGTGGAATCTATGTAGCCTAGGCCAAAGACATCGGGAATGGACTAACGATTTCCCGTCGCATTTCTATTATTTGTTGGCGCATATCTGGCTTGAACTTTGCATGGGTTCCAGCCTGCGCTACAATGAAGTGTGGTGTTAAATATATCATTACTGACACTATGCTTAACCTTGGTAGTGAGTCTGCTTTATTTGCAAGTCAATCCGTAAGAAAATGCTAGAAACGGAATGGCAAACATCTACACTTGGGTCGCAAAAGTATGGAAACGGTTGGGTCTCAATGGCGGCTTACAGTGACCACAGGCCTAAGCCGACCAATTTCAAAATCAGAATTATGAGGTGAAGGGGCTTGGAAACGATATGTTATGGCGGGAAAATGCATTTGCCATTTGGTTTAAAGAAAATTTGATGATTAGTTTGCTGTTTTGAGGGGAAAAATTCAGCAAAACTTTGAAGCATTGCCTCAAAACAATTATGTAAAAGATTCTTTGAGTATTCATGAAAGATGACCACAAAGTTTCACTTTATTGAAGAAACGTGTACGAAAAATGTTGAAATTCGAAGCAAACTGCTTGAAGCTTGTTTTTCATGAAAAATTTTAACTGAGAAAGTGATGTTAGCAGTGCACTTTGATTTTAAAATTTCAATACTGACACAAAGTTGCTCTACATTTGATGTTAGTGACTTGTTTATCTTAAATTCTGATTTACTCATTATCTAAGCATATGACAATCAAAAAATTAAAGCAAAATGTTCAATGTTTAGTCGGCTTTTAAAATTAATGATAAAAATCATCTACACCGAAAGCGTCTATGTTATTTAGCAAGGAAACTATTTTGATCACTAAATGCCAGTTTTAGAAATTGTTCAACTGATATCACTTTTAATAACCTAAAGCCTGATATCTCAGCCAAAGTGATCTTCTCCGTAATATATTTAAAGTCAGAGCAAAGGTGCACGTAGTTAGTTAAAGCTTTAATTAATTTATTTTATATCTATTAAGTATTGTCTGTACTTGGAGACATTTTTTATGAATCCTTCAAAAATAATTTCCATATATTTTCTGAAGCACCGGTCCAACTATCCCTGACTTTTCACCTACAAAACAGTAAGTAGTCTTCAAATTTAGTTTCATTCAAAAACAATTGAAATTGCTCGAAAAATTTCGTGGAGAAAGCATTCGTTACAAAAACCCCTTAGCGCTGAACTTTTGTTTTAAAGACCTGTCAGCTTAGATCCTTAGCACTGTTTCCATACTTTTGTGACCCCAGTGAGTGGCTACCATTTTACCCATTGGGAAAAGCAACCAGTATGGTGCCAATAGGTGTGAAAGTTGCTTTACTTAGGGATTTGTAAAACGGGCCCGGAAGAACTTTGCCTTGGCTGATAATCAATCTATTGCAAAAATTGCCATTAATTTATCCTTAAAATCCTTTGCAATGGACAACAGAATGAGGGGATTAGGTTTGAAATGAAACGGGGCTTGTCCCCGGAAGATGTTTGAAAATCACCTTATTTAGAATGTCAGAGCATGCCCCAATGTTTTAAACTATCTTCCAATGTTTTACAAAGAAAAGCATCTTCTCTGGCCCAGGAAACGAGATTCTTTTCGATTAAACTCGATCTTTAAATCCTTAGAAATTTAACGAAATATATGACTTCATTTTCTTTAAATGGTACATATAAATTTTTGAAAGTTTTGCAACATATCTTTGAAAAAAGTAAAGGTGTGTCTCAGCACCTGCTAGCCTAATGACTGTGTTGCTGCTGCCTCTATGCTACAGTTACAAATCATTTACAAAAGATATGATGCCAGTACATCAGCGTGCGGAATTATGATCAGGTATTAAAAATGTGCTTAAAACTGTAGACTTGTCTGAAAGATATCTGATAACAATAACATATCATGGACATATGGATTTGAAGAGATACTGCTGCCATCCGTTTTGTGCAAATTGACGATTTTGCAGATTGATAGGCTACTTCTGCTTGAGCAACTGTGTGTTGACATGGTAAAAAGGACAAAGAATTTTGTTCAAAAGGCACATGACAGTTTCTATTTCTGGACAAAAGTCTGAAGAAGGTTTGGAATAATTTAATTTCCAGTTGTAAATTTGAAACCATTTTATTTCCAAACAGCTGGATTAATTTTCCATTAAGTTTTACAGAAGGTTCTTACATGAGATCAATCCTCGACAAATTCTGTGGAAAGTTTTTTAAAAATTGTACAAGATTTTTGGTCTCAGTAAGTCATAATTTTTTTTGTCACGAAACTCCTGGTTTTAATGTACCAAAAGCAAAATGACTATGAGTTATAAGTTGAATTGCAAATAAAATAGCTTGCCACAGACAGGATGTTGAGAACGTATTGTCCTTTATCATACCTAGAGCAGTTTCACTATTAAGCGATAGTTTATGGCCCAAGGAAAAAAGACTATTATTCAAGAGGACAAGACAAGGAATATGCATATATTACTAATAAAAAATTGGCAATATTGGAAAAATCTACTTCTCCCTAAATAATTATCTTAACAAGCTACAATGACTGTAAATGTTTGCATAAATCCACCTCTCCCCTCCCAGTCTTTGATTATGCAATATGTGAATGTTACCATACACAATGACACACACATTGATAATTTTATCCAGTTGCAACCGTTCTGATTAGAAAGAGCACAGGGTAGTGCTCAGTTAATTTTTCCAAAGTGTGAGCCCTCAGTTATTGGATATCAGGCACTAGGATAATTGGCATTTTAGTCATAAGTCAAAAAACTAATATGGTTAGTCATAAGTCATTGGTTTCACAAAATTATTAGTCATTAGTCAGTTGACGAAACAATCTGCAAGTGAGCCAGTAAAAACCGCTTATACACCCTCAACAGACATGGAATTAATTCAAGTATTGTGCATTTGCTTGAAAGAATTACAAGCTAACCAGGTTTGTAGTGAGAGTAGGCTTTCTGGCTGCTACCACATTTACTGCTGTTAATAAAACAAAGTATGAACATTAGTATTTTTTGTCTGAACCTCTTCAGCGTATAAAACGTCAGAACAAGGGCCAGGAAGAACCATATTGAGAACAAATATCCATTTGCGGATCGAATTTCTCATCTTGTTCTTTTGGACCCTTATTCTGACGTTTTATGCTCTGAGGAGTTTCAGACGAAAAAGTTCTGAGTATGTTTAAAATTTCTGCTTTTTTCAAAGCCATTTCCAAAACAAAATATGTTCTTTTCAAGATTTTCAGAAAATCGTGCAGAATTTGCTGATAAAAATTTCGTCTTCAATGAATTTTACAATAACAAAGATTGGGAAACTTTGTGATTAGTCTTAATATATTCCCAACTTAAAGGTGAATCTAAACTTTTTATGCAAACATACTTTGGACAGGAGGTCAATTGATGATTGTTATCAATTTTAGTTTTGTACGATTGAAATTTGTGAAAAAATGACTTGGGGGAAAGGGTGAACCGGGAAATTCCCTGGTGTCCCGGTGGGCCAGTCTGCTTTGTGTGCCAGTGATGCACATGCACCCTTCAGTGCCAGACTGGAAACTTTGCTGCGCGCCCGCAATATATTGCCCGCGCACACCTCTGCGCGCTTTTGCATATTGGCCGCGCAAAATCCCCTAGATCCCTTGACAATAGGATTTAACATTATTAACAATAAAAATAACTAAGAGTGCATGATTTCAGGCGCGCAGTCTCAAATTTTCAAAATAAACTTGCCCGCGCAAGAAGCAAAGTTTCCAGTCTGGCTTCAGTGCAATCTCCATGACAGAAAAATTCAGTCATCTGCAAGAGGGTTAAAAAAGCAAATTATGCGAGAAAGCAAGACTCTATGAGATGAAAATTTATGTATTATTATTCTTACTTTTCTTGTCTAAGAAGCAAAGAGCTATGCCAGAAGCTAATGCACCACCAACTCCAAAGCAAGCAATGATGTCATGACGTTGCAAAAGGCCTAAAAACTTCTTACTTTGATACCTGCTTCTTTCGAATGAAAATCGGGAGCATGTGGCAAACGTAAATTTCTGGGACGACAAGCTGGCTCTTTTAAGGCGTTTACAGAATAATTGCTGTAGGTTGGTCGATTTAATAATGTTATCGAAGTAGCGGCGTACGACAACTAAATATGAACACGGTCTTGCTATGCGACCAACAAGCATTTTCATCGGTTTTCCTTCTAGTGCAGTGTCTGCTTCACTAGTTTAACACAATCATCTATGAAAATATCCAAGGAAAACCAATCAATTCCAAGACAATTCAATCATTTTTGAAGGTGAAATAATTTCTTGCAATACGATGTTGTCTACCCTTTAATTGACCTCTTGTTGGTGCATATGTGAAAGGAGGCAATTTAATAAGGACGTGAAGAATCATTATTTCTAAGTCTGTTTGTTTGGAGTCAGGGATAGAAATTTATTATGTTCGAGGTTTGTTGATTGTTTAGGTGACTCGCAGTTCATTATAGAAAAATGGATACTTCGCTGAAAACGTCAGATAGTAGCCAAGTGCTAGGGTAAGATAATTGGAATTTTTTATTGAGCTTGTCTTTTTTTGGCTGAAGGCTGAATTCAATATACACTGGGGTCACAAAAGTATGGAAACGGTGCTAAAATGGCGGCTAACAGAAGCAAAAGGCCTAAGCCGACTGGTTTTTAAAACAGAAGTTCAGCGCTAAGGGGTTTTTGTAACGAACGCTTTCGCCACGAAATTTTTTGCGTAATTCCAATGGCTTTTGAATCAAAATAAATTTGAAAGATTACCTTACTTTTTTTGCGGGTGAAAAGTTAGGGGAGCATTGGACCGGTGCTTTGAAAAATTTCTGGAAAATATTTTCGAAGGATTCATAAAAAATTGCCTCAAAGTACAGACGAAACTTAATAAG